TGGCTGCGAATGAATCTTTTTAGATTTACTATTTATTTTTAATTAATTTTCTATCGCGCCCAAGAACCACTTAGACTTGCCTTGCTGCCTTAATCATGTGCGGGGCCCAAGGCGCTTACGGCTGAGGCCCAGATCTTCCTAGCCCAGCCCCGGCCCCGGCTTCGGTAGGGCATGGACATGAGCATAGACATCCCCGTGGCTATAGCTCTTGCCCACCTCTTGAATCAGTTAAGCCGCATGCATTGATGAGAACCATGGATCCATGGAACAAGAATGGATGTAAATGCATGAATACCCAATCTACCCAATCTTCAAAGCGGCGAGTCACGCCAGTTTCGTCCGACTGAGATCCATTCATCTGTCATTTCCCCTTGGGATTTATGAAGCGAGCTTTACGCGAAGCCATGAGGCGTTTAGCTCAAGTATGAGGCGAATATACAGACGGGGCTGAAGCTATGTAGGGCCAGGGCGGAGGAGGCATGTAGTTCCTGAGACATGCGGGCAATACCGCATGCATCATACTGAAGGCCATTGTTGTTTATTGACAAAACTCGAACTCACCCAGACGCCCGTTCAAATCCCAGTATGAATTCCTGCAATGCGGCCCGGTTTGATCTAGCATGGTCGGGGTCACTTACTAGAACCACAATCACAGGAAGCGATGGACAAACAATCTGTATGTATTATCTGTAGTTTCAGCTATAATGGGCACTGCAAGTTGACCAGGGTGAACGTAGAGCCTCGGATAGGAATGTGCAATATAGCTTTTGGGACAATTATGATCTCATCCACTGGGACTTGATGTGCTGGCACGCCGGCCTCTTCATCTCGACTCTTTTCTTTTTTTCTCTCCCTCTCTAGCAGCCCAACCCGAGCCGTTCGACTTTGTTGGTGATACCTTGATGATACTATTTTTCGTCGTCACATCATGTACTTTTGGGCATCGGCCACTTCATGTCGAGGGTCGGAGCTATGACGCCCTCCCCCGTAGCTCCACTTTTGGGCAATTTGGGCAACCATCCATCGCTCATCACCTACAGCGTACAGACAACGTTCCTTTTCCGGTCACGCATGAAATTCATACTACTTGAGGTTTATTCTGGAAGGGATCCCGCCGATTTGGTTCGAGCCTATGCATACTAGCAGTTGATATACCTGGTGGATGAGGCAGGGCTGGGGCGCTCCTCAGTTATCGACGTGGAGCACTGTGAGTTGTTCATTTTTCCATCTAATCCGCGACCCTAGTGGACCCGTCATTATTTTGTATTTTGTAGTTTTTTTCTTTCTCGCTTTATGCATCTCAATTAATTTAAGGGGGGGAGGGGAGCGGAGAGGAGAAGAAGAAGGATCATTTTGTATGGATATTAATTGTATTGATCAATATCCTTCGGAAACTGTCCCCAGAGTGCCAAAAAGAATGAGATGTTCTAGTAATTGTATTTTCGCTTCCCCTTGCCTAGTGGAAAATTCCAATTTGTGCCTGTCACATCTGGGAGGTTCGATAGTGGGACTCTTCAACCGCCACCCCTTAGCCCTTACGGCTCTACCCCGTCTAGCGTTTCTTCAAAGGTTTTTTGCTCTGGTCGGCCTGCGCCGGCCCGTTCCAGCTTGCAGCCTCACTTCATATGATCCGCATATCTCCCGCACTCATCCTTCACTGGCGGATCAGGCAGGAAGGGAGGGGGAATTTTGCTGACGCTAGGTCTGTCCACCCGCCTGCATGGGCTTGTCCATTTTGGTCGTCCATTGGGTTCAGACAACGTTAGGCTCCGTCCACTTGTCCCCGCCAGGAGAAATAGTACAGACCAAAAAAAATTTCATCATGCCCCCCCTCCCCGAGAACGGTCTCTTGCTGTTTGGTCTTTTTTAGGTATTTTTATTTTTTATTTTTTTGGGGGGGATTTTCTATTTTCACAATTTTTTATTAATATTATTTTTCTCGGGTCTTTGAATATATGGCCCACTGTATATAGGACTCCCCGCTTCCCATGTTAATCACCGTTCGTGACTTCAAAAAGGGTCACGCAAGTTTTCTGAATCCATTGAGCTCTAGTAAATTACTCTTTCCCTCTATATCTACTTGATTGCCCCGGAGCCTTTTCCCCTTCAACTTGTCCCCGAAGTTTCTTCTCTCCCCCACACGCCAACACTGCCACATCGCACCCCATTGACGGCCTTTTCTACCATTACTATCTTTTGCAATTGAGACCCAGAAAAGTTTCCAATTGCCGATAAATTGACTCTTTTCACGAACGACAATGTCAATGCCCAATAGCCCTCAAGGAAGCGCCGCCGCAAGCCGGCCTACTTGGCAAGACCAGCTTTCAGGTAAGCAAGCCATTGGGAAACGATTGTCACGCTAGACGTCTTGGAGCCTTCCTCAACACCCCCTGGAATCCTTTCTCTAACATCACGAAGAGCACTGTAGACGCACAAAGCTACCAACTCCTGTCTTCAACATTGTCTCCGATCGACGAGGTACCTACCCGATTCCGCTATTTCTCTCCTTCTCACCTTCTACCCTCCACCGTCTTTTGACCCCTCCTAAAAATACCTCGTTTCCATTCCCTGTACCTTTCCTCCGATTCACGCGCCTTGCCTTGCCTACAACACGCTGCGTGTCTCGGCATTGCAGGTGGTGTGGATCTACAGAAAGAACCGCTTGTACACCGACTTTTAGTCCGGAGCTTGACAGCGGGATGCTAATCGCCCTTGCGTCGGAAATGTAGGAGGTCGTACCGCTTGGTCAAGCACCGTCAGCATCAATTCGCAGAACTTTTCCGCCCGCTACTGGTATGATGGTCAATACATCCACAATGCCAAAGAAGATGCTGCCGAAGTCGCCCTGAAGCTCCTCAATCAACAACCGCGTGCCTCGACCATCTATCCCGGCCAGATTGATTCACGACAGGCTACCGGCTACGGCCGCGGGGCTGGCGGAGTTTGATACTTCCTATCTTCATATGGACTAACTATTTTCTTTTGTGTGGGTGGCTATCTTCTTTATTTTCCTGTTTTATCCCCTCTTCACCCGCATGTGGACGTGGTGTGTTTATGAAAAAGAACGAAGGAAAGCGTAAAAGAGAAAGGTGATATCTCCTTTTTTCTGTCATTCCCTATCTCTTTTTCTGCGTGTGTCTCCATCTTGCGGACCCGCTGCAACTTAACTCACACGTCCTTGCTGTTGCTCTCATTTGTTATTTCCGCGCCTGCAGGGAAAAAAATATCCAGCCACGCACTGCTCTACCTACCTTCCGCGTCACATCGCCGTCCATTCGCCCTGCTCCCCGGAAGCCCGGAACGAACGCTTCATTTTACCCGGCCGGTGAAATCTTGACAGCACATACTTTCAAGCACGCTGCAAGGATGCCTTAATCGTGTTGCCGCGTGGGATGAGGTGGCCCGGAACAAGGAGCAGGGAAGTGTATGGATTTTCGAGAAATGTACTTTTTCGGGGTGACTATCCGTCAATGCTGCATCCAAAGATCCGTCACTACCTTGTACTTGGGCCTTGGTCTTTGTGTGACCAGCCAAGAGGCATCGTGACACCCTACCCTTTTCAGCAGCTCCAGGGACGGCGCCTAATTCTCCGGCTCGCATGAGTGATGAAAATAAGCATGAAAATCCTTCTAAATCGATTTCTGGTCTGGGGAAGCAATATTGCGACAAAGCTTACTATCTGCACTTACACATCAGATCGACGACTCGACTCTTTTCGTCTGATGAAAATGGGTTCCATTTACCGCCTCTGTGATTTCAGACATTGCCTTCCTGCAGTTAATCGGTGAAGATATGGTGGGGCATTTCTTCTTTCGTCGACTTGTCACTACATACCTAGGTATATGCACGATCTCCCGAGACAGCTTTGATTGTACTCTCCTATACACGGATTGGTGCAATTCGAAAGACCAGGATCTGGCCAGGACCTTACTTAATGCTTTGTGAAATAAGCGGTACCTTCTGATGGTGTACATACTGAGTACTGCTACATTGCACATCCGAAGGAAACCGCAATTGGGCGCTGGCATTTTGATTGCCTCTTGTCTTGGAACTGGGGGCCTGTCGACGTTTCTGTATTACCTGGAACGGCCCGGTGGTCCGAACCTTAATGTCCCACAGGACCAGGGCAGAGTTCGACATGAATCAATGGTCAATCTTTGCAAGGAAATACAGGGTTCTCTCCTTCCCTCAAGCTGGGCACCGAGGACATTTCTTTTGTTTTGTGATTTTTTTTACTTATTTTTTGTATTCTCTGCTTCATGCCATGAGGAGATTTTTGATACGGGAGTTTCATTTTCTTTCTTTTTTTCGGTATGGGTATCGAATAGGGTTATGGGAATGGTAATTGAACTGGAACAGGTCATTATAGTGTTGAATTTCTTTTGTTGTCTGACGAATACTGGGATTGGGGTTGGACTGGGGCCTTTTTTTATCAGAATGTTTTGACCTCTCTTTGGCATAAGACTTATCGACAGAATATCATAAAACCAGAAGTTTAAAATTCTCTTCTCTCTATTTGCCTTTGTTGATTCTCTCAATGGTCAATGGCTCAATCGTGGCTCCCAGCATTTGATTACTCGAGGGAACGCCGCCTCGCATCGAGTAAGGCTTACTAAATGGGCCCTGGGCAAAAGCCAGTGCCCTTCAATCTCAGGATTAGTGATCAAAGTGCGTCGTAGTTTTCATAGTACTCACTCAATGGGAGAAGCTCAACATGAGAAAGCCTCTCTCCATATGGAGCCCACATAAACAGGCCGTTCAAGTTCAAGTTCAATTTCGTAACTTACTGTATTAGCTGGTGGAAATGGCCAATGCGGAAAATAGTACCCATAAAACGTTTGTATAGATATGTATGTAACATAATCTCCTCCAGAGAAGTGAAATGCAACCATTTTCATGCACCCCCCTGCGTTCCGGGCCGGATCATATAGATCATACCAGTAGCTCCAGGAATCGGGCTCTCTATACATCAGCTGACCCACCAGTGTGATGTGAGCTATCTAATATGCAAACATCTTCCCAGTTCCATCACCGTTTCGTCGTTTATTCCTCCACGCATAGTAAAACCTCAGCAAAATACATCCCGTTGTTACAAAGAGAAGCAACGCGGCATTTGTCCAATGGCCCGTCGGATAGCCCGTTTTTGCCTCATCGCTCTTGTAGATCCAAACCCCAACAATTTGGCCTGGAGCTCCAAATGACACGTTCAACGCGATGGCCAGGCCTGCCCCTGCAGTCGAGTGGAGGTTTGAGGAAAGCCATCCTAGGAGTGGGGGGGATACAAGCAAATGCCCCACTTGTCGCAACAATGAGGCAGCCATATCGATGCTAATTTCTAGGTATTAGTTTCTTCCAACTGCCACGGTAGAAATCGATACGAAAGCTTACCAAGTAGGCCTCGGCAGGAAGGACTGCGGATGCTAAAAATCCCATTGCGCCAACGAAGGAAAATATGGCAGAATGAAGTCCACGACTAGACCAGTTAGCTATTTTCAAACATTGATAGAAATGTTTTCTAGTTACCTATTGAAGTAATCCGCAGACCAGGCCACAGCAACTGTCACAACATACGCAACAGCGTATGGAGGTACTGTCATTAATTGGGCGCGAAGATTGGAGTACCCGAGACCCGCAGTGATGGCAGGCGTGAAGAGAGAGAGACTCGAAAAAGGAGTGGAAATGCCAAAGTATACCTATCAACTTGTCAGCAAAAAGTATTTGCAGAGGGTCTTAAAGCCAAACAAACCGCATAATGGGCATACAACCGCCAATCCACAAGTACAGCTTTGGCGTCCTCCCATGACATGGCATGGGAAGAGCCCTTTGAGCCCTCCGTCGCTAAACGCCGCGCCGCAAAGTCCTTCTCCTCAGCGGAAAGCCAGTGGGCCGACTCTGGATAGTCAGGCAAGAAAAACCAGACCAAAACCGCCGAAGCACATGAAGGTGCCCCTTCAATAATGAACAACCATCTCCAAGCAGATAAGCCATGCGCACCATTCATGTGCCCAACCCCAAATGCAATGGCCCCACCAAAGGCACCTGCTAGAGTTGCCGACGCTAAAATCAAAGCCACGCGCATCGAACGCTCAGAGTTTCGATACCAAAATGTTAGGTAGTAGACAAAACCTGGGAAGAGGCCTGCCTCCATTACGCCAAGTAGAAAGCGCAGGCCAGTCACTTGGGCATAGTTGTGAACTCCCCCAAGACCCACGGTAGTAGCACCCCACGAGAGCATAAGAAAAGCAATCCATCTCTAGAAGGCTATCCGTCAGTCTATAGGTTTCAGTTTTGTATCGATGTGGGAAATTACGCTAGGTCTCAACTTTTTTAAAAAGTAGTTGGAGGGCACTTCGAAGAGTGCATACGCGATCAGAAAAACCATAAGTGCAATTCTGTTTTTTGGGGGGTTTTTTTAGCACCAGACTAGGAAATGATGGATTGACTCATTTACTCACGTGAACTGGAAGGAAGTCATATTTGTTTCAGAAAGAAGGTCATTATGAGTGTCTTGATTCAGAATTTTGGCATTTCCTACATGGGGTCAGTGTAACCAAGGACCCTGTCAGTGGAACATAGTCAACATACCGATATTAGATCGATCTAGATAACATAAAAGGTAGATAGCAGCGCAAAGCGGAACGATCCGTAGATCCTGCTTCCAGACCAAAGCTTTCTCATCGGCATCGCCGTCCAGGACTGGCAAATTGGTATCAGTGTCGAGACCTGGATACTTTCCCCCGCCAGCCTTAGTGGTTATAAAGTTTAAGCGGAATTAAGGGGAAACTCACGCCCGAGACATTTTCAATATCTTGCGCACTCTTCTCTTCCATCATATTCGCGGGGATTGGCAATCCGAGAACGCACACAAACCCAAAAATCTGTCAGAAGAGCGAAATCTGAGAACCCTTGGCACCCCTTTTTAGTTTGCTTTTTTTTTCCCACTCGGCATTGAGCTAATGCCCCGGGATTGTCCCCGCATTCCCGAGCCCGCACTGACCAGGTCGGCCATTCTCCGACCCAACCTACTCCACTTGATTTTGACCGACTTTCGGCCGTCTTGCTGCCTTTCGGTTTAACATTCAATTAAAGTTTAGCAGCGCCTTTGATTTATACTTTTGAATTGAATTTGTGAGATCTCAAATTATCCTTTTCAAGATTTTAATTCTCTTATAGAAATGACTCATGCCCGGTCTCTTCAAGACGATAGAATTGGTTCAATATAAAAAGAATATTCTGACAACCTTGGAAGGTGAATGGAAGTCCCATTCCAAGGTTACTAGTATTTAATCTGTCTTGCTCTTGGCAAATCGTCCCGTGTATTGCCGAATCTGCTTGCCCCAGATATAAACCGGCACACCCAAGAGGCCGAGAGCGCCCGTTAACCCCCCGAATATACCAAAGGCACCATCATACCCATGGCTTGCCACAAATGCCGATGTACCATAGCTCGTACCAAAGGAAATAAACCCTCGGAAAGCACAGATAATCACGAGCAATGGACCTGTGCGGGCCGGGTAACTGTCCAGCAGGTACGTGATAGCCACGATATTGGCACCCACAAAGCAAAAGTAGTAGGCCGCGACAACATACGCATATACAAACCAGTGATACTCCTCTGGAAAGGCTGCACCTTGCCCATAAAGAACAGACGTAAAGGTTCCAACAATCACGGGGAATATTAGAGGCCAGAGTCGTGTCTCAGGTTCGTGCACGCCACCATTACGGCGAGCACGCCAACGTATTAATTTATCGGAACCGGTTCCTAGAAGCGGAAGTGCAGCAATGGCGACAACAATTTGTCCGCAGTTCACGTAGCTAGTGCTTGAGTCGGGCCAGTTGTACGGGGCTCCAGTAAGAATTGTGCCGTATGTCGTTCCAATAGCAATATTGACGCCGATAGTGAGTCCATTGAGACATAATGCCCAAAGGACGTTGGGGAAGAAAAGAAGCTCGAAGGTTTGCTTTTTGAAGTGTCAACTCGGTCTTGTCTGAGCGATAAGCAAGTCCATGGGCTTACCTTGAGAACCTCGACGGCTTTGTACCATTCGGGCTTGCCAACCCAAAGACGCATATCCGACCTCCATGTTCGTGGCGCATAGTTGACAAAATCAAGAGGCGGCTTTTCTTTGCAGAGTGTGACTTTGGCCTTATCGGGGATATCGGCCTCAAGGTCAACTGCTTCTGTGGAATCATCACTTGAGACATCTTCCTGGTATGCAGAAAGATTGCGATCGTATTTAGTCTCCGGTAGCCAAAGTAGAGCCACAACAAATTGGAGAGCAGCCATTCCAGCACCAAGGTAATACCAGCCTTGCGGTGTTATAGCGCCTGAAATGGGGCTAGCGAAAAGAACCCAGATGGTTGTCAATAGCACCTGGATCGCTTGTTGGAGCATGAGAAATTTGCCCCTTTCGTGGAGAAAAAAGATTTCCTAATCGCAAAGGTTCTGTCAGTAAGACATCGAGAATGAATAGATCGGATAGGTGGGAGTCCTTACCTGTGTGATCATGGGAACCAAGGCTTCACTTTGTCCCGCACTCAACCCAAGCACCATACGAGCTGCCAAGTGCCACTCGTATGTTTTTGCCACAGCACAGAGAACAGCACCAAGTATGAGGATTAGGGTAAATAGAAGGAGGACGCTTCGACGACCAACGGCAATAGCTAGAGGCATTCCGATAAGATTGCCGATGCCCCTATTAGAACAATAAGGTCTGGTCAGCACCCCGGTCCCCTCAATCGGCCCTGAAGGGGCTCAGGGAGGGAATCTTACATGAATAAGGTTGGGTATGTCATCAAAGCCGATATATCTGCATAATCTTTGCCCACTGCCGCGTATTCAGGTATATAGAAAGTCAACAATCCTCCAAATCCGGAGACAAGAGACATGCCAACAGTTGAGACTGGTAGAAATCGGAATATGAGACTTCTGAAAGTTGTGATTATAATTTCAAGTTGATTGACTCACAGGTCGATATAACGAACAACACGACCATCTTCTGCCAGAGGGGCATATTCAGAGGGTCTTCAGATTTCAGTTCCATTAGTACTTTCCCGACCTTTCCGGAAGCGATTGCAATTGCGATATCATACCTTGCGGGTCGGCTGTTGGAGTTGGGATATAGATAATTGAACCCTCTGTCAACTTGACCGTTCCCATTACTTTAATTTCTTTGCCGTCAACCCTTGGTGACTCAGAAAGTTCATCGTGTACCATCTCAACATGTTGACCGGTGCCTTTTTCGGTATCCTTCATGTTTTTAAAAGCAGGAGGACCACTAAAGACGCGTTCTTGGTTCTTGGTCTGGATGATGCAGTGTGTCCTGGAGTTCAGGGGGCAAAGGGTCAGAAAGTCGCAGCAGCCCTGGCCATTTAATAGATCAAGGGTTCATTATCGCTATCCAACCAGGAGGACTGGGTGATCATCGGGACCACTCTAGCTGTCACCCCCACAAGGTCAAGAAGTCCATCCTCTTGGCCCGATAGCTCTCGGCTACTACAGCAACTTATTCCTCCACGTCTTGACACTAGCCACTTATGGGGGTCCGTTTAGAAAGCATGCTCGAATAGAGCCTGGTAATGAGGACCCACAGCAATACCCCGCTTCCCCAGACTCGCCCCGGATTGGATTCGTAATCTAGATTCGCAACCTTGGGGATGGTGGCTGGAAAGAGAGTTAAAAAGGAGCCGAGCGGGGGGTTCCCGGCAGTTGTTCCAACCTGCCCACCGGAAGGAAATGTGAACCACGGGTGGAGGAAGTGGGCGTGAATATCTATTTTCTAGCGAGAATCTGGATGAAGGCAAATTGTGTTGTTTGGTAGGTATTAGCTCGTTGAATACCCGAGTCAGTAAATTGAATCATAATAACAAGGCCAAGGATTCTCAATTGATTAAACCAGGATCGCACATCAAATGGGCCTCCCAACAAATGCGTAGATGAACACGAAAGATATTGAGATCTAGAAATCCACGCCTGCGTCGTTTTTAGAATTTTCCGTCACCCGTCAGGCCCTGCAGCGCTTCACCACATGTCTGAAGCGCGTTTATTAGTGCCGAATCTACTCTTGATTCCCTAGTTACCCCCCACTGTCCATTGATTTATCCCAAGGACAACAAATTGTTGGGCCGCGACATAATAACAGAAAATGATATCCCCAGCGGATTGTACTATTAGTTTTGCAGTACGAATCATAAGTTTTCGGTGGTGTTGGAGATAAATATGAAAGAAACGGTCACTTGTTCATTTCGCTAGCTGCCATCTATGTAGGAACGTAACTCTCCTCCTTGTGGGTATTTGGAGCCTAATAAGCCTTGACCCCAGCTAATTTCAGAACAGTATCTGTAACTTCGGGCTTCTCAAACGGCTCATTGCGATCCTTGGGGCAAACCTTTCCATCACGCATGGGCTTCTCCTTAGCTGGACGCACATTACTACAGAAGGCAATTAGCATTTATCCGAACTGTAAAATATCTGCAACAACTTACCAGTGAGGCCAGTGTGTGGTACCAGTAAAGTTCTCGAAACACTCCTTCTTCAGCTCCAGTGTCTCTGGGGTCGCAAAACGACGAGGAGTCATGCAGATGTATTGCACATGGCGGATCTGATCACCCTCTGGCAGGCAGGCATAGTGCATAGTGCGCGAGTCCCAAAGGACAAAGTCACCAGGTTCCATGTTGATCTTGACCAGCTCACAGCCTCGCTCCTGGAACCATTTCACGTCTTTCTCACTGAATAGGAAGAGGTCCATGAATTTGATTTCAGGGGGTGGCGCATCCTCATGATCGAAAGACTCCCGCTTATAGGCAAAGAACTCATCGAAGAGCTTAGCAGATCCCTTCATCAGCATGAGCCCACCGTCCTTGGGACCATTGGGGGCATAGTTAAGGAGACCCTGAACTGCTTGCATTCTGTTGACAGTTAGCGTAGTTCAAAAGATCAAGAATAACAGTTAGAGGTCTCACCCTTTACGCTCAGGGTTCTGATCGCAGTGGGGCCATGGGCTCCAACGAACGTCGGTTCGTCGCGGCATAGAGATGTTCATTCCATCGAATGAGCAAATAAGCTCCTTGGTCTCCCAAAGGGTTTCAAAGATATCAATAACGGCAGGCTCAGTGCGAGCTTCCCATGACATCTTCTCATGGGGAGAGCCATATGCAAAGTACATTCTACTTGAAGTTAGCGCATGTCTGGGGGTCTGAGTATCGGGTCGACTCACCCTCCCTTGAAGCTAACGGGCAAGTGATCCGCAGTCCAAGTGCTCTCGTCATTTTCATCAAATCCGAGCTCGAAGTTCTTCAGCCACTGGATCTGCTTCTCTTGGTAGTACTGAGCCCGCTCAGGGCTAATAACATTCTTGATAACCACACAGCCATTCTTGTGAAACTCATCGCGCCAGTCACCATAGTGTCGGGGAGTGAAGGTGACGAGATCCGGGCAGCTGAAGTCTGGAGCTTGGGCTTCCTCAGCTTTCGTGACTTCGGTGGTGGACATCATAGTGAATTGTTGTAGGAGTGATGACTGTACTCTTTTACTGTGATGAAATAATTATCAATAAAATGGCTCGATTTTGGGGAGCAATAAATATCACTTAACGTCTCTCCAGTGAGTTTCTCTTTCTTCAAAGACGTCCGAATGATCCTGCAACGCTGCATTGCCTCAGACTTCCCCCGCCTCCACTCCCTCCACTCGGCGGGTCATCAAGTGGGCGAAGTGATGACCAGCCTCACACCAGGGACAATTGACTGCCAGTCATATTCCCCACTTCCCCGGATCGCTGGGAGTGGAGAGGGTACCGTGGGGGGTCTAAGTCAGTGTCCACCGGAAAAGCGGGGGAAATTGCTGGACGATGCGGGGAGAAGGCGATGTGGGCGAAGCAAGATGCCGCGGTACTGTTTGTCAGAGCTCGAGCTCTCAGAACTATAACAGTACATACATCCAGATCTCATGAATACTTGCAGCATAGACAATCCATCCATCTCCACAAGGCGTTGCTTTCCATTCACCAATTGATCCAACGCGATTTTCAACCATGCCTCCTCCAGTTCAATCGGCGTACAAGCGCGTCGCTCAACCGGTCACCGATGAGAATGGGTATAAACCATGTCAGTCCGGGAAATCCGAAGTTCTACCGAAGGGCTGGAACGGATTCAACGCGAAACCTTTGGAAAGCGAAATTCAAATTGACCACGATGTCGAGATCGTGGTTCGCGATGGTGTTCGCCTTTACGCCGACGTATATCGACCAGCAAATTCTACCGAGAAGGTACCTGCTGTACTGAGCTGGTCGTTCTACGGTAAAAAGTATAGCGCACTGGACATGCTTCCTATGTGTGTTTGGAATTGCTGCGTCGGGCGTTCTGATCTGAGTGGGCTGGAAAAGTTTGAAGGTCTGGATCCGCAAGCTTGGTGTCCGCGCGGATATGCTATTGTCAGCGTTGATACTCGCGGCGCTGGGCACAGTGATGGACAAATATGTGTTATGGGAACTCAAGATGCGGAGGATGGCTACGATGTTGTTGAGGCCATTGCAAAGATGGACTGGTGCAATGGCAACATTGGTATGGCAGGGAACTCTGCCCTTGCAATTTCACAATGGTTTATCGCTGCGCAACAACCTCCTTCATTGAAAGCAATTGCACCCTGGGAGGGCTCCGGCGATATTTATCGAGAGCAGTTCTGCCGTGGTGGCTGGTTCTCTATGAGCAACTTTGACCTTATCGCCAATGCCATTGTCCGTGGAAGCGAAAAATCCGGCCTCGAGGATTTCGAAGAGATGTACCGACGCTCCAACGTTTCCAGTGCCTTCTGGGAAGATAAGAGAGCCGACTTCAAGCGAGTTCAGTGCCCTGTATATATCCGAGGATCAGATGTGAGCTCCATCCACACCATGGGCTCTATTCGTGGTTGGTTGGAGGTCCCTCACGATAACAAGTGGATTCAATGGGGAAGCAAGCAGGAATGGTATGAGCTATACAGTGTTCCCGAGTCAAATGAAGAGCTGGGGTCATTCTTTGATCGGTATCTCAAAGGCAAGGAGAATGACTGGGAAAAGACGCCCAAGGTCCGTTGGTCAGCCCTTCAATTTGGCGACCGAGAGGCAATCGACGATATCGTTCTCGAGGATTTCCCTGCTCCTTCAACTGAATACCGAGAGTTCTTCCTCGACGAGAACAAGCAGCTATCCGCAAGCGCCCCCTCGAAGGCACTGAACCTTTCTTACGACTCCGAAGACCGTCACAGTGTTGCTGAATTTAACTACACATTCGAGAAGAAGGGACGTCTTATTGGGCTGCCGAAGGCAGTGCTATACATGTCCTGCGAAAGTCGGGATGACTTCACGGTCTTTGTTATTCTTCGCAAGAAGGATAAGAATGGCAAAGAATTAATGCATCTTAATTTCCCATTCCATGCAACTCCGGTCAAATCTATCGATGAGATCCCCGAGGCTGAACAAGCAAGTCTCAATCTGCATCTAGGATCCGTCGGAATCCTGCGTGCCTCGCATCGCGCAATCGACTCTGCCAAGAGCATCCACCCTCAGTTTCCTTTCCATCCCCACAAACGGCAGGAAAAGGTCGCACCAGGCACAATTGTGAAGTTGGAGATAGGTATTTGGGCCATGGGAGTGGACTTTGAAGAAGGCGAATCCATCAGCGTGAAGGTAAGCGGCAACAACATTTTTGGCTATGGTTTTTTACTAATTTGTTTGAAATTCATAGGTCGGTGGCCAATACCCCAGCATCGCCGAATACAAGACCTTTTCTCGCCCGAGACCCGAGCACGAATTGAACCGTGGGACCCACACTATTCATTGCAGCAAGGAGTATCCTAGTTCTGTTATTTTGCCTTTTATTTAGAAGCGCACTGGCAATGAGACTGGTGCGTTACAATATTTGGAAGTGCTGTTTTACGATGTTTCACGTTGGCTGCTAGCATACTATTATATCCATAAATAGATATTTGTTGCAAGATACCCCGGGCTCTACTAGTAAAATCATTAATTCAGTGTGTATACCTAGGTATCTCTCACATTAAGACAGTAGAATGGTACCTAGAAAAATCTTCCAGTGCCACCAATCGGCTCTTTCAATGGTAATCTCTATACACGAAAATTGAACATACGAAACTAGACGGATCTGTCGATGTATTCTCAATGGTATCCAAATGATACTTGATCTCTGATTGGCTAGAGGGGTTAGATAGACTCACGTGATAACGTGTCGCGTCGACGCGATGGCCGACCCGCCTTGACGGGGAGACTCTTCCAGTCTGCAAGTGGCTCATCTTCATTCCTCCAACAATAGGGACACAGCTTTAAATTCCGTCTCCTTAAATACCGGCGCAATGACACAGGAACAAGTCGCCCCGAGTGCCCCAGCAGCCCCAGCTCCTAACCCACCTCACGACCCCTCTCACCAAGAGCACCAATACCTAAACTTGATCCGCACGATTCTCGCCGACGGCGAATTTCGCCCTGACCGGACCGGCACCGGCACACGGGCTATCGCTTTTCCAAATCAATTGCGCTTCTCTCTCTCCAAACCGAACCCCGACGGTGGTGCCCCGATCCCCGTTCTGCCCCTCCTGACGACAAAGCGGGTTTTCCTACGCGCGGTGGTCGCCGAGCTTCTGTGGTTCATCTCCGGCTGCACATCCTCCCTACCCCTCTCCGAGGCCGGCATAAAAATTTGGGACGGTAATGGAAGCCGCGAGTTCCTCGATAAAGTCGGACTGGGCCACCGCGCGGAAGGTGACCTGGGTCCCGTATATGGCTTCCAGTGGCGGCACTTTGGTGCCGAGTATGTTGACGCAAAGACGGATTATACAGGCCAGGGCGTTGACCAGTTGAAGGAGGTCGTGAACAAGATCATGAACTCACCCTTCGATCGCCGCATTATCATGTCTGCTTGGAACCCTGCGGATCTCCGCAAGATGGCTCTCCCACCTTGTCACATGTTTGCGCAGTTCTACGTCTCTTTCCCGCCAACTATGAAGATTGACGAGAAGACTGGCCGCCCGGACCAGAAGGGAACACTCTCCTGCCTTCTCTACCAGCGCTCCTGTGATATGGGTCTTGGTGTTCCCTTCAATATCGCATCATACGCTCTTCTCACTCATATTCTCGCCCACGCGGCCGACCTCAACCCTGGACAGCTGGTCCACACCATGGGCGATGCTCATATCTACCTGGACCATATCGAAGCTCTCAATGAACAATTGACTCGTGAGCCGACTCAGTTCCCAGAACTCCGTATCAAGCGTGACGATCGGGGCAGTGCTGTTGTTGATGGGTGGAAGGAAGATGAGTTCGAAGTCATTGGATATAAGCCACACAAGATCATCAAGATGAAGATGAGTGCATGATCATTGGGCACAGTTTATTGAATTATGGCCTACGTTGTAATGTTTTTGTTTTTAAAAATTTTAGAAGATACCACAACTAAGATGACGGCATTCCATAGCTAGCCGCAATCGACCCAGTGTTTCTGCCAGGAGCTATCCATGGATTCTACCTATAAATCGCCTAATGCTAAGAATTCAGGCTACTCGGTAGTATATAGTTGGGTAGAATAATCTACTAGTATGTAAAACTTGAAATTGTTCAGGGAACTTTAAATACCAGTAGTTTTTTGGGACACTGCTGCCCTAGCGGAAACATTGGGTCGATTTTTGGTTTGAAACACAGTACGAAGATAGACTATCAAACGATTGTCACTGTAGAAACTTGTATTCATTACTGTATTCCATTAGGTATCATTGATGACAGAAACGCTTCAAGGTATCTAAATGGGTTCAAAGGCTAGAATCAAAGGAAGTCGCAAATGCTCATGCAGGCGGTTGTAGATGTATCATGAGTTCGCCAGCACCACTCCAGCACCGCGAAGTAATACAATCGTATCACCCGATTTGATCTTCCCACCTCCAATGGTCTCCGAGAACTCTAAAAAGTCCCCAGATTCCACATGGAAGATCCGCAACCGCGCCTCCTCTCCTCCAACCTGGTTATTCTTATTCTCCACGGCCAGTCTCCGCGCCGCATCGTCCAGCACCCGCCCAACCTTCCACTTGGAATCGAAGAAGAAATCGCCAGCCGGTGGCTCCGTAGCCTGTGTATCTGCCGTTCCAACCGTATGCAAGTATATCCTTCTATCAGCTGGGACGCTAGCCTCTCCCTTAGCGGAACGCTTCATCGCATTCACACTCGCCATGCGCGCGGCAGGGCTATTCGGCTTAACCTTGGGCTTGGGAATGAGGTTGGCAGTGGCGGTTTGTTTCTCCTTTCCCCAGCCGCGCACCTTCGCGAACATCGACTTGATCGTATCCTGAGGCGAGGCATTGCTGCCTTGGCGTGCGCCCAGCGGGGTAAGCTTGGCGCAATCGTGTTCTTCGCGCAAGCGGTGTTTGAGGCAATATTGACGATTGCAGTTAGGACAGCGGACGGCTGGGTCTTTGAGAGTATTGATGAGGGTTTTGCAAACGACGTGCGCGCATTGATCGGAGTTGTAGATGTTGGGTTTCTCGGATACGGTGCGGTTCTCTTGTTGGGTGGTAGTGTTGCCATTGCGCCGGCGCGCCCATTCACCTGCGTGGGTGCACTTGTGGGCTGTTTCGCTGCGGTGGTCGAGGCAGAATGTACTGCGGCAGGATTCACACCGGAATGGGAGGAAATCTAGTTGGCCGCAGTATTCGAATTGGCAGTGGCGTCCGATTGATTCGAGATCTGTGTCGCCCATTTGGGTGAAGGACTCTGGTTGTCCGGGCTGGGTGTTTTTGGACATGCTGATGGGGGGCATGGATATGAGAGGCAGTAGAGGAAGTGGGGAGGGGTATCTTAGAACGCAAAATAGAACGCGACTAGAAATTCAGAGGAGAAATAAAGAGATCGTGAAGAGTGAAGACTGAAGACAGTAGAAGGCTGTTGACTAATGCGGAGAAGCTTCCAGTGCCACAGAAGTGGCTTAGCTCATCGTTCGGCGATCGGAGTTACGCCACCCGAAGTATATAGGCTACCATAGACCTTAGACCTAGACAAATCATGTAGAAATCCAGTGAATTGGGTCGTTGTGTCTTCATATCCGGAATCTCTTCAAGTGCTGAACTTGGCCCAAGAGTTCGTCAATGATATCTCACTGGTGGCGACACTGCCAATGTCACCTCCCGAGTCAGTCTCATCATCCGTTATGAAAGAGCGAAACATTGTGTAATGGGAAAAATCTGAATCAACAATGAAAGCCTACAGGCTCAATCAATCCAATAAAAGAGACAACCGAAGAGGATTATGGACCTCGTCAATGGCTTATCCGTGGAAAGGTTCACATAACGTGTACACCAGCAGTCCCGTCAAAGCCGTCTCAAAGAGATTCCCAAAATCGAATAGGACATGCCCAGGTGTGATTTCACTTGCCAGTACCGTTTTTCAAAATGAAGAAGCATTCCTTTTATTTAACAAGCTAATCGAATCTCCCGACCATCCCCACTCTTCTCAGCTGTCCCTGCACTTCTGATTTCAAGTTTGAACTTGAGCTTCCGCAAGCCCAAGACGCATACTAGTTGAAGAATATCAACAAGCCGGCCGAGATACTATCTACAATCTTGTTGTGAAGTAAGTAATGCAAACAGGCAGTCCCCGCCATGTTCATCTTCTACATCCCTAAGCAAAGTCTAATAACGAGTCAGCATGCATCTTATCCAAGTATAGTGACATCACAATCATCTGTAAAGGCCAAAGTTCGGAGCGCAGCTTCGAAGCGCACAAGATTGTTGTTTGCCAGCGCTCGGAATACTTGGCTGATCTTTGCAAAGGCCCTGGACACTTGGAGGTGGCGTAATATTTAATATTACTATGCACAGAGGGATGGCAAGGAGAGACTAATGTATGAATTTCATCTAGGACCCATCAAAGCCACTGGTCAGCACCCGGGAACCAATCTTATTCGAGAAAGTCTTGGAATTTCTATACAAATCCGACTACACGGTTCCCAGAAATCCTATCATCAAACCTGTCGGTACTTCTGAAATTCAAGCTTTCAAGAAAGCACAGCTGGCCAAGGTTAATGCGGATAAAACCAGGACCGCACAATCTACCGAACCGAAGCTCGAGGAAACCGAAGACCTAGGGAGCCTTGAAGCGTTCGACCAACTCGACAATGAATTAGAAGAAATGGAGGATGCAGTTCAAGAAGATATCCTCCACGGTGACGAAGTCTTTCTCGAGAAATGTCACCCATGCTATTTCCACGCACGGATGTACATCGAAGCAGGCTGGTGGAAGGTCCAAGACCTCAAGGTCAAGGCGAAAGCACACTTCACGAAAGCATTCATGGATAACCCGGATCCGAAGTCCTTCTCCAAAACGATTGAGACAATCTACGCCATCAACACGAACTGTGCCGAGCTCAAGGATGAAGTGATCAAGTCTATTGTGCCAAATATTCCAATGTTCTGGAGAGGAGCAGGGGGGGTCGGAATCGCCACCGGTTCTTAATGTTGAGCTTCTAAAGCTTGTGCCTGATTTTACGTTCGAGCTGGTTCCGAAAATTCTCGATAACGTATGTCCGGACAAGAGGATTCTCTCGCAACCGGCTGAAAAGAAACCCGTAGAGACCGAGAAGAAGAAGATGGACAATTCGAAAAGGGCTTGAGTATATTGTGAAGGGGGTTAGATCTGAGTGGTACCTAGTAGTCTATTACTTGTGTTAGAATGCGATTCATTTGGCGATATCAACTTGAATATACTGATTACGCTTCTACCAGCCATAAACAGGTGCCCAGGCGATTGGTGGCTACCTAGGTACCTACTAGTACTAGTAGGTAGGCTGAGATTGATGTGGGCGTGTTTGACCTTTGATATTAGTGTCTATAGATGTCTAAATATCTGCCGGTAAGGTGGAATTCAAAATTTGAAGATTTAAATTGAAATTGGATTTGAACATGGTATATTTAGTACATCGAATAGCAACGTTCGTTCAATCTTGTCAATCAGCTCGTAGCTGGTTTATAAATTTTCCCAACTCGCCAGGGAACAATCATGTCGTCCATGAAATCTGGGGCCGGTTATTTTGACACACAATATCGATTTTGGCGTGTCTCGATCTATCTCTCCTATCCCGAGAAGGGCAGTAAACATTGGAGAAGGCCAGGCTTAGTGCGCCATCCGCCTATATCATCATGATTTGTCTATCCTCTCAGTGCACTGTTGAACCCCGCACACCCTTACAGGCGCGACGAAAGCTTCATGTGACGGTTAACATCCTTGTATAGCAAGTATCGGAACTTGCCAGGGCCACCGGCGTAACAAGCCTGGGGACAGAAAGCGCGCAGCCACATGAAATCACCAGCCTCAACCTCAACCCAGTCCTGGTTGAGGCGGTAAACAGCCTTACCCTCCAGAACATAGAGACCGTGCTCCATGACGTGGGTCTCGGCGAAAGGGATTGTGCCACCGGGCTCGAAAGTAACAATGGTAACGTGCATATCGTGGCGCAGATCGTTAGGATCGACGAAGCGGGTTGTGGCCCAAGCACCGTTGGTATCGGGCATCGCGGTGGGAGTAACATCCTTATCGTTCAAGAAAAGAGGCTCGGGGGCATCCAGTCCCTCGACGGCCTCGTAGGCCTTGCGAATCCAGTGGAAGCGGGCGGTGGAGGTACCCTTGTTGCGAAGGGTCCATCCGCTGGCTGGGGGGAGGAAGGCATATCCGCCCTCGGTGAGTCTGTGTTCGGCCCCGGCGACGGTAACGGTGACCTCGCCCTCGACGACGAAGAGGACGCCCTCAGCGCCGGCATCGAGCTCGGCCTTGTCGCTTCCACCTCCCGGTTGCACTTCCATAATGTATTGCGAGAATGTCTCGGCGAATCCGGAGAGAGGTCGGGCGATGACCCACAGGCGGGTCTGCTCCCAGAATGGCAGGAAGGATGTCACGATGTCACGAAAAGTACCCTTGGGGATGACAGTGTAGGCCTCAGTGAACATAGCCCGGTCGGTCAGAAGCTCTGATTGCGAGGGCAGACCGCCCTTTGGCGCATAGTAGGCGCCAATGGCCTTGCTGTTGTTGGCCATGGCGAAGATATCAAGATTGAGGATCGAGATTGGGCCAATTGGGCTTATCGGGGGGGTTGGAGGGGTAAGTAAAGAGAGTAAAAGGAGAGAAGTGAATTGAGGGGGAAGATAAAGGTTCTCTCTCCAGTTTCCCGGGGTTCGCCGCGTGAATTGAAGTCGCCTTGGACCGAAGTTCGGGCCTCTCCGTGCGGGGAGTTTCCGGGAAAAATGCGTGGTGATTGGTCGGCGCAACTCCGAGGCCGCAGCGGGGAAAAGTGCTTATCGTCGGCATTTCAATTGGATCAGGTAATCTATACCTCTCGACGAGAAGGAATTGACATAGTAAGGGACCTCTTCTCTAAGCCAGTCATATTTTGGGAGATCATCAAGCTTGCCCCGCTTAATTTTATGCTTAATCCACCTGCACACGTTGGGCCGTGGATCATAGCTAACCTAAATTTGTCTATATAGAATCGGAGCCCTGGGGGTTGCTGAATAATTTGTGAGCATTGTAGTTGTGACTGAAAGAGCAGGAAGTATACCAGTATCGACTGGTCTGTCTGAAATTTGTGAATTCATATACCGAATTAGGCCTGTCGTCATATACTTGTATTCATTGGCAAGAAAAGCTCGCAGTATACTATATAGATGAGTCAATTCAATCATAACACGCACATTGTCATCAATTAGCCAACCGCGCAAACATTTCCTTCATCCCATCAAACTCACGCCGAATTATATCTGCGTGGGCCTCACTCCTGGGCGTAATCTTGAGAGGGAATCTTTTAGGACAAATCAAGAATCCACCTTCGTACCCCGTATCGACCGAAATATCAGGCGAGCTTGCAGACACATCTCGCTCAATATCAAAAGCCCATACCAACTTTGCAATATTAATCTTCAACGAAGTCTCTGCGAGTTTCTGGCCAGGGCAAATTCTGCGTCCAGCGCCCCAGCCATAAGCCGTTTTGCGCTGCTCATTTGGTGCCATTTTGATGCTGTCCTTGGTTCCGTACGTGTTTCCTCCGAGCCAGCGGTCGGGATTGAAAGTGTCGGGATCGTCATATTCGTTTTCGTCGTGGTGGATGGCCCAGGTGTTGGCGAAGAAAATGGTTCCCGCGGGGAAGTTGTAGCCTTTATAGGAGTCTTCTTGCGTGAGCATGTGTGGAATTCCACCAGCTGCAACTGGTCTCCAGCGAAGTATCTAGAAGAGTCAGACAGCAGGGGAAAAAATATAAATCCAGACAAGGAATTATTACCTCATGCATGCAGCTTTCGATATACGGTAGACTTTCCAGATCAGCTAAAGTCGGCGACCGTTCCAAGCCGCAAACCGCATCCACATCTTCCTGAGCACGCTTTAGCGCGACAGGATTCTCAACCATACCAAGAAGAAACGATAAAAGTGTAGACGAAGTTGTATCGGACCCAGCTTCCATAAAAACACCACCCAGGTATGCAGTATGTTCGTCATCCATAATATTCTTCGCCTGATCGTCGATAAGCTTCTCCATGAAACAACCAACTCTAATCCCTCGCCCCATTCGCTCCTTGGTCCCGTTGTAGAGTCTGAAGTAAATTTCTCGTTGATCACGTCTTATCTCTCTTGCCATCCGCTTCCACGGAGCGAGGAACTCGGGAATATGCTTCAAGAATGTCATCCCGTCAACTGGCGGGGCTGCACCCGGCTCCAAGAGCGCAGTAAAGCGGTTCTGAACATCGTAGAGAGCTTGGATGTTTGGAGAATCGAAAGTCTCGCCTCTCTGCCCGTACACAGATGCGAGAATCACTGCAGTAGTATATCGCTGGATGTGCTCGTAGTATTGCCCCGGCTCGCGGAGGATATCGTATGCGGTCTGAGCGGCCTCTGCCTGTTGAATAGGGAGCACAGCTGCGAGTTCGCGGGGTGCAAAAAGGCCCTGGGTTGATTTGCGGAGAGCTTTGAATTCACTTCCGTAGGGGGTGAAGAGGATGTGTGTTTGTCTTTTGCAGATCAGCTCGTTCGCGATGTAATTCGGGGGTCGGGATGAGTAGATTGCGCTTCGCTTCTCGAGAAGTCTATGAGTGAGGACCAATGCTAATCAGTAGGAGCACGAATAAACAGGGAAGACTCCACTTACTCGTGGGCATCCCTCCAATTATTCAAAACTACAACGTTTGCCGGCCCGAATTTGAGACCTATTATTGGACCGTACTTTGATGTCCACTGGTGAAAGCTGTGTTCAACACGTAATTAGCCACGAGGAAAAGCTATGAGGAGGGGCTTATCGGGGGGCGAAAACTGTTGACTGACAGTGCAAATGACTTTGAAGCAGGAATCAAATTCAGATTTCCTAGGAAGGGAACTGGTTTGGGACCTGGTGGGAAATTCTTCGGTCGGAAGCTGGCCCAGGAATATGGAACGATTGCGATGATGAGCGCAGCAAAGATTCCCACGGCAGACGAGATAAGTAACAAGTAAAGCTTCGCCGTCCAAGCGAGCTCTTCATTGTCCGATATCTGGACCATGTTTAAAACTAGCAATGTGCCCTGAAAGAGATGAAATGTGGCTCCGAGGGCACTGAGGGGAGCGGGCGAGGAAGAAATGATCTTAGCTACAAGTAAATGCTCTTCGTATTCAATATATATACTAGTAGGGAATATGACAGGGACCCCGCTGTGATATCGCCCTGTTCCAGTGGTTTGTATTTGTCCAAGCGAACGCAACTGCTCCAGCCAGTAATCATCCATTTATTCCCAAATCCTTTACTGATCGGCGGGGCCCCGCACCTCAACTTGCATAGCTAATGTGCTGTTTGCGCATCATCAATGCAGTACGACACGAACAAGTCCCGCACAGAATAACTAGTCCCACACGGAGTCGTCCCGCACCATGATTTCTTCTTCTGGGGACATGAAAGTGGTTTGTGACCTGCACGAGGGTGCTAATAACAACTGGAATACGGAGTATCCCATACTAGATGCTCCGCCGCGTCCGGTGGATGTCGTCGGCGGCGATTGCGTAGAAGATCTCGGCCCAGCTTGAGCCGCCCCCCGCAGCTGGGCTTGATCGGCGAACGAATGACCTGCATGTTTTTGCCTTTGGAGTGGAGTCCCAGTGGACCTCAGGGAGCGCGGCCCGATATCTGACGGCTCAACTCAATTTCGAGAGGGGCATGATACTGACTAGATTCATACAGGAAGTCTGTGAGATAGTATTGGCTACTAAGGCAGAATGAGAGAGACAATAAGTCAAGGTGTGTATAGAATGAAAGACTAGCTGAGGCTCGATAGAGCTTAACATACTAGCAGCGGTGTGGACTGACTAAGCCTGTGGGATATGAGGCCTTTCCAAGGTTGATCTAGGTCTGAAACAAAATCGATCATGCAAGTCTTCATGTTAACTGATATTCTCGCAGGAACCAGATTCTCTCCAATGGGACATACGATTGAAAATCGAACAAAATAACATTATCCAGAATAACACCCCATACCATAATAAGCCCAGTTACCATAGGTTGATAGATAAGCAGACCAACCGTTCCATACATAAGGGGTATATTGACACGAATGAAAAAACAAATGAGAAGAACAAAAATAAAATAAAAGGCATTCCACCAGAATCAAGAAGCTACCGACCATATTAGACGCGATGTTATTAGGCGAATGCACTAACAAAGATCTGGGTATGAGACAAAATCACTGCGAGTAAAACCGCCGATTCTGTTGAAAATTATGAGGAATAGGCGGCGGACCAAGCGGACTATCATCATCGCTGATGATATGCTGGTTAGGATCGTGGCGCGGGTGTGATACATGCAAAGCTTGAGCTTGAGCCTGGGCTTTAGCTTTGGCATTATGGGCCGCTTGTTGCTGTAGCGGATTTTGATTTTGAGAAAACTCCGTGGCAAAAGGGATAGGACTGGTGGACGTGAAAACAGGTAGACCCTGCTTCGTCTGTGCGGCTGTCGTTGCTGCTGGAGAAAATGTATTCGAGACAGATCTTCCATGTGACATGGATCTTGCATGTGAGACAGAGTTCTTAACCGAAGCGCTTGAGACCATTGCGATTTCGGGCGTGTGTGGCGATGGCATGCCAGCTGAGATGTAGTTTGATTCTGCGGCGGGCATGGATGTGGGTCGCATCGAAGGAGTTAGAACTTCTGTTGGTACGGAGGCCGGGAAGATTGGGTCTGCGATGCTTGTTTCTGTTTCCACTCTGGCTCCTTCCCATGGCGATGAGACTGCCGGCGTTGGATTAGGTCTCGATTCCCCTACGCTGATAGCCTCCGCGCCGACAGCTCCTGCGCTGACGAACGTCGCGCCGGTCGTTGCGATATTGTCTTGCATACCCAGTCCAATGGTTGGATCGGGGAGAGCTGGGGGTGACATGCTGGATGAAGGCTCAGTGCGAGTACCTCGACCGCGTGCTGTCCTGGTGCTGCTGCTCTTTCGAGGGGAACGTGGAGATTTGAGAGTGCGACTTCCACGGGACAATTTTCCGTCTGCTGCAGCTTGCTTTTCACGCGCTGCTTGTTCCTCAGGCGAGGGCATAACTAGTTTTATCTTCCGAAGCCCCGACGTTAGATTCTCCACATCATCGGATGGTGGGACCTGGTCCGACAGCTTGGATGGAAGGAAAGCATTTGGGACCTTGGGAACAGGTGGAGCCTTGCGGGGGCTTGCAGATCGTTTGGGGGTTGCAGGTCGGGAGCTGTTTGATTTTCGGAGGCCGGTGACAGTCCCTGTAGCGGATTTCATTGATGCGGCCGAGGATGCTCTCCTGGTTGGATTGGCAGAGCTTTCCAACTTGCCTATCTCGATAGGCGCCACCCCACTAACACTTTTTCTGCGGCTCGCATCCACGGAAGGGGACTCTCCCGAAGGACTGGGTAGGTCGTTGCCATCGATTGTTGTTCGTCGATTCTTACGCATGGCTTGTTGGCGAGGAGTGGCGGGGCGAGGTGAGTAAGGAGTTGGGGATTTATTTTTGCGTACACGCAGCTGGCGCTTCTCATCAATGGGAGCCGGAGGAGGCGGCGGAACGATAGCAGGATTGACACCACCGTCCAATGCAATCTGGCGATCACGTCGTTGTCGGGATGCCTCAGCGTTGAGCTCTTCAGCTCGGTAGCTGGTTGTTTGTCGATTCTCGGGAATCAGGACTTTCGACAGCTCATGGGCTGCCGTTGCCCATCCGACCTCTGGGAGTGGAGGCAGCTGGTGTTCAATCGCTGTGGATGATCCAAAGGATTTGCGCGGGTTAGAAATTTTTTTTCGCAGAAAAAGACCGAGTATCCTTCCAATAGCCTTTCTCCCTTTCATCCTTGGCCGGGGGCAGATTGAGCATCTCTAACTCGGTCAGCATGCTCGGAGACCACCACTCCTTGTCGTACCCCTCCTGAACAGAAAGGTGCTCGAGAGCAGAAAGAACATCCTGGCTAGCTGTTTCAGACTTGACGTATTGAGACTGTAATCCATCTGTCGCACTTCCCAGTCCAGATATATGGCTGAGGACACCGCTGCTCAAGGCGCGGTCACTGTAGCCCCCTTCCAGGACACTAATCACACGCCCGTCAACACCAAGGCCCTCCTCTTCAGACATACGCACAACGTCAGCTGTGAATCGTGCATAAAACTCAGTCGGTACATTGACCTTGTGCCGCTGCATGCCCGACCCTTCCCATTCGCTCGCATCAAAACCTGCAGAAATGAAGATAGCTGCCTTAGGTGGAGGTCCAAAGGGAATTTCAGAAAGGCGCTTGGTATGGGCACGAAGGAAATTCCGTGCCTTGTCTATCAAGGTCATGTATTGTGTTTCGTACAGATTCCAAAACTCGGCCTCGGTCACCCATGTCTGCAAGTGCACGTTCCAGATAGATTGATTATGCGCTCCATCAACACACACACTAGCATTACGCACTTTCTCCGGATTGCCGTCTTCGCAGGGGTAAGAGTTGATATCGTGTAGACTGTAGTATCCAATAGCTGCTTTCTCGTACGCGGACTGATTTCGCGGCGGCGTCAATGCTTTGTGGTTATGGTCAAAAGTAATCTCTTGCGAGCCGTCGCCGTGGTGGAGATCGAAGTCGAGGATAGCAGCATGCGTGAGACCATGGTTTGTTGCCGCATAGGAGATTCCAACATGAACATTGTTGATCCAACAAAAGCCGGAAGGGAAATCAGATGAACAGTGGTGACCGGGTGGTCGAATACAGACGAAGGCCCGGGTCGTCGGGCCTGAACCGAGAACTGTATCGATCCCATCACAAACCCCGCCCAATGCGCCTTGGAATGCACTCAATGATTCGGAGCAGAGGTACAGATCTCCCTCGTGAAGGGGAGGAGGTTTCTGATCAGTGACTGCATCTCCACCTTCAACGGGCGGTCGAACAAGCTCCTTCCCAGTCAGGGCGAGGCGAGATTCCGCAACTCCACACATACTATTCAAATCAGACATCCATTGCGTACCATGGACGTTGGTAACAGCGGTATCTGAAAGCAGGAGGGTCCGGCCCGTCTTGCGGATTTGGAATGGTGGGGGCAGAGTAAAGATATTCAGGTTAGGATGCGGCGCATACGGTCCCCCGATATGACGACGGCCGAGCCGAACATACGCCGCAGCGATACCAACAACACAGGCCCGCATGCGCTCTGGCCTCTCAACGATAGCGGCGAGGTGGTTTCTAGTTGTTCGGGGGCGCGAGAACCGGTGGCCGTAGCAGGCATCGTGAACAATAACGACCGTCTTGGACTGTAGATCCTCCGTTTGATGCAGATCAACTTCCTTCTGGAAATGCTCCGCCGCGATCGAAGCTGCTGTGGGTCCCTGGGGAAGAAGGCGCGGTGGCAACATTGCGGGCGACGCGGCGGTGGTCGGGGACCCCGCCAAGTTGGCGGATGAGCGTCGCGAATCGGGGAGTGGCGAGGATGGACCGGTGGGGTTTGAGACGGAGCGTAGTGAGGCGGTTGATGTACGTTTCTGCAGGACTGGTGTCGACTTGACTGGTGTTGACTTGCGGCGTTCGTCACGTAGGGAGTTGGAACTGGGACTGCGCCGAGGGGTACGCTGGTTGGGCACTGGAGAGCGCGATGCGGGATCGCGGGTGGAAAGGAGAGCTGGAGATGCGGGCAGAGGAGTCGCGGTAGCATTGACGAGTGATAGACGGTTTAAAGAGTCTGCTAAATCATTATGGGGGTGGCCTATGTTGGTCAGATCGCGCGGGCGACCTGGGCGATCAATAGATCGCTGACGCGCATCATCCTGCAAGTTGAAGGGCTCCATTATGCAGGATCATAGGGGGAGCCTTGGAACATGCAAGCTGGAGAGCAGCAGAGCAGTAAAGAGAACTGTAGTAGAGAAGCAAACAAAGTACTGGTAAGTGTAGCAGTTAACTTGAACGGAAAAGGAGTTGCGGGATGAAGGGAAAGTTCACACTTCAATGGGGCAAGGGGTCAGTCGATCATTCCACACGACATTCTTCACTTTTGATTCTTGCCGTGTTTCACTCGAACATGTTTATCATGATGTACTAGTAGTATGTATAGCTTGGATTTGAATAGTAGATTTCATCTTTCTATTTTAAAAACATCTCTAGTTTCTAGAGGAGACATAAGACATAAGCCCAAGTATAAACTCCAGGGAAAGTTCACGCCCATCCCACCCGAACACCGAAGCTGGAAATATTTCAATGAAAAAAAGGAGAAACAAAAATATGACAGGAGAAAGATAAAAGAAGAAAGAGAAAAAAGGAGACAGTAGACAATGATCATCATCTAGCGCGACCGCAAGCCCCGCCATTGAGACCATTGAGAGAGTCGGCGGCCAAGCGAAGACTTCTCGTCTAAAGACCCAGATGAAGAGGAGGCCTGAGACTGTTGCGACCGACGGCGCCATTTGTCTTCTTGCTTGCGACTCTTCTTCTCGGTCTTGAAGCCACGAGAGGCGTGCGAGTTGCAGAAGCAGTGCATGTGGACGGTCTCGATGCTGACGCCAGCGCAGCTATCGCGACGGGCACCACCGCAAACATTGTAGCCAGCATCTGCTTCACAGTGGCACCATTCGTAGACGGTAAAATATTGACGACACATGGTGGGAGGTTGCAATTGATGTGAGTTGCGAGTAGATATGATTTCACAGAGGATCGTCGCGGTGATGTCAGCGGAGAAGAGCTGGCTGATGTCGATCACTCGCGGTATGATGAATTGGGTGTCTTTGGAAGAACAGCACAAGTTTGAACACGCAAGTGGGAGCAAAATGTGGTCGACACAAAATGAGGTCTTTATTCTCCTTTTATTCGGTCTCCTTTTTTTTTCAATTGCGCGGGCTTCCGGTAGAAGCGGAGTTTCGGTGCCGAGAGGGAACTATGCGGATGGGCCGGATGTGGGTCGGCACGAAGAAGAAAATAGGAGGTTAAAAGGGGGTTGTAGAATAGTTGAAATGTTCAGGAGTAGAGGCAGTAGAGGATGTAGAGGAAAGAAGAGAAAACCCCAGGCCAGCTGAGAAGGAGGTTGGAGGTGGAGGTGAAAGAAGAAGAAGCTGGGCAGCGGGTTCTAGATCTACTCCCAAGAGGGGCAGTGAATACAAGGAAAACCAAGCCGGTCTGACGTCAAAGACACAGCAGAAACGGCCGAGCTCGACGCGCAATGCCCCTCTACGGCCGGTCAGGCTGATAAAATACTCGGCGTTGCTGGTTCACAGTGGAGAATTAGGGCAGTTGACATACCCCATCCGTCCGGCGGTTACATCTTCGCGCAACAGGTGGGATTGCAGTTCGGTGGTTCTCCTCCTGGTTCGGATTTTGCCCAGCCGCCAGAATGAAGTTCGCCGATGCTAGGCAGCACATTAACTAGTTGACAATAATAGAATTGGTGAATGAAAGGTCGTCGAACAAAGGAGAATAGCCCGCCCGTCAGCCCATTGTTAGCAGTCGGCGCCTACAGTAAGGTTAAAAATAGGCTGAATCTGAATCGCAGCCGAAACTCAGCGGCAGCCAGATCGAACAAACGGTGTAGCAATGAACGGTGATCCGCAGTCGCCCGGGGTTGTGGGCTAGATCAGCTTCGGTTGGTTTCATTGGACAGAGATCGTGTCTGGGCTGCCGCCAGGACCCGGTGACGCCGGGTTGGTGTGTCAGTTGGCGCCGAAGGTTGGTCAAGAGGGATGGAGATACATTCCTAGCGTCGCATGGAAGAAAGAGTGGCTCGCAGGGATCGTCGATCATGGACGCAAACGGCCTAATGATTGATCATCCGGCCATTGAGGTTCTTTGGAGGTTGGGGGCCGCAAGGGACAAGCTCGGACAAATTCGGTGCCTGGCGGCCTTGTCGCCTGAGTGCCTGGGAATCACGTGCCAATCCCTTCGGTGACAGGTCACCTGACGCGGGAATCTCCGCGGAATGCGCTTTTATGGTTCCCTTTACTGCCTGAGGCAGCTATCTTATCACCCCGGCCATCAAAGTAAGTTGCATGAACAATTGCAGCTTCACCAAAATCATTTTGCCACACCAATTGACACGGCACACCTACTGTTCCTGTACTTCCTCCACGCCGGAGCTGTCATACCATCGCCCCTAACACCACCGTCGACCACTCCCAGACCCCTTGGAACGACCTGCAATGACAGAACCCAACATGACCGCCACCCCCGCGCGAGCTTCAACCCTATTCGCAAACCTGAACGCAGTGACAGCACGCATCGCCAATGCCTCATCTCAGAGCGCCGCAAAGAAGACCGTCCGTTTAATCGCCGTCTCAAAATTAAAGCCCGCCTCAGACGCCCTAGCCCTCCACACCTCCCCCGCCGCCCACACCCACTTCGGCGAGAACTACCTCCAAGAACTCCTCGAAAAGTCCCGGCTGCTGCCGAGGTCAATTAAATGGCACTTTATCGGCGGACTGCAGTCAAATAAATGCGTCACGCTGGCGCGGGATGTACGCGGCCTTTGGGCCGTTGAGAGCGTGGATTCGGAGAAGAAGGCTTCGTTGTTGGATCGGGGCTGGGGGGAACGCTCCGAGGAGGAGATTTCCGCCAGCAAGGCGCGAGCAGATGAGGACGCCGAGGTTGAAGCTGGTGATGCACGACTTCGCATTTACGTGCAAGTCAACACATCCGGAGAGGAAAACAAGTCTGGCATCGCGCCGGAGCAAGCGCCCGTGCTGGCTCGATATATTCGGGAAAAGTGTCCCCGACTCAAGCTTCAGGGTGTTATGACTATCGGGGCGATTGCGCGGTCTCGGGCTACGACTGCTGAGAATGAGAACGAGGACTTTGTGGCTTTGCGCGAGGCGAGGGATCGGATTGTGACTGAATTGGGTCTTGAAGGGGAGGATGCTAAGTTGGAACTTAGTATGGGGATGAGTTCGGATTTCGAAGGGGCGATTGCCCTGGGCAGCGATCAGGTCAGAGTGGGAACCACCATTTTTGGGGATCGGCCGCCTAAGAATGAGGCGAAGGTTGTTTGAAAGATAGTAGGTTTGTTGTTGGGGGACTCCGGGGAGATCAAGAACAATATTAAAAGGCTTAAAAAAAGGGCGCGTACCCAAGTACTACAAGGAAATTGGTCAGAGTAGAGGAAAATAAAGACACCAAGTTATTACAGACCATCTGGTAGGACTGGATCTAAATCTAAGGTGTTGAAGATTCGGAGCGATGGCCCCGAAACTTAAAATCTGGAAACCCGGTACCATGGCATTGGTTCTTACAACTAATATACTTCAACTATGCTACCTTGGGAAGTAACCCTTGAATTACGGATTCGCGCTCTGAGACCCTTGATATCCTTTCTTTTTTGAATAATCTGTGGATTTTAGGGTGCATGGTGTGTATTACTTTGTTTCACAAATACAAATACTACTAGTGTATGAGAGATGGTACGCGCGGAGAAAACTTTGGAAGAAACCACAGGACCTCGGGATGATATGCCCATGTAATAGCAGCTGGAAGAGGACGGAGGAGTTGAGAAGAGAAATCATGATATAGCTACTAGTACTAGTAGATCCGCTTAGAGCATAACAGCTGATCTTGACTAGGCTCTCGTGACAGTTGTTGGTTATGTAGCCAAGTATTGTATTGAGTGGTGGGGATGGATATGCATGAAAGCGTAGACGGATATCAATAGATATTTGTAGTAATAGACGACGGAGAAGGATAACGGAAGGAGCTATCAGTGAAAAAGGTATGGCATACTGTATGCTTGAGGAATACCAGCCTCGACAGAGTGTGCGGACCATCAGTAAAAGAAATTCAGAAATACGCCGGAAAAGCGGCGATTCACGTGCAGCAGTGTGTACACATCCCTCTCCTCAGCCAGATGGTCAGCTATAGCAAGGAGAGGTTACGGTGGAAGATTCTTGAGCGAAGGCATGGCCAGAAGTGATCGAAATAAGCAGAAATTGGAGGCTAACAAAGGCTAGGTGGAAAAATAAAGCTGTCAGTATGGAGAAGATAGAAGCATTTTATAAGAAAGAGGAAGTAGTATCAAACTGACGAAATGGCCGGTCAAGAGCCAGAATATATAAATTTTCAATCAAATGATCAAACAGAGATGGAAAAATGATGAAAATCCTTGGAAACAAGGTAGAAAGTAAAGGAAAATGGCCACATCGAAGGTGAAGAGGATGTGAAGCGCCAGTTTGGGCCTTGGCTGCCAAAGTGAGAAGTGAGAGAAGGCGAAACGACCTGTTCCTCTTTCTCTTCACAGATGGAAAATAATGATTGATTATACCGAGGTATCCAACAAAGCTAACTTATACCACTTAATAATTAATAATTCTGGAAATAATATCGGCCAAAATACTTCATTGAACGATACGAAGGGAAAACATAGACTAGTTTAAAATACCCTGGCGGCATGGTGGCCAGGATAACAGTCATGGGCCATTGAGTAGTATAGCCGTATTTTTTTTCCAAGGTTCGAATGGCTAAGAAATAGTTAGGATATAGTAGCAGCGGTAGTAACTATCCTGGTAGCTATACTTACTGGGGGTTATACTTACTGGGGATATGTAGATCAGCCACAGCGCATCAAAGATAATCCAGCACCGCCACGGTGAAACGCGGGCGATCGACAGCGGAAGTGGCCCAAGGCCAAGCACCAACAGCGTCTCCTGGCCTGTTCCAAACGTTAATCCCTCCGTCTTTGGCTGGCCATTGCACATTTGTCTTCCTACCGATCAGGGACATGGTTATCTAATCGATCGCAATCCACTAAGGTGTTCTCCGCGTGGCATGAGAGACCCTGACCTCCGAACCCCACAGCCGACAAACCCCCGTTCACCACCACCTCCCTTGCGCGTGAGATCGAAACAACACCGAGTCGTCGCTGCAAACAACCTTCATCATGTCATCCATGCGTGGACTGGTGCAGTTCATCGCCGACCTGCGAAACGCGCGAGCCCGAGAGCTAGAGGAGAAGCGCGTCAATAAGGAGTTGGCCAATATCCGACAGAAGTTCAAGGGCGGCAGCCTCAACGGCTACCAGAAGAAAAAATACGTCTGCAAGCTGCTATATGTCTACATACAAGGCTACGATGTCGATTTCGGTCACCTCGAGGCGGTGAATCTTATCTCTTCCAGCAAATACTCCGAGAAGCAGATAGGTTATCTGGCCGTTACCCTGTTCCTACACGAGGAACACGAGTTGTTGCACTTGGTTGTGAATAGCATTCGGAAGGATTTGCTCGATCATAATGAGTTGAACAATTGCTTGGCTCTACACGCTGTGGCTAATGTTGGTGGTCGGGAGCTCGGCGAAGCCCTCGCCACTGAAGTCCACCGATTATTGATCTCCCCGTTAGTATACCCCTATACATCCCACGCGGCCCAGGAGCCTACGGCCCTACGAATGTAGGAGCTATGAATCTAACTTTGCATAGTACATCGAAAGCCTTTGTGAAGAAGAAGGCCGCCCTGACCCTCCTCCGTCTTTACCGCAAATACCCTGGCATTGTTCGCAGAGAATGGGCCGAGCGAATTATCTCGATCATGGATGACCCCGACATGGGCGTCACCCTCTCGGTAACTTCGTTGGTTATGGCACTGGCACAAGACATGCCCGAAGAATACAAGGGCAGCTATGTGAAGGCCGCCCAGCGCCTGAAGAAAATCGTGGTGGACAACGAGATTGCGCCGGACTACCTCTACTACCGCGTACCTTGCCCATGGATTCAGGTCAAGCTGCTTCGTCTCTTGCAATACTACCCACCTTCCGAAGATAGCCATGTACGCCAGATCATCCGTGAATCCCTTGCCCAGATGATGGCATCTGCCATGGAAACCCCGAAGAACGTTCAACAGAACAACGCCCAAAACGCCATCCTCTTCGAAGCCATCAACCTCCTTATTCATCTTGATTCAGAGCACAACTTAATGCTTCAAATCTCCTCTCGCCTGGGCAAATACATTCAATCCCGCGAGACTAATGTCCGCTACCTCGGTCTTGATGCACTGACACATTTTGCCGCCCGAGCCGAAACCCTCGACCCGATCAAGAAGCACCAAAATATCATTCTGGGCTCACTCCGTGACCGTGATATCAGTGTTCGCCGCAAGGGATTGGACTTGCTCTATAGTATGTGCGATACAACCAATGCGGGGCCAATCGTCAACGAGCTTCTACGTTATCTACAGACAGCGGACTACGCGATTCGTGAAGAGATGGTGCTCAAGGTTGCCATTCTTACAGAGAAGTACGCTACCGATGCCCAATGGTACATTGACATGACCCTAAAGCTGCTTTCTTTGGCTGGTGATCATGTCAACGACGAAGTGTGGCAACGAGTCATTCAAATCGTGACAAACAACGAGGAGCTGCAAGCATATGCCGCCCACACCCTGCTTGGTTACATGAAGAATGACTGCCACGAGAGTCTGGTCAAGATTGGTTGTTATGTTCTAGGCGAGTTTGGACATCTGATCGCGGACAATCCAGGGTCCAGTCCCATTGAACAATTTTTAGCACTACAAGCCAAGATGTTCACGGGATCTGATAACGCCCGAGCTATGATCCTATCCTCGTTTGTCAAGTTTGTTAACTTGTTCCCTGAGATCAAGCCCCAGCTGTTACAGATCTTCCGACTTTACAGCCACTCCCCTGATTCCGAGCTGCAACAACGAGCTTTTGAATATCTGTCTCTGGCAACACTCCCGTCGGATGATCTTATCCGAACTGTCTGCGATGAAATGCCTCCCTTTTCGGAGCGAACGTCGATTCTGTTGTCGCGCCTGCACCAAAAGACAGCCGGCACTACTGAACGAAAGACATGGGTGGTTGGTGGAAAAGATGCCAACGCAGATAAGAAGGAGGTCCTACTGGCCCAGACGACTGGTCTTAAGCGTTCCTTCACAACGATTGTTAATGGCACTCGAACGGGATCGAACGGAACACCGACTCCGACCAGTGCCACGAGTGCCTCTGGTGACTTGGCCGGTCTAGACTTCTCCAGTGGGCCAACACTGCCTGCTCCAAACCTGGCTAGCGCAGCTCATCTGACCCCAGACTGGGATATCGGCTTCAACCGGCTCTATTACACGCCTGAAGGTGTTCTCTTCGAAGATGCCCAGATCCAGGTTGGCTTGCGCTCGGAGTACCGTGGCCATATGGGTGTTGTCAAGCTCTACATTTCCAACAAGTCTTCTTACCCAATTACCTCGTTGACTACAACCGTCGACAACCCGGCTGCGCCAAATCTCAAAATCGACACCAAGAACCTCCCTGACTCAACAGTCAATGCAGCGGCCCAGACCCAGCAAACGCTATTCTGCGCTGTCCACGGACCATTCAGCGATGCTCCTACCATCCGAATCTCCTACCTGGCTGGTGCGCTTCAGGCATACACTCTCCAATTACCTGTCCTGATGCACCGCTACATGGAACCATCGGGGCTGTCGGCCGAAGACTTCTTCAAGCGCTGGCGACAAATTGGCGGTGACGCCCTGGAGGGCCAAAAGACCTTCGGCGTAACAGCTAAGAACAAGACCGCCACGGAAGGCTTCACCCGGCGGACCGTGGAAGGATTTGGATGGAAGATCCTTGATGGTGTCGACCCCAACGCGAAGAACATTGTTGGCTGTGCTGTGTTCCAATTCGAGGCTGGCAAAACAGGTTGTCTTATGCGGTTGGAGCCTAACTATGAGAAATCGGTATGTTTCCCCTCTCAGTATCCCTTTGGTGTAATTAAGCATAAATCCCATGCTAATATTCTTCATAGATGTATCGCGTCACCGTACGCGCTACGCAGGAAGGTGTCCCACAGGCATTGGTCAAGCAGATGGAGCAGAAGCTGTCCCAGGGAACGCCGGCGGATGGGCCTTCGTATGATTAATAATCGGATGGCGATGATTATGCATGTATATCTTAATTCTAGCCAATACCAGCGAGGATTTACGGATCTCTCGATTGTACATTCAATGTGTTTCGCTTTATTTTCACTACATCCCGACCGAGGTCATCTGCTGGTACCCCTCAGGCCCGCGGACAGTAGGATCGTCGATTCGTTCGGAGTGTCACTTCCCAGGTATCTAAATGGATAGCTTCCTTCCTTACCACCTCAACTGTCCAACACTACTAGTACTATCCATATCATGCCATTCTGTATGCCTCCGAGTCCTCCGCACGTACTACGAGTAGGCATCAGATGTACTAGTACAGGATATTTTGAAAGTAATGAATGATATCTCATGTCTCGTTATCAATTACCACAATCGCAACCTCAAGTTGACAAGTGGGATGAATAGTATACAAATAAAGCAATCAATCTCCAGCCTCTCCAACGCCGCCCATGAACTATAACAGCAAAGTGTGTTCAAGTGGGGAATGCATAAAAATAACCACCAAAGCAAAGGATTCGATCGAACCAATGATTTAAGAGCGGGTGGTGAAGTCGACCTCAAGGGCAGACTCGACACCCTCGGACTTCTCGCAGGTGCAGGAAGCTGTCAAGATCGTTAGTTTTGAATTCTTTGTGTGAACCCGTGGGATACCAGGTGCTTGACTTACCAGAGGGACGGCTGCCACAGGCGCAAGCATCACCCTGAATGGGCTGGTTCTCGGTGACGGAGCGCTCGCAAGTGCACTGGCCAGCGGGGCGAGTACCTGTCAATTGAATTAGTTTTGAACTCGACATATATATTCTGTTTTTGGAAGTCAAGACATACGGCATGAGCAGCGAGGACCGGCGGTGGCGTTCTCGGTAGCGGACTTGTTGCAAGAGCAGTGGAGAGCGCTCTCCTTGCCGCAGGAGCACTTGGCCTGGGCAGCGCAGACGCAGCCAGCGCCGGCGTTGGTCTTGCAGCAGGTGGAAGCGGGGTGGACCATTTTGAAGATTGGTGGTGATTTGTGGTTGGTTGGTGGTTGGTTGATAGTGGAGATAAAGATCGGAGAAGCTTGCAGCTCAAGATTGAAGATCAACGAGATAGAAGAGTGGTTTGTGAGTGTTGTAAAGTGTTCAAGAGAAGACTGTTTGGAATGCAGGATGAGGATGGAAAAAGAAAAATGATATCGAGCAAAGCATTTGGTCTTATAGCCCAAGGTGTTCGTCCGTCTGCGTCACTGCAAGTGGCATGATTGCCAATGGGCGATCGCTGATTGGTCAATCACCACCGTGTAAAGTGGGGTCATGTGATCCCTGCCGGTTTGGCTGTGCAAATGCGCCTTCTTTCACTGGCTGAGCTTGTTCTCCCCTGTTCCTGTCCTGCAAGGATGTCTTTTGCTGACTTTTGGCTCATTTGTGATTCGATAGAATGCATAGCATGATTGCCAATCAGCCCCACAGGAGCATGTACAGTATGAGTCCACCGGCAAGTGGGATGGGATGCAGGGACTCGAAGGTTCAAGAACGTCCAATGGCACTCGGCCCGGAAATACTCCGTATCATATCTGAAAGGCAAGCGGTCACTGGGAGTATCTATGCCATGGGTTCGTACAATTATGTCATGAACATCACAACTTTCCAAGGTTGTTGCCAGAACCTTTCCTTTTGCGATCTGAACCTTGGAACAGAATATCATGATGCTCCGTTCCCAAACCGTCCGCGGCCATGCTCATGACTCGGCTTCTCCTGCCTTATCATCTCTTCTTTTTCTTTATATTTAGCACCCTCGAATTCTTACTACCAATCATATCCTCACAATGGACGCCATTGTTCGTACGATGTCGCTCATTTCCATTTTCAGACTCCTCGCTATTTTCCTTCTGGCAGCGCTAGTAACGGTATTAATCGACATTTGGTTGGCATGGTTTCGATACTGGCGGTCCCAATGACAAAAAAAGAGCACCTATAAAAGAACTCTGTAACCCAGCCGTATCTCGACAGTTTATGAAGAATATAGCAGAGGAAATATTCAAGATCTTACAAACATAAGGATCACGTCGATGTTAAGAGGCTTTTGCTACTACTGGTCACAATATAAAGAGAAAGACGCCATTGTGGCTTTATTATGGCCAGCTGCAATAAATCTCATAGAGAAAAAATGCTGAAGCTCTTTCCCCAAATTATCCGTCGGAAGCTTTTATACGATTACTGAACATAATTAGATAATTCGACTGTTTGAGGGCTACAACCTTGGAAGAATGCAGATTTTTGACGCCAAGGAGGAAGGTATAAACTTTCGCCTTTGGGCGCTATAAAATATGTGATCTACCATTCCGAGGTTCGATCAACGAATTAACTTATGTCGAGGCTAACTGGGGCCACACCTCCCCAGGTGCTCCGGATCCTTCTTGGAGCATGAGATACCTACCTAGGTATTCTGTAGTATAGATCTAAATTCAGACCAAGGGATTGCAAAAGGTGGTCCTGAGTTGGAACCGGCTTACTTATCTCGAAATTGAAGCTGATAGACCCTGGTAGCTTCGAAAATAGCTCTTTAAGCGTAAGGTCGTAAAAGGGCCATCGAACAGAGAAGTGTTATGATGCTTCTCGCATCTCCTCGGGCGGCGTATCAACCCATTGTGGCCCGGTCCATCACGTCGACACCATTGATGTCTTGTCAGTCCTGGCGCATCTATTCTTCGAGGCTCAGCGATAAGAAGGTAAGAAAATATAGGTGAGCTTTTGTAAATACAGCTTCATCGATAGTCTTCCAGTTAGTGACCTGTTAAACATGTAAGTGAATGACCACATCCTAGTAGATCTCAGAACCAAAAAAATCCTTCGCCCGGTTTGAGAAGAAAGTATCTCGAAAGTATAATGGTGGTATTTGAAAGGCCCTACTTTGTGGTGAATGCGGCCAACAGTGGCTTTCGTGGGCGAGACACATCAACTTAAAGTCACTCGCTTTTGGTCACATGGGAAGACCCAGGGTATCCTCAACTAATATAAGCCCATTGATTAGTGTTGTGACTCGAGCTGGTGCAAGTCACAGTAAGCAGATATTTCTAAGAACGATTTCATGAGTCTTTGAGCCTAGTCAATTTGTTTTATGGGACTTTTAAAAGGGCACTCGCGATAGGTTCAAGTTGTACTCATGAGATCCAATTTTCATATAGAGGATGAATTTGTACTATCCTGTCAAGGTTCTTTTGCCCCATCGGGTCCAAAAGAATATATAGAATAGTAAGCGGCATACATAGAGATGCCACAATATCTCAGGATGTTCCTGCCTAGTAGTAGGTATTATTTTTACATATTAATATGCTAGTTCAATATGACAGGCCATCGCAGTAGGCTCGTTGACGCATGTTTTAACCTCTGATTTAGAAGATCTGTACTTCTTAACTCTATGTGGTGAGGACGGGCCTTCGAGCCCCACGCGAGCCAGTCCTTCCCATGCCCGGAGGTACCCGGAGATAGCCTTAGCCGTCTTTCATCCATTCGCCTGTTGCTCATCGCCACCGCCATTCATTCGTGCACTACATACATTATGCTTCCAAAATTTGCCCTCATCTGAATTCATCACACCCCGCAGCACTATATGGCCCACCCATTCCTCCCTAAATGAAGAAAACGCAATTGGCGACCCAGACTTGATGACGCCCCACTGTCATCAAGCCCCACTCATCCGGAGTTAAGAGCTTCTTTGAACACACAGTGCTCTTGCTCAATAAGGCGCTCGGCAGGAAGCAATAACAACCATTAGGTCTTTAGGGATACAGTAGGGGTAGGTTAATGTGTACTAAGCTCTCTCTCGTCAAGTTTTAGTCTATGCCTGCTTCTCCACAGGAAACAGGTATGACGAACTAATTGGATCTGTAGATCGAAATTTGTGCAGATCTATGGATGCTTTCAGGTGTTTAAGGTAAGTGACAAAACGCCGAATATTTAACTCCGGATACTCCGGGTATACATAGTACCTTTAAATGAACTACTTAACAAGCCCTCGTTCGCTTTTTTCTCAATTCACTGTTTTCACACCACGTAAACGCAAAGTCTACAATCGCAAATATGGTCAAAACACTTCCCTTCGGCGATCTTCAGGTCCCTACGCCCGGATTCGGTGCAATGGGCCTTAGCTTTGGCTTGGGCAGCAAGCTAAGCTTAGAAGAAGCTGAGCCTGTTTTGCTGAAAGCAATTGAGTTAGGATGTACATTCTGGGACACTGCTGTAAGTCAACATTTCACGATCTACAGAAATTGCTACAGTATCTAATGATGATCGCAGGTTGTCTATGCGGCTGGTATCAATGAGAAACTTCTAGGTGACTTTATCAGAAAGCACAACGTTCGCGATAAGGTGTTTAGTAAGTCCTGCAACTCAGTCAGGAAGCCTCCGTGAAACTAATTACCATACGCTATAGTCGCATCGAAGTGTGGATTTGACGTTTTTGGAGAATCGGGAGGGGGTGTCACCAACTCTGCCTCGCATATCAAGGAGTACATTGAGGGCACGATCGAGCGACTTGGTTTCGCTCCTGACCTATACTACTTGCATCGAATTGACCCGAGTGAGTCGCCTACTGTCATTTCCCCCCCTCTTTTGAGACATGATTGCTAAATTTGAATAGATACACCTCTTACAGAATCCATTCCGGCGCTAGATGAGATTCGAAAAGCCGGCAAGACCAAGTACATTGGGCTCTCGGAATGCTCAGCTAAAACCCTGCGGACGGCTAATACAAGTGAGCTCTAGCCCAACTTTATCCTATGTGGAATACCTGCTGATGCACCTTAGTCGCAAAAATTGATGCGATCCAAGCCGAGTATTCGGCATTCGAAACACTGCATGAGACAGATGGGCTCATCGATACCGCCAAAGAGTTGGGTGTCGCATATGTCGCCTATAGCCCGCTAGGACACGGCTGGCTCGTGGACGAATTCGATTATGAATCACCTGACGACTTTGCCCCTGATGATTTCCGTCGTGGCTGTGAGTGATGCCTCGCTTGACCGTTTTTTCCTTTCGAGATATTAATCTTCTAAATAGCTCCCAAGTTCCAAGGCGAGAATTTCTACCAGAACAAGAAAATTGTCGAGGAAATCAAGAAGCTCGCGACTCGCAAGGGGTGCAAGATCAGCCAAATCGCAATTGCCTGGGTTGTTAGCCAGGGATTGATCCCTATCCCTGGAACCACGAAGCCAAGCCGCCTTGAAGAAAACTGGAAGTCTCGAGATATTGAAATAACCGAGGAAGAAGCGCAAGACATGCGTCGCATCATTGATGCTGGCAAGCCACATGGAAACAGGTATAGTGCCGTCCATCAAGCCATGGTTGGCCACTAGACTAGCAGAATACCAAATAGAGTGTGAGACAATATCACATACGATGGCAAAGCAAGTAATAGAAAAGCCCTGGGTCCCCTGAGGCGTAGAATCGGTGTTCATACTAATCGAATAGGTACTAATAGTAGGTAGTACAAATGGCACAAATCTAAAACCGCCATATCACGAACATATCTACTACCACGAAGTCTGTAAATGGTCAAATGCCCACTGGCAGGTGGTAGCCATTTTCGCTAATAAGATGCCCAGTATCGAAATATGAGCCCCTCATTCCAAGGTTTGTCCATATCTCAAACCCATACCTATTAATGCCCCACTTCCTTAGGGTAAGCCGGTGGTGAGAACCCATAATCTCAGTTACGAAATCGTAGGCAAAACAAACGAAGAGTCAGATTGAATAGAATAGACTGGTAGAAGATTGGGTATCCGGATGAATAATTGAGAAAGCAGAACAGGAAGAGGAAGCTGTCGTGGTGTTAAACCGGGCTTATGGTCACCTGAAAAAGCTGCCCTGGGCGCCACACTACATAGCCAAGTAAGCCATGCTAGGTATCACCAGCTTCATGCCCACAGTGGGGTATGAAGGCTGGTCATATTTGTACGTTCCGACTGCCTATACCCTTGGGAATGGCACGGGAGATCCTTTATCCCATCCATGATTGCTGGCTCAAAAAATGATAGAAAATAGCCAAAATACCGGTAACTCGTAGAATCCATAAAAGCAAGAATAGATTTTATGGAACACGGCTCAGCTCCTCATCTGACAACAGACAGGTCATCTGTACATCGATGCACGCTGATTTTACGAAGACCATCCATCCTGGAGTGGGCGCTATCGGAATAATTGAAATCTTGTCGCCAGCCTCGAGACTTTTGCCAGGGCTGAGCGAAGCGACAACCCGGTGGGCTTTCGAGCATGCGTGTAGGCGCTTTCGGACGCCCATTCGGACCAAGATTGGATCGTGATCTTTCGCATCTGGGCGTTCAATCTCAATCTCGAAACATGCCTGTTCAATCTCTAAAATCTCTTGATCCTCATTGTCAGAGCTCTCCTGGTGAAAATGACTTGAAATGCTCAGGATAATCTGCATGATAGGATATCTCAAGCCATGAACAAGTTCAGTGACTAGATATGGAGTCCGTCCTTGGCAATTGGCTTCGGAAACACACAATGTCTCTTTCCTACATGCTCTATCGGAAATCCAATACTGAGCTTGGTCGACAATCTGTAGAACAATATGTCGAGGAAGATCCCTACTACCGCATTGGCGCAAAACGCTGAACACCTCAAAGATGTCCCGCGGCTGCCGAGGATAGTAGGTTTCGCTGGGCCACGTGTCTCCAGAATGGCCAGGGATCGGCATACGAGTAAGCGATGGGATATGTACTGTTGAGCCTTTCTCAACAAGGGAGTAGATAGCCTGAGGTCGACGCTGGCGTTGATATGTCATCAAAAGATTGTTGCGGGTTATGATTGTATTAGGGTGGTCCTCTCCCGGCGAAAGCATCATACTTTCCAGAGTTTTGAGCCCGAGTTCTGCCGCTTCCTCCAGGCGGCCTTGCTCCCTGAGAGCCGCTGAAAGATTATTCTGGGACGTCAGAGTTGAAAGGTGATTCTGCCCAAGTGCCTCCTTGAAACCATCTATCACCTTTTCATGGATGTCCACAGCTTCTGAATATCGCCCAACTTGAGAATTCTGATAGAAAATCCCGAGCTGGTTTAGCGCCGTGAGCGTACGAAAATGTTTCTCTCCGAGAACCTCCTTTCTGAGTGCAATTACATGCAGGTATAGCTTCTCAGCCATGTCCCAACGCTCTTGTCTCTCGTGGATTTCTGCCATGTTCAGCATCACAGTCAGGGTATCTGGATGCTGATTGCCAAAGTGTTTTTGACATTTATCCAGTGATTGAGCAAGCAAGGGTTCAGCATCCTGCCAACGCCCCTGGCGGATGTATGCGGATGCTATGTTAGACATATAGCCTATTGTCGTGGGGTGGTCTTCACCAAGAACTCGCTTGCAGGTCTCGTACCAGTTTGATCTCAGATCGTCGGCAAGTTCGTGTTTACCCTGCTCATCGTACATCGAGGCTAAGCTAAAGGCGTTTACAATTGTGTCGTGTTCATCCTCTCCATTTACCTGTCTGCTTTTCTCGAATACTTCAACCTGAAGCTTCTCCGCCTCTTCCAATTTTCCCAGGTCCTTAAGGGTTTTAGCGAGGTCATGTCCAGCAGGGATACTCAATGAATGGCTTTCACCAAGTACCCGTTTAATTGTCTCATTCAATGCAACTTGCAGTGCCTCAGCATCGAAGAGTCGCCCTTGTTCAAAATATGCCACACCCAAACCCCTCAAACTCCGCAAGGTGCTCACATCCTCGGGACCAAGTAGCTTTTCTCTTTCTGCTCTAGATTTGGAAGCGAACCTTTTCATATCTGTTGCGTTTCCACTTCGGCGGGCATACCGGGCGGCACGATAAAGTAAATAGGCCCATTTAAGTAAAGGCACCTCTGAACCCGGACGCTGCGACATTGACGATTTCACATGTGGATATAATTGTCTCCAAGTTTCAGGGTCATCAAATTCACCCTGAGGAATTGCTGAGCAGAGCAGTTCTATAAATTTTGCATTCCAGTATTCGAATTGCTCCTGGGTATTTAGCCAATCCCTAAGCGCAAGCTGCACAAGCCTGTGCATCTCAAGCATTTCCCGGTTTTGGTTTATTGAGATAAATGAGAAATCTCTCAAGGCAAGAATATCATTATAAAAGTCCAAGTCGTCATCAGGCCCATCGGACTCGGTTGCACTATCATCAGTGTCACTGCATGGCTGACTCGTGGCACCTGGATTTGAGTTTCCAATTTTTGACACGCCTTGTAAGAACCTCTTCGGAATGCCTTGCCGGTCAAAAAAGCTCATCAAGGAAAGGAGGTTTGCGGCGGATGATCGGTTTCGCTGGATATAATCAAAGGATATCTGCCAGGTGACCAAAATAGAGTTGCTGGAATCAAGGTCTCGTTGAGGCTGCTCACCGTCATAGTCCAGAATACGATGATTCTTCCGAAATATTTTTAGATAGTGGCGTACCGAGCATAGTGATGCGTGTCTAATGTACGAAGTCGCCTGCACAATTGCGAGTGGCATGTACTCAAGTGTCTCCACGAGGTCCTTGACATACTCCTCGGTCGTTTCGATAGATAACTTTTTCTGCGCCAAGGAGATTGCGAATTCGGGGATCATTGGCTCAATTCGGAATATGTCGCATTCGTTCACGATCATGCGGGCCACCTTCTCATTCCGAGTAGTCAAAAGTATAGCGCCGTGGGAGCTTCGAGGAAGGAATGCGAGGAAAGGCTTGTGTAATGCAGCATTTTGACTGTGTGCCTGCAGAGGCTCTCGCAGAAGGCTCTCGTCATCAAGGTTATCGAGCACCAGCAACCATTTCCCTTTTTTTTCATCACATAGCCAGCTGTAGACAAGTTGAAACACGCTCTCTCGAGGATCATCGCGTCCTGGAATCTTAAGGCGGTTGGCGATCTCGCGGTAGCTTAGCTCCAGGCGCGCTGAATTGCTGACGTGGACCCAGAGAACGTAAGTATCTGGTGAACTTTCACGGGCCCGGTAACAATATTCAATAGCCAACTGTGACTTGCTTGATCGATGTTAGACCTGAATTCAATGGAGTGAATGTTGTTCACCGAGCTTACCCGACACCACCGAGGCCAAAGAGTGCTATTCTGGAGGCTGGCGAAGAACACTTCTGGTCGATATCATCAAGAATTGTACCACATACAACAAAGTCAGGATCCCGACCGAAAGGTATCGTAGATAAAGGCTCTGGTGGGGTTTCTGGTGGACCTGAAAAATGCGTTTGTTAGCTAATTATAGACCGACAACTTGAAACTTCTATATGTACCTGGATGTATATGGAGCTGCTCGGTCTGGATGATATCTCCAAGATTCGTGACCACCTCAATCCCCTTATTATCCGTGCCAAACTGCGCGTTTATAGCCATGACTGCGACATATGTGGTACCCGACCCAAATGCTAAGTACGGTCGTTAGTTTCAGCCTAATGAGCTCAGCTCAGCCCAGCCTTGCCTTATTCATAGTCACGTGTGTAGATCTCGCCAAACGCGGGCTTGGGCGCGTAGACCTGACACCTGGAAATGGGGCGGTAGGTAGTTATACCCTGCCTAGGTGGGTATTAGAGTGTCCGGGATGGTATGTGTAAGGTGATTCGCCCAGTCCTTTGATATTTGATTTAAATGACAGATAAGAAAGCCCCTTGAAACCAACCGAATGGCAATTTCATGATATTGGTACACTTCGCATCCACAACGCTCTAAACTAGGAGGCATGCCTAGCCAACTCTTTCACGAGCTTGAAATAGACACTACCATGCGGCACGAGCAACTAAAACCCCCGGATTCCCTGTACTTCCCTTCAGCTAGCAACTTCGTTTATTCGATCATGTCGATATCATCATCCGCATGTGCCGGAGCGGCAGCAGCAGCAGCGGGCGCAGGAGCGGTTTCGACAGGAGCTGACTGAGTGACCGCTTGTTCGGGCTGTGCGGCAGATGTTTCGGCAGAGGCATCGTTACCTCCCCAGTAGTCCTCCATCTCTTGGTCCAGTTCCTCTTGTGTCTTGCGGGGACGGGCGTTGGAACGGCGACCACCATTCTCGGCATTGCGGGGCTTGTTGTCGCGTCCTCCACGGCGGCCTTCGCCGCGTTGGTTGGAAGACCGCTGTCCAGGGACGTATCGGTCAATGCCATCGGGGGCGGGTCCGGTGACATCGCTGCGGCGAGCACGACCAGGTCCACCGCGACGGCGGCGAGATCTGTCTCCTTCGTTGTCACTGGTAGGACTCAAGCTGCGAGCATTGCGTGCGGGGCGCTGCACGCGGTCGAAAAGAGAACTGCCAGTACGATCACCGCCACGGTCGCCGCCACGATCACCGCCTCGACGGCCGGGGATGAGAGACAGACGGATGGGTTGGCCCTTGGCGTTGGCGCCGTCGTACTCTTGAATCGAGGCGTGTGCGTCCTTCAGATGGGCGTATGTGATGTAAGCGACTCCCTCGGAGCGTCCAGCGCGGTCGTAAGCAAGGGTTAGGGTAGAGACGGGGCCAATTCGGCCGAAGAGATCCTAGTTGCGGTTAGTTAGGAGCAAACCAAGTCAACTGCGTTGGTATAAGATATTCGTACTTCAAGTTCAGTCTCAGTGATGTCGTAGTGGAGGTTGTCAACGCGAACCTTTGTGAGGGCGGAGCCGCTGCTGAGGACAGTCAGGATCGATTATTGAAGGTTGACTTGGTCCGGCAAAAAAACATATCACATACCGATCAGGGGAGTGGCGACGGCGGGGTCCGCGTGGGCGGGCTGGTTGATTGTCAGAGGAAGGATCTCGCATGCTTAATTTAGAGTAACGCACATTCTCTGTCGTTGTCATTGAACTTGTCGTGTACCCAGTCACTGTGTTTTGTTAGCGCCCCATTCAGTCCAAATAATCAGGTACCTGAGGTCTCGACTCACAGGTTTAGGTCGACGCGATCTTGCTGATATGGCTGTTACAATTGCAATAAGAGAGAGAGAGTTAGCTCCAAGTAAGGTGAGGAAGTGTGCACGCAGTGCTTTTTCTAAGTCTTCGCCGCGGCCTCCACGTTGGCGAGTCTCTGAGCTTCTAGAGGACTGGCAACGATTGTGTGTCACGGCGCAACATAATTCGATTGAGGAGTAGGAGGGCGGACCTAAATCGAGATACAGGAGTTAGCGAGTGAAGTTCTGGAGCCAAGCGACAGCAATTACTGTTCAAATCCATTGGAACTGAACTGGTTGATAACTACCTTTTTGACACCATCGCGTTCACCACGACGGCGGCCTTGGCCTTGACCTTGGCTTCGTCGGCCACCCGAAGGACGAGTCGTCTGACGCTGGATAAATGAATCGTGTCAATTGTTGATTATCATCATTGGGTGCGGAGTTCAGCTGGAAGCTTACGGTGTCTTCGGCGATGATTTCATCCAGACTGCGATCCATCGTGTTTGTGTGAGAGGTGGATAGGACGGGTAGTAGAAGGTATTCGGAGAAAGAATAGGAACTTGAATTTGCAGCAGGGACCAGTCGATTAATGGTCTGCGGGGGCTTGGAGAAGGGACGTGGTCGGGATCATCGCCACCTCCGAGGAACGCGCGACCCAGATGGGGCACGGTCACGTGGTTGGGGAAGTAAATCAGGGCAGCATACACATTGAATACAGCTGAATCATCTCATTTAGAGCAGCAATTGATTTAAAATATGACATTATAAGGAGAAAGAATTGACTTTAAATAATTTTAATTTCAATCAAAGGCATCTGAATTGTTACAAACAGAACAGAACAAGTACGATGTAAGAGGGAATAACACCTAACCCCAGCGATGCAGGATGAATATGAAAAGGCAAAAAAGTGAGAGAAACAAAAGGTGAACAAAAGCAAGGAAGCCAAAGGCTAGAAGGAACACCAGAAATCACAACACCTAATCAAAGCAAGACCTCCCAGTATGACCATGACCGGCGACGCTGTGCAAGGAACAACTAAAACCATACTGTTTTCACTTTTCACTCTTTTCCATTCCTTTTGTTCTCCTCTATCATCTTCTCCATGAAGCTGATATAATCGAACTTGGCGAGATCTCGATCTTCAAGCATGTCGGGGCCTTCATGCTGGGGCATGGTCTTGACAAGGTGCTCAATGACTTCATCTGGGATGAGCGAGTGTCGCAGGTCGAGCTCAGTGACATAAGGCTATATTGATTGTTAGTATGAGAACACACAGAGTCACTAGAAAGAAACAAAGAAAGAAAGAAAGAAACATACCTTGCCATCGGCAACTTCCTTGAAACTTTGGAAAACTTGTTCGGCCGTGTTTTGATCCTCCGTCACACTAACCATGAAGCGAATGAACTGCTCAAAGCTAACACCCGCATTTTGGGATAGTCGGTTGGGTCCACAGACTTCCACGTAGACCTGGTGCATCTCTTCTTCGTCATACACCAGTCCCAAACTAGCTAACGCCGCCGAAAACTCCAATTCGTGCAAGGTATTTGAGGCATCGCGATCGAAGTGGCGGAAGACAGACTCAAACTCTTCCAGTTGGATAGGGGTGAGATTGGTCATATTGCGAGCCACCATCTGGTTCTCCAAGAAGGCCAGCTTCTTGGAGATGCTGGATTTGACCAGGCTCAGCTCATAAGAGAGCTCGTCAAGGGTGTAAGTTGTAAAGTCGTTTTCTTCAATATTGGCTTCGGCACATTGCTCATCAAGTTCGGCAATGGTATCGAGGAAAGCGTCAAGAGGAGGTAGATTGTCGCTGAGCTTTTTAACGTGATCCAATTGGTCTTCGACATCGCCATCGAGGCCGGATATGGCTAGTGACAGAGTCTTGAGCGTTAAAGCAAAGTCGTTAGCTTTATCAGCGAATGATCGACGCAGGGCGTTCTTGATATCACGAATCGTCTCGTTAATCAGTTGGCTGCGCTGGTGCTCATCTCGCGTCAACAACTCCCACTCCAAGTCGCATGTCTCCAGGCTTAGTTCCTCTGGAGGATCATAGGAACGTAGTCGATATGTTCCGAGCTTTGTTTTAATGTTTCCAAGTAGGGCAGCCAAATCCGACTTTTCAGCAACCCATTCACGTTTTTGATTCCGTTTATACAAAGAGAATTGGTGCGCCTGTTCCTTAACATCCTTGTATGTTCCTTCAAAAGAGGAGTTCTGCCATGAATCGCGCTGGGAGCGGATCGCCGCGAGGAGTGCTCTCATGCGGCGCTCGTAACCCGATTGCATATCCCACGCGCCATGCATGTTGTTGACAAACTTCTCGACACGGCGACCAGCGTTCTCGACCCTTTCCAACTGCGAGAAGGCGTGAAACCAGTAGGCGATATAAGTCATGAGGGAGCGCTCATCGGGTCGAGGCACATCGCACACGTCGTCGACATCTAGCAAGTCGGGGATACCAATTTCATTCGAAGCAATCTCAAACGCCAGCTTCATATTCCCCCGGTGGTCGCTCTTGTCCAAGGAGTCGTAGTCGATCAGATCCGGGCGGTGGATATCGAGTAGAGCGCAAAAGGCCAATCCATTATTCCAGCTGGATGAGAAGTCGCGGACTTCTACATCCTCGTAGCAGGCCGTTTTACGTTGACACCATAGCAGCAATCCCTCCTTGGCTGACATACCCGCCTCGTTGATGTCGCTAATGGTGAATCGCAGAATAAGGGTCCAAATGAGGCCCAAGATGATCTTCCGGTTCCCATCAACGATATCCTCGGCTCCGATATTGGTCATCTGAATTTTCCTCCCCTTGATGAAATCGAGACTCTTATTCACATTTTCGAATCGTTGGACGCGCAGCTTGGGTTTCGAGGCGTATCGACCGAGGGACTCGTTGCCCAGAATCTCGAGGAGGTGAATGAGCATAACCTGTAGGCATCATGGATAAGTATTGGTCGCAGAATGTGGCTGGGTTTATCGTGGGGGGGAGGGGGAGGAAGGGAGGGAGGTTTAGATGGTAACTCACTCCATCGGAGAGGTCGGTGACGAGGTCCTCAATAGCCAAGGCCCGGGCCTTGAGCTTGTCATTTAGCCTAGAGCATCGGTCAGTTCGAGTCCAAGTGCAGGTCCAAGTTCAAGGGTTCATCTCAACAGCTCCCGCGCCAAATGCAGGGGAAGGGAGCAGGGGATGGGATGGAGTGGAACGGAATGGTAGAGAAGGGGCCGAAATACCATTTTGTGAAGGTCTTTTGTTGCACGTTAATCCATTGCTTTTCGACGGTCAACATGTTGACGACATTCAGGGCTGCAGGGCTGATGGGGATGCAAAATGATGGTGGGGGGAAGGGCGGCAGAAGATTGCAAATTGAGCGGGGGAACAATGAAGGATCGACCGTAATTTCAGGGTAAGTCAAAGGGACAAAGGGAGGTGCGTTAAACAAAATTGTGGTCGATCAAGTCTAGTCGAATTGAGTCAAGTCAAGTCAAGGGGGGGGGCGGGGACGGTCTTTCCCGCCGATCACCCCAGCAACCACTCTGAGTATACTATGTAGTGATATTGAGTAACTATACTGTATAGTGTATAGTGAGTATACTAAAACTAGCTGAGTGTAGTCAGTATACTAGTAGCTAAGTAAGAATGGCTAGCTGAGTACAGCTGATCTGTTTGTCAGCCACATATCACCATGGCCATTTTTGCTACGATCCACTTCACCACGATGATGTGATCGCCTAATCCCAAATGAGCCTATTCGTGATTCCCTTTACTAAATAAAAATAGGAATTATAGAATAAAAATTGGAAAAAGTTCCAATCATACTAGGGAAGGAAGGAAAAAGAAGCAGAAAAAAGGTGAGTAATCAAATGATATCATCCCCCTCAAATGGCGTGGGCCGGCAAGAAGCGGGGCGCGAGGGGATTCATCGAGCTCTTCAATTTCTCGCTTCCTTCTCTTCTTCTCCTCTCCCACCAAACCACTACCTCCTCGACTCCTTCCCCAGCTCCTCATCTAGGAGATAATATACATCATGCCGATCAATAGCATCACCGATACCCTCTCCCTTCCCAACTCCCAGCGCGTCCCGCGCCTCGGCTTTGGCGTCTATCGCTCCCCACCAGACCAATGCATCCAGTCCTGTCTGAAGGCATTGGATGTGGGATACCGTCACATCGACACTGCACAATTCTACGCCAATGAGGCCGAAGTCGGCCAAGCTCTGCGCGCCTCCGGTCTACCCCGCGATCAGGTCTTCGTCACCACCAAGATCCTCAGCCCCGCCGGTTCGGCCGATGCGACCTACAAGAAGCTGCTGGACAGCGTGGAGAAGATCGGCGGCCCCGGGGGATACGTGGATCTCTTCCTTATTCACAGCTCCAGCTCTGGTCCTTCTGGGCGCAAGCAGCTCTGGCAGGCGCTGGAGCGTTTGCACCAGGAGGGCCATGCGAAGAGCATCGGCGTGAGTAACTTTGGCGTGAAGCATATCGAGGAACTGCGCTCCTTCGCCAAGGTGTGGCCGCCGCATGTGAATCAGATTGAGGTAAATTACATTCTTTTATTTCTATATCGCCTTTCACAAGAAACGGCGCCTTTTATCTACAAAGACTTAAATACTAACGTGCTTTCAGCTCCACCCTTGGTGTCAGCAGCGGACGATCGACGCATACTGCAAGCAGAATGGCATCATCGTCGAAGCCTACTCCCCCATCGTGCGCAACTACAAAGCCAACGACCCCACACTCGTCGAAGTGGCTCAGAGATACAACAAGTCCACACAACAGGTTCTGATCCGATATGCACTGCAGAAGGAATGGGTGCCACTGCCCAAGACCGACAACCCCGAGCGGATTGCCGCCAACGCCGACGTTTTCGACTTTGTCCTCAGTGCCGACGACCTTGAATTGCTAGACTCGCTTGATCAAGGGAGTGCGGGTGCTATCGTTGAGGCAGTTGAGAACGAGTGAGTGTCTGGGCGTGCATCATCCTGGAGCTCAAGTAGAATACCAGCCACTCTGCCAGACCCAGACTCCTACCGCGAGCTACGATCTCTTCCATTTCCGGAATCCGTATCTGCATCGCATCATGACATGAGAAACGCGTTGACCGATTGAAGCGTCGAGCGGGACGGGTTCACGTCGTGCTTCGACGACACAATCCAGGCAAGACGCTGTCGGATGTATTGTTTGCCGACACTGCGCTCGCCCTGTGAGATGTCAAATTCCCCCTAGAGCACACTAGTTAGTCTCTCTTTGGTTTCGTTTTTGTCTTTTGATTCCCTTTTCCCGTTCCCATCTAGCGATTGAAATCCATCCAGCAATCCATCACCCCGGATTCTTGACTGCATACAATGCAAATACATACCTTGATCATTGTAAAAGAGACAAATAATCGCAAGAAGCGCCCCTGCCGATAGATCCCTCCCGTTCTCACAGGTCACCAACAAAGACCGCGACGAATCCTCCTTAAACTCCCTCGCAACGAACTCCCGCACCCGATCCAATGACTTCCGTAGATCACGACTCCCCAACTTCGCCGACGCACAGCCCAGGTTCAATCTCTTGCAGACCGGTTTAGCACCCCCTTCAACTTCGCCCACACCTTCACCTTCACCCGGGCCATTAGCATTACAATCGATAACAAGATCATACCCACCCGCCTGACCTGCAACCCCAATAAATAAATTCCTCGTCGGCGCGATACGCGCCGCACTACCCTGCCCAAGTCCACCTGGAGCCAAAGAAACCAAATCCCCAATGAGCGCCGGCAGATCTTCCTCGCGGGTATCCTTCAGCAGCGCACGATGCTCCCAAAAGACCGGCGGCGTCAGCCCATGAGCCCAGCCCTCGGCATCATCGCCCGCTCCCTGGATATATCCGCCCTCGGACATCTCGGCGCCCTGCACGCGCCGTGACGCGGAGCACAGCACGAGCAGGTTATATCCCTCGCCCTTGTACAGATCGGTCGGGTGGAAGTATGTGCGATTGGCCCATGCGATGCGGATCGGTTTGCCTAATTGTTCGCGCAGATGATCGAGGTCGAGCTTTAGATTCTGCTTGAGATTAGTTTGTGCGTGTGTGGTCTGGTGCCCGATGCCCCCGCCTATACTTCGCCCGGGTGAAGAGGGGCTGGGTAGAGGGTGGTAGGCGGGCTTGCTTTTGGCACTGGCTGTTTCGGTCGTGCATACCTTGAGCGAGGCGACGAAGCTATCGATGCGGGATTCGATCTGGGCTTCTTCTGATGCGCCGAGGTAGTTTGGTGGTAGGTGGACCGGGTGGTATGCTGTTTCGGTGGGGAAGAGGGCGCGGTTTAAGACGGCGCTCCAGATTGGGATTGTTTTTGATAATGCGTCTGGCATTACTGTGGATGGAGTTGGTTAGCGGGTTGTCCTTTTCTGGAATTCCGGACAGAGAAAGTCGTGGTTTTGTGGGAATGGTTGCTGGCTTGGGTGAGGATGCTCAACTCTCACGTACATTTTCCTCGGCGGGTCGAGTCAACGATGACACATCTGTTGTTGTAAGTATAGATGTTAGTTTCAGGAATTTCATACATAGACAAAGCATCTTCATCTTTAATCATTGTCACAAAGCTTGGTGGTGATAATGTCTATGGATGAAAGCCAACCCATGGATCCAAGCAAGACCATACGTCAGAAGTCATCCACAAGACAACAGTAAACACCCCCTTGGAAACCAAAAGAAACAAAGAACTAACCCCCCCATTCTCTCTAGCCAGAGGCAAAAGCTGCAAATTCAGCCTACGAAAGCTAAAATCCCACTGTCCGGTGTGACCATCCGTGCTCTTGAAATAGGCACTACCACCCTTGGTCTCGGGGTCAATATACCAACTTCCACAGCGCTCATTCGCAACAAGCGGAAGTCCGTAATGCTCTCCCACCTCGCGCACAAATGCCGCATCTGTCTCGATGGATTGCAGTCGATTGGAAACAGAGAGTGCAGACCGGCGCAACGAAGCGAGAGTCTGCGAGATGGAGGTTTGTGCGGACGGGAAAAGTAGAGAATCCAGCGTCGGAAATGCGCCGGACGGCTCGCATGATCCTTGATTGGTCATTATACCTGCCAAGACTTATTATATACTTGGTTTTGGTAGTGTATATCAGATGAAACGGCGTCGCGCTGCTGTAGCTGTAGCCCGGGATCGGAGTTGAGACCGTGCCCGAAATTGGCCCCGCGCTAATCTTGATAGACAGGGATGGTTTTTTGTGTTGCAATTGGGCCGGACGGGCTCAGGTAAGTATGTGGTTGTAGAATATACCGTCTCATGCAGGGGTGTTGCGAATAGTATAGCTGCTGAGAAGTCTGTCGGCTGCGAAATGCAGATTGGATGCGTTGATGTCCGCCAATCGGGCGGTGGGTTCGGGGTGTGGGGGCCGCCTTCCATAATTAGTCTACCGGGTTATTGTCGGCCGCGCTGGAAAGAACCCTGGGAATTTGTAGAAAAGTATGAATGAGCGATTTAAACAGATGCGTTGATTTGGTGGATTTTTCTTATCTCTTTAATGGTGGTATCTTGTCTATCCGTGTTGTTCGGGAAAACAAGGCTTTCTGTCTATACCACCGAGATACTGACTACATAATAATAATATGAAGAAAATACTAGATAATATATTGAGACTTGCCTGGTACTAGGTACGTGATTATATTTTCTAAATGATGGATGTTTTACAGATGCTTGTATAGTTTGTCGCTATGGTTCCGTGGCCGGGTTGACGTACTTCATATCGTTTCATACGGCCCCTCAACTACTAGTAGTCATCTGCAGCTACTCTCATTGATTACCCAAGGAAACAATTTCCAATTCTCTTTGTTCTGTCGGTCACAATTATCTGAAAACATGGTTTGCTTTTCTGGATGGTTCATAGATATATTAGTAAACAATTGCCCTATAGGCTTCGATTATACTAGTAGCTTTGCAAATTTATACGTAGGTAGTACCTAGGTAAACTAACTAGTAGTACGTATTGAGGAGTACTAGGTAGATGGATCGGATGGCATGGATTTATGCCAGTGGTTGGAGAAGAATGGTGAGGGGGTATCTTATAGAGTATCATTATAGAAATCACGATGTACCGTTCTTGCAAAAACAAACAAGATTAATCACGAATCATATAGTTTTGCTTCGCATTGATTTAGTCATGATCAATCTCGATATCTGTACCAACAGAGAGACAAATGTTTCAAGATACTCGAGCTTGATTAATAATAGTTGAACCTTCAAGTTGGAATGTTTTCAACAGTAGCATCCCTGGGTATAATCTACTCCCGAAGCTTGCATAAAAGGACAACTTGGTTGTAATTATCGCGGTTATATTTAAATCACGCGAGGCGAGGCATTTCTAACCAGAGGATCGAAAAAGCCAATGCTCAATGTTTAGTAGTCAAAAATTCCCATCCCTGTATTCCTTCTCAAGTATGAATCCAAGGTGCCTTGTAGCGTAGACCGGGTGATATCGAAACCAGGCGGACCAGAGAAATCCGGGCCAAGAAGAATGTCCAAACAGCGTGAGAACGGGCCTTGGTCTTAGAAATGACACAGCCAGTAAGAGAGTGTACCAATGCACGTTCCTCGACTGCAGAGTTGTCACATTGTCGCCCTATCCCGTATAGATCACGGGCACAGAATCTCAACCATGCGAAAGAAGATTTGAGTAGGATAAAATACAGGGTACAAGTAGGCACACCCTTTAGGAAATGTTTAGAATATCTTCCCCTGTCATTATTTTCGACGCTGTGGAACCAGTGAGCTTCTGCGACTTTCCATAAGTGCCAGGGCGAGCGCTAAGCCGCGAATAGACTCAGGGCGGTTTGATTGGTGGGAACTTGGGCTGGCGGGGAAAGATCATGTATCTGGTACATGATATTACATAGTAAACACCATATAAATATAGGTACTAGTACTTCTTGCATGACCTCACCCGGTTCCTTCCTCAACGGTCGTACGGAGGTCATGGCTGCTCTTTAGAAGCATCCGGGCCCTTCCTGCCTCCGCCCTGATTTGTATTTGTTACATTCAAGTTGTTTTGCTGTACCGTGACCCCGCTCTACCTTTTATTCTTCACTCCTCACCTTCTCTTCTTTCTTCTTTCCTACCCTCTCCAACTTTACTCTCACCACCTTCAAACTTACCATTACCCCCGCTCAATTCCTACCCCAAGTTTGGAACCCATTCTCGGACATTTTCTCCTGCACCCCCACCATGCCTAAAGTCCGATGATCCCATTACCCCTCGTCCGCTGACCCACCGACGCTAACTGATGACCTGCAGATCACCGAGATTTTCTTCGATTGTGACAATACTCTTGTCCTCTCGGAGGAGTTGGCCTTCGAGGCTTGCGCCGATCTGGCCAATGAGATCCTCGAGTCACAAAACATCGATGTCCGCTATACCGGCGATCAGCTCATCAAGGACTTTGTCGGCCAGAACTTCCGCGGAATGATGGTCTCCTTGCAGTCCAAGTTTAATTTCGAGCTTGGAAAGGATGAGCTAGAGGCCTACGTCAAGAAGGAAGAGGACAAGGTCATTGCAAAGCTCGAGGCCAAGGCCAAGCCATGTGTCGGTGCCAGTGAGGTCCTAGAGAGACTTTCTGCTTCCAAGAAGTACGGCTTCGCCGTCGTCTCCTCATCGGCCCTCCGCCGCGTCGTGGCCTCCATCAAGAAAGTCGGCCAGGACAAATACTTTGATGCGGATAAGGTATACAGCGCGGCTACCTCTCTGCCAAAACCTACATCCAAGCCCGACCCCGCTATCTACCTCTACGCACTCCAGCAAGTCGGCAAGACAGCCGCGGAGACGGTCACGGTCGAGGACAGCAAGTCCGGTGCGCTCTCTGCAATTCGCGCCGGTATTCATACCATCGCCTATGTCGGAAGCTACAATGGCAAGGAGACACAAGACGAAATGGCCAAGGTGTTGACTGATCTCGGAGCGAAGATTGTCATGTACGACTGGGCCGAGTTCGACAAATGCCTCGAATTCATCGAGAACTCCCCCGCCGAGGTTCCTCAGTCAAGCCTGTGATCGACCCTTGGCATATTTCTCACGCGCATGAATCATGACATCAAGCGAATGGTCGTTATGGAGCTTTACTTTTGTTTTATTGGGCTTTCTTGTATTTTGCATGGACCTAGATGGCGCTGTCTGTCCTGCATTTAATTATTCTGCCATCGAAATGATAAGCTTTCATTGCTCATTACAAAGCTAGAAAGAGCGGGCACCTGAGAATATGGGAACATCACCCGACCTGTTTGGCCCAGCTGTGACCTCTCTGCCTCTTTTTTCTTTGTATCGCTAGGTAGTAACTTGAATCTTCGAATAGACAAGTTTCATGGACAACATAATCTCGAACCAAAAAGCTCCCTAGGTCCAGTATAAGAGTGTCGTATCAAAACGATTGGGGGAGCGACCAGCTCACCAAATAAGTTTAGTCAACCCTTTCAGATTACTTGAATTGACTAAGATTTCCATCCCAATTCTAGTGTATTCCAAATTTGAGACTCAGTAGAGCGATAGAAGATAGCTTGAAGCTTGGGATTCACTCGGAATTTCTCGGAAGATAGTTCCATTAGAAAGGGCCTACCTAGGTATAATCAAAAAACAAAATCCCGCACTTGGGAACTCACGTGAAGAAAGCATTAATTTGTTTCAAAACTGACCGAATTGAACATAGTACCTATATGGGTTGGGTTTCCTCCATGTTCCCATATAGAGATCCCGGGGCATTGCCTTGTTACATTCTCTACCCACACTGAATGCCATGATCAAATCCCGACATTCACCTATCCCGTATCTCATACTTCGTATTCTCAACAAACATTGAATTAATATGAGACAATATTCTCAAAGAAACCAGGTTAGCAAACCTTCCAAGGGCATCGTGGTAAATGATTAGATAAGGTCTAGGCCCCACCAGCAAGTGGCCCCTCCTAGGTCCCCAAGGCCGGCGTGAACCCGGGCTTTCTACCCCTCCACTTCTGCAAGACTTGAAAGTAGGAACTTAACGACCTTTGCGGCCCAAGGCATTCTTCTAGGCATACTCGATCCCGAGTCTAGAAGCTTCGATAAGAAGCAAACGTACCTCTTATCCATCCACCTGCATACACGCACTTCCTTCACATTTGACGATACCATGTCGGCACCCACGCAGGCCAAATCCACCATTATTTCCCGGGGTCCACTGGTATGTTATTCTTTGATCCGTTTGGTTCTAATCTCTTTGAAACTTCACCCTGGAGAGGGCAGTGCAGTAGTGCAATCACAGCGGATGAAGCAAGCAAAGATGCCCATCCCGCGGCCCTCTCCCCGCCTGGTCCATGCGTCCTATTCATTTATCTGACGATGTATGTGCGATTGACAGGACCCAGCGGAAGCACGATGGACAAGATTGGTCAAAACTACCTATACCGATCCGCTCGGCGTTGAGAGAACGTGGGAATCGGGAGAGCGACAGGTAAGAATCTGCCATCTGTTTATTTTATGCGTTCTGTGCATTCTGCATTCTGCGTCGTGACTGCTGCCCTGAGCCAATGGTTCGCTATACCCCCTAAAAGAAGATGATGGATGAGTCTTTTTTTCTTCTTCTTTGAATGTCATATCTCGATTCTTAGGCTCCAGGCTGGCGTCCCTCCACTTTATGTGTCCACATGGGTTCAGCCGCATCGAGAGGCGTGCCTTGTGACAGGTGTTTCTATGATCATTGGACTGGTTCCCCTTGGGCATAAGCTTACAAGCGGAACTGATCTCGCGTTCTGAAGTATCAGTGGGGGTCCGATTATTCTCCACAGTCATCATTGGTGGCCTCAAATCTGACATGAGTGAGACCGTTCCATGATCCGCAATCTGATCCTCAATCTCCCTTCTCTCATTTGACACGCATATTCTGGATCAGGGCAGTGGTCGTCGACATGAAGTTGCCTTCTTTCAACCTTTCTTTTAACTGGATATTCGCTAGACCCGCCCGGCCAATTGCGAAATCGATGGCGTAGGCATTGTTACCATCCTCAATAAATCCACGGGGCCTGAGCTGCTCCTGCAAAAGCAATACAGGCCCCCTATCGACAAGGTCGTCATTGAAATACCCGCCGGTCTTATTGACGCAGGTGAAACTCCCGAGCAATGTGCAGTCCGTGAGCTCAAGGAAGAGACCGGTTACGTCGGCGTGGCTGAGCAGACTAGCCCGATCATGTACAATGGTATGTCATGCCCCATGCATACTTCTGCTTCAGGAGAGGTCTCAAGGCACGAAATAAGGCTAATTCTTGTTCTTTTCTTTCTTCCAAGATCCGGGTTTCTGTAACACTAATCTCAACATGGTCCACGTGCGCGTTGATATGACGTTGCCTGAGAACCAAAATCCGAAGCCGGAGCTAGAGGATAATGAGTTCATTGAATGCTTCTCTGTTCCTATGGTTTCCCTTTTTGCAGAGACGCAAAGGCTTGAGAGGGAGGGCTATGCTATTGATGCCCGGGTTGGTACTCTTGCTGAGGGTATTGAATTGGCGAAGAAACTGAAGCTGTAAATTTGCTCCATATCAGCAAAGACATTGATGGATAGCTCAAGATTCTTGCAAATAACATACATTTCACATCAATTTATCCCGCTGATACACACTGGAGATATCTGTTCAAGAATGGAGCATCTATGGATATCTTAAATTTTGTCTATGCTGCTTTTGTCTGCACTCCCGGGTCAAATTTTACCCTCCTCTTTCAACCCTTTATAGAGGGCCCACGCAGCAAGCGTCTTGCCATCTCTTAGTCCTTCCTTCCAAAGGTTCTCTAGGGGTACCACCTTTAAAGTAATCTTCTCTCCATGGTCCCGTAGACCAGTCAACTTTCCTTGTAGCTCCTCGATCTCCTTACGAGGCATACGCTTCTGACATAGGAAAAGGGGAATAAATTCATCACTGCCCCCAGCAGACGGATACACAGCTTTCTGCAAAGTCTCGCCCGACTTTTCCTGCGCCGAGTCCAGAGCCAGTGAGGTTAAGTCAATCAGCTCATCCTGCCGAACAGACAAACCCGTCTCTTCTTGAATCTCTTTCGCCGCGCCACCAGCAAAGGACCCGCTATCATCGAGCATTCCCGCGGGAATCTCGGCAAAGGATAAGGATCCAGCTGGAATTCGAGGTTGAATGGTGAGTATTGCTTGTTTACCTTGCTCTAGAGAGGCAGGAATATCATCCGGCTGAAGGATGAGCTAGAAGATAACGACGTGGTCAGATGAGCGCTCTGGAAAAAGCCGCATAGTCATAAACTTTTGAAAGAAAAAGGAAAAATACTGCGGGCGAGGAGTGATAACGATAACTTACAAGCATACCGACACTGCCACCACGTAGGAAAACGCTACCGGGTAAATGCTCGCCGGAACGATTCGATACATCAGCCTTCAACTTGATGAAGCCCAGCCGACTCCCGCCAAATCGGTCAACGGACTGGATATCAATCTGACGCAGGATATACGGATCATGATGGAATTCGTGGACCGGGTTTTGCTGCTGTGCCAGCGATGCCTGTAGTGTCGATATCCAGGTATTGAATGCAGGGAAGGACAGCAAGTCGTCCTGGGAGAGGTCAGGCGTAGAGTTCACGCGGGTACTGGGGGACCCGGGTAGTGTGAATGAAGACATGGCTCGGATTGGAGCGCTGGATCGAGATGTTTGTCCCGATTTCGTCAAGGCCAGGCTTGACAGCAGGTAGAGGTTCGTGTGTTTGGCGGTAGCTTGCAGTCCTCTCCAGGATGCGGACATGGATCTGTCGAGTTTGACAGTGGTTGATCTCAGGCGGTGAGTCCTGGTGACTTTCTTTTCTTTTGATTTCTGGATTTGTTTTTGAGGGCGATCTTGTGTACGCCTTTGAATTGGGAATTTTAGTTGGATGTGGTCGGGTGGAGCGGGTGTGCAAGATGTGTTCTGAGGTTGATGAAGTTGGTTGGAACGGGGAAGCTGCTTGCTTCCCGTTATGACGTGGCGATTTTCGCGGCCGCGTTTGAACGAAGCCACAATCCTAGGATGCCTCACGAGCTGTCAATACTATATTTCATATTTTCTAGTTCATGTGAATTATGGCGTTGTAAATTTAACTCTTTACTATTTTGCGACTTTTTTTATCCTTTTTTATTAACATTGGTATCAAAGTTCAAAGTTTACATTTGACCTGAATTAATGGTGGAAGATCAATGGCTATACTTGGGGCAATAGTATACATAATAATACTAGTAATAACCTTGAGACTAAATACTACTAGTACTAGTACTATCAAGAACCGGCCACGGGTTTTCCAAATCTTCCAAAATTGAATCACATTTGGTTTGGATTTTTCTCCCATTCCTAATACAGGTAGGCAAACGGATTCCCGGTGTTCATTCCGGTCAGCTTAATCAAATTGGATACAACAAATCTCACGATACCTAGACACAAGGCTAGGAAGCCTAAAGGCATACAGCCCCGCTTCCAGCCCCATGGCTCCTCGTCTGACCGTTCCCAATGGTCCTACCATTCCGTGACCATGCATGTGGCTCAGCTGCCAGACTAGTAGCTCCATAAATGAAACCCATCACCCCCTCATCCAAGCCCATAAAAGGAGCTATCAAGTTCCTGACTCTACCGCTGTACCCTGACAAACAGGATCGGTTGGAAAAAAGAGCAGCCATGAGAATGACCAATGAGAATCCTTCGAAGCTCGCGGGCAGCTACTACTAGTCTGCATATGCATGAGCACGGCTACGGATTATTCTCGTTGTAATCTAGAATACGCGCTAGTGAGCCAACCCACTTTTTAACCCGGGCGAACCCACGAGGAATAAGCTCGATTTTTCGGCCCCCATCCTACGTACTTTTTTTTTTATTTGGCTTGTCGTGGCTTATGAGATTATCATAGTGATCGTCTTGAACGTACCAGTCGGCGAGTCACGGCTAATTTTCTTTAATTTGAGGGCTAGAAGACCCTACCTGGCATATTGGTTGGTTTGGTCTTCACCCGGGCGAGAACAAACAAAAACAAAAACGCGGTACTACCACCACATCATCCTGTTTCCTCTCATCCCTGTATTCCTTACTTGCTGTCATAGCCGAGAAATCATCCAACGCAGGGGTATTTGGGCCTCGGCGAGTTACAACCCTGGGGGAAGGGGTTGATAACCGGTTGCCTTTTGCGAACCACAGGGCGAATTTAGATTTGGGTGTAGTTACTATGTATGTTCAATCCGTGGGATGGTGGCTACCGTACTAGCAGATATTGATAATTTGTATTGGATGTTATTTTCCGAAGGGTCTTCTCATTCGTTTTCATAAAAACTTTCTAGCCTTCACATAAGAATTCTGCTTGGACGTTGCCCGAAAACCATCCCAGAGTGTAGGGGTGTCATGGGAAGCAAGCTGCGCCATAGCGTCTACTACAACTTGAAGTACTAGTAAATCCATCCCTGTCGTATGATGCATGCCCATACTAGAATTTCCTTGCTATGATTCAACTTGAAGTTTTTGAGTGGAAACTTCGACAAGCTAGCTATTCCTACATAGGTATGTGGTCGATATAATTGATTTTCGCAGTCCAAATTGCGCGCTTATATACATCAACGAGCTAATTTCCAAGGTTCGTGGCTCTGGGGCGCCGAGGCGACCTCGGGACCTCCCATCGAACCCTAGCTACTAAGAGGACCATAGTCATACAATCAAATCCCGGCCAAGAGGTCACCAGGACAGGATGGGAAGTATTGCTGGCATCTCGTCGCAGGCTGACAGATGGAAAGAGGGAGCTGTAGCCTATTTCCGACATCGAGCTAGCTTTTTATGGCACGCTCGAGACTAGAAGAATTACGAGTAAAAAGCATGATTTGACCGGACCTACAATAAGTCCCGCGGGGAACTGCGAATCAGAATGTTGTATTTTGCCCAAGGACTGCAAATGCTTTTATGGTGCCCGGAGGGGTGGTCGAATAGTATACTCAAAGCCAAGGCATCATGAGAGCATGCCGACGTGTTCATGCGAACTCGCATTCGGCTTTTCAAAAGCCATGTGTTCTCACAATATTGGGGTTCGTTACGCTCATAAGATGCGATCATCAGACAATATATTAGACCCAAATAATGACCTCGTTTGAGAGAACCTTGGGTGCCGGACACGATGATCAGACCCTCTATGGTTAGTTAACTTGGGGGACTTGGGGTTGACCGAAGGAAGGGTTAGGGCACCCCCAGCCCCGTTTTCGGGGCCCGATAAACCTTGGGTCTCTATTTCAGAACCCGAATTTGAGGTATTAAATCAAATGCGGGATTTGAGGATGCTCATTCCCCTTCTTCGGTGTGGATTGTCTCGGAGGAAGAGGAGCAACGCCCGAGTCGCAGCCCGACTACCTTAGTTTCGGTGGATTTCCAGTGCATTGGGGCCCAGAATTGTGGTCAGTGCAGTGGGAAAACGTTCCATTGAAAGTCGGTGAAGGCTCGCCTCTGCTCCCAACGGGATTAAGCGCGGAGCGGTGACAGATCGGAGATCATTATAACGCAAGGGCGTACAGTATACTGACGAAATGGCTCAAAGTCTTGAAGCTCTAACAGAGAGCTCGGGGAGATTGGAGATGAAGTTTGGTCACTGAACGTTGCTAGGTGGTTTAACCCTGGAACTGCTGCCCACTGCAGATGCGAGGTAGGTATACATGCTTGGGGCTTCCGCGAAACCCCAGCAACTGGTTCCCCGAGGCTTCCACGCATATGCAACGCGCCTTGAGATCCATCATGCTGTATGCATCGAGAGTAAGGCGCAAATAGGGCATCTCTTCAGGTCCAAATCTAGTCAGAAGAAAGAGTGATCAGTCGTTGAAGAGTCGGTTGCCTGTAGCACTCCAATATTGGAAGTGCGACTTTATTTTGTTTAGTTCGCCTCTTCCCAGGTTCTCGGGCAGCCTCGTCGGGGCATGCGAACGAGTGATCATGGAGAGTAGAGTTTGGACAACAACAACCAGCATCATAACAACCACCACCACCAAAAAGAAATTATAGGGATGAATACTGGGCAAGGGCGATAGAGCCAAAAAAGAGAAAGAAGTTGAAGAGTGGTCTATCAAATGGAAGAAGTCGGGTAATCTTTGTTCATGGACTAGGATCAGCGGGTTGGCGCATGATATGAAGCTGCAGTAGCCTAGGTGAAATTCTGGGCTGCAGGCAACCGCTAACAACACGACACGCGATTCAGGATCCTTGCGCTGGACCCATTTTAGTGGCCTCCACACTTTGCTTTTTTGTTACGCTACGAGCTAAGGTAGCGCGCAAGCCAACTCGGTGCCTTGGAACCAGTCAAGGGCGAGTATTTTGACGGGGAGATAATCGTTGATATAAACCCCTTGGGCCCAGTCCCAAGGATACTCCAATTCCCACCCGGGCACTAGTTGAAGAAACCTCCGACTTCCCCGGACCAGGTGCTTGAGTAGTCGTGGACTTGAACGTCAGTACTTCTCGGCTTTTTCCAAGGTTTTCCATGTTGGTCTTCCCCACATCAACACAATCGATCGCGCCCAGATTCTCGAGTCACTTCGCCACCCCCCCCCAAGCCTTTCCCTGTGCACCCCCATTTCTAGACCTTTTTTATTTTTATTTTATTCTTTTTGAAACTCACAAAAATACGATGAAGGAGAAGAAGTTTATTAGCTAATGCTCAACCCACAAAATTCCAGATAATGTCCAGCCAATAAAAGACTATTGTGATTATGGCACGACTGCCCTCCTTACAGGAGTCTAGGTGCATGAAAAACGAGCCCCGATTGGGTCACACTTTGTTGAAAACTGCGAGAGCGACATTTTATTACGATCCGTCGGGGTGAGTCGGCTTGATATTCTGAATTTGACCCCTCCCTGCTCTCCACTTCTCACATACTGATTTAGGCGACCGATTACTGGCACTCGTGTCCTTCCTGGTGATTACATCTCGGAATTGTCAATGGCCAATCCCGTCCATGCATCGACCAACCCCAATTTCCCCAGTGGCCGGCCACAATCGGGGAATCTTGATGAAGGTACTCTCGATACTATCAGCAGTCGTGGTGGGCGAGTGACCAAACCATCGTCGCCTCGCACAAGTGTAGCGCGCACGGACAGACTGCGCCGCAAACATCATTCTCAAACGCCGCGGGGTCGGCGGACACCATCAAGTCAACTAGTTCACTATGAAGAATCGTCAGGACTGTCAATATCAGCGGATCTCAATTATTCACACAGTTATGGAAGTCCGCGGTTAGAGTTGAAGAGAATTCATTCAAGTCCAGTGGTGTTACCGAACCCAAATGGGAGGCCAGATGGTGATGTGAGCAGGGTCTTAAATGAATTTTTACCATTAGTGGAGGACAAAAGTCTCGCTTTGAGATATGAATTTCCTGGGCTGAATCAATTGAAGGACATCCAACCGAAGGGTGAGACGCATTATGACATGGTGAAACAGTTGAAGACTAATCCAATTACCCATGAGCAATTGGTCCCCGAGGTGCGCGGCATCTATCGAGGACTTGCAATGGTCGAGGAAAAATGTATAAAATTGGACAAGGAGCAATCCGAATCAAAGGAGGATTTGAAGCCGGTTCAATGGCAGGCTCTAATCTCTATACATTCCACACTACTCCACGAGCATCATGATTTCTTCCTCTCGTCGCAACACCCTGTCGCTAAAAGTGAACTTACGGAACTCGCCGAGAAATACTCAATGCCGGCTCGCATGTGGAGATATGGGATTCACTCCTTACTCGAGTTACTACGACACAAGCTCCCGGGCTCTTTGGAATACATGCTGCATTTCATATACATCGCGTACAGCATGGTCACCTTGTTATTGGAAAATATTCCATATTTCAGGGAGACATGGATTGAATGCCTAGGGGACTTGGCGCGATATCGTATGGCTATTGAGGAATCGGACATGAGGGACCGGGAGGTCTGGGCAACAGTTTCGCAATATTGGTACAATCAAGAAGCAGATCTAAGTCATGATGTTGGACGTGTTCAGCATCATCTTGCTGTGCTTGCTCGTCCTGATGCTCTGGCTCAACTTTTTTACTACACAAAGGCGTTGCTCTGTCGGCGCCCATTTTACAATGCCCGTGAAAGTATCGCCCTTCTCTTCAATTCTATCCGCGAGCAACAACGACAAGAACCGATGCCTGTGGCCTTGATCGCTACCCACGGTGTTCTATTCCATAACAAGACCTCTGAAGAATTCACTGTCCTCGCAAACAACTACCTGACTCTTCTGCGAAAGGAGATTCCTCAGCTTGATATACAGGGACAGGGGGGGGCCTTTATGATGTCTAGTAACTTTGCGGCAGTTTTTAAATACGGCGAACCGGAGAATGACCTAGCTTTAGAATACTCACGGCAAAAGACTCAAGCTACAGCCGAGGAAACATATCAATTGGCGCTTCAATGGACTTCCCCCGCGTCTTACGGTGACAATTATCTCGAATCGATACCCAACCCTGTCGAAGTCACATCTAAGATATCCTCGCCGGTTGCTTTTAATGGAAGTGCTCTCACTTTCCATTCTATGGCTGTCTTTCTGGATCACATAGGAACCCCCAGTTCTTACGCAGGTATCCACACTGGGTTATCATTCGTGTGGTCTCTAGCCATTCATCCACTAGCGATGGAAAAGATTGAGCCGATGATCCCATGGCTAAAGATCGTCCGGTTTCTGAACACACTACTCCATCTCGAGACAAATTTCGAAATGATTGAAGGACCAACCCATCCCAGGTTCTTGAGGGAAAATGAGAACATTAGGACACGAAATAATTTTAGGATAGAGCAGGAAAGGAGGGAGAGAGTGACTGGGGAAAGGAGTGAAAAGCAGGATGGAAAATTGGAGCCAGAGATTCCAGATCACCTGCCTGAGGATTTCTTAATCCGTGGTCAGGTGTGGAGTGAATTATATTATCCAGAGGGGTTTTTTGAAGGGGGACCTTTAGAGCATGACAGATCTTTTGTTGAACCAAAGCTGCTAGGACTTGTGAGACGGCATCGATGTCTTTGGCTAGGCGTCCGGCTATCAACGGTTTGTGACAATGCTCTATACTCACTGTTTGATTCGAGGCCAAAAATGAGCTGACAAGTCTTGATTGGATAGTTTAATCGTTGGATCACATATGACCGTTTTAGGCCAAATGTCTTTGAAGCTACGCCACTGACAAAGAGATATGCGCTATTCGCGGAAACGTGCGGCGGACTGGACAGCAGCCCTCCGCAAAAGGAGACTGGGAAGTTTACACAGGAAACGGCTGATATGGATTTTGAAATGGGAGGAGCGTGAAGGGAAACAAGATTCTGGCACACAAAGTGTATGTTCTCTGAAAGAGCAAAGGGGCAGCGAACACAGGGCTGTTCCCGTGGGGAGTAGCTGCTGGAGGACTTTCGTTTGCCCAGATGGGCTTCCTAGACTCGGCAAATCTGGCAACATCTTAGGACCGTGGACCTTTCTTTTGTGATATTTCCTTACATACACGGACTCTTTCAATGGATCAGTCAACCGACTACTCGACAGATCAGACAAACAGTCCATGACCGCACGGATGGATCCCAGGCCGGCCGGCCTCCTTTGACAGTACCCCTTTGGATATGATGCCTACTTGGATACCGAGGACCTCTATGCCCATGGAACCGGCCTTGGATTGACGGAAAACTTCAATTTGGACCTTTTTGTCTTCCAGAACGGTCTACCTGATCGCTTGGACCTCTCACCACCGCCATTATCTTGGAGGTGCTCTTCTTGGACGTGCAGGTGTCAAGATTGGGCTGGTGTGGGCAATGCGAGCAGGTAACGATTCCCCTGGATGTAAAATCAGAAAAAGCACACTGACAATAAACAAAGCTAGCATGATAAATGACAAATTTAGTGCTGCAATGGCCTGCACTCGGACCGGTGGCTTGTTTTTTTGCTTTGTTTTTGGAAAGATAGGAGTTTTTTGGGGGCTTTTTGCTGTTTAAGTCACGTTTGCCATTGCATTTGAGATATCCAACTTTGTATACTGTCTGACTGTGACCGATTTCTCATGGAATACTAGCCTGAACCAGGGAGTAAGCACATTCGAAAAAGAGTATACCACTTTTTAGCAGTGCGGAAACCATCGAGGTATGTGAGGGAACCATCAGGCTGGTCCACCTGCACAGTTTGCACTCCCCCTCCCTTTGATTTGAAAAGCAAAACCGTAAGTATAGAACGATCATATCAGCCCTTGCAACGCACGCCGATTGCAGCTCAAAGCCCGAATATTCATCAGCGCTCTTCAGAATATCTGCCCCAACTCAACAGAACCCCTGCAGCTGAGTTTGGAATCTCAAAGGCTTGCCTCCATCAATCATGAATATCGTAGTTATCAGATCCATAAACAAGTATGCTGTGAACAGTATCAACATCCATGGATTATATACGAACAAAGCCCTTCAGTTGTCTTCGTCACCACGGTTTCCATCACGCGCGAAAATATCGTACGGAGGTAAGGTGAGTTCGTCAGGCCTCGGGAGAAAGTTCTGTACTCAATGTAGTACATTAAGGTAGCTCCGAGCTATAGGACAACGATGGTTATAGACTAGCCGGTTTACAATGCTGTTTATATTGACACATCCGAGGCTATTCGAGCTCTTGATGAGAATTTCGTCTCATTCTAGTAGAACAATTTGCCGAATTGTGTCTGTTATATGGAACCTGTCAAACCATACAGATGATACGCTTTAGGTGGTTTCTTGCGATAACAGAACGAGCTTTGGCTAAAGGAGCGAAATTTTCAAGGGCCGAAATAATTCCCCGGCGACATAGATATTCACCGAAAACAAGGTTGTGCTAAGTATAATTCCAAGTCCTGTACCTAGGTAGTACTAACTACGGAACACACTCGGAGAACTGCCATGAAGCACCCAAATTCCAAGGTTTTTGCAAAATATCTCAATTCGACTAGAATTGAATCATTGGATAAACAAAGATAGACCATTCAATTAGAGAAATAAAGACTGAAGAAAATAAAATTAGAATTGTGACATTCCCCGCAGCGGAGCTAATTTGCGGCGCGGCCAGCTTGCGCGTTGCCCGAAAGGCCAAGCTGGCGACTTGCGACAACATCTCCTCTTCGTCCCACGTTCTCCCTTAGCCTCCGAGGCACCCCCCACCTCATTTCTTTTGATCTCGCATGCGTTGACCTTCCTGGATTTCCCCATCGCATGGCCAAGTAATCGCTTTCTCCAATTCCAGGGTATCCCTCGCGTCTCCTGGCTCGCATTTCTTCCCGTTGCTTGTCGCCTATCTCCGACTTCCAACCCGCTATCCTTCACCATGGCGGATTCATGGAGCGATATGTGTCGCCAATGTGTGGGCACAGTGGCTGAAGCTCCAGCTTATATCTTGCTTGGCTCTCTCATTGCCACTTCTATCGGCGTGTTTGTTCTGGTAAGTAGCTCTTCGCTCCTCCCCGCCGGCTTCCAAGCTGCGACCTGCAGACGGAGGTCTAGCCGTATTACCTGCCATTGAAGCTTCACCCCTATGATTCAACAATATCTAACCCTCAATCTCGCATATTCCAGTTCTACCTCTTCCTCTCATTTGTCGCGCCGGTCCCGCGGAAGCCCCTACCCGCAGAAAAGAAGTATAGGACTCTATCGAAAGATGGAGCCGTCACAACCCCCGAACAGCTCCCGTGCTGGTACGACGCGCTCGAATCCAAAAAACAAGCCAGTCCCAATGAAAAACACACTTCCATCGAACCAGCCGAACTATTCATGTCAGTGGTAGTACCAGCCTACAACGAGGAGGACCGACTCTCGGGCATGCTGGAGGAAGCAGTCGATTATCTGGAACATATGTACGGCACATTAAGCAAGGATGGAGCTTCCGCTGTGGAAACCCGGTCGATGCGAAAGCGCAAGCCGAATACAGACGTCGCGAACGGCCACACTGCGGATTCGGGATCGGAGCGAGGGTGGGAAATCATCATTGTCTCGGATGGCTCGACTGATCGGACCGAGGAGGTGGCCTTTCGATTTGCGAAAGACCATCAGCTCTCCCTGCACCCGAAAAGAACAGCCGGACCCTGGACGCCTCAAGTCCCCGAGGGCGTACATATCCCACCGGGGACTATTCGCGTCGTGAACTTGACTCATAATCGTGGAAAGGGTGGCGCTGTGACGCATGGCATGCGCCATGCTCGGGGTCGTTATGTGGTCTTTGCTGATGCGGATGGGGCAAGCAAATTTGGTGATCTTGGAAAACTTGTTACTGCTTGTCAGGAAATTGAGGACTCGGAGGGTCGAGGTGTGGCTGTTGGGTCGCGAGCGCACATGGTGGGCAGCGAGGCTGTTGTCAAGGTGAGTGGAAAGAAAGGAGCTCCTAAGAGCTGGGTATGGATGGAGTTCTACAATACTAACAAATTTCGATACAGCGATCCAAGTTGCGCAATTTCCTCATGCATTCATTCCACTTGATTCTGTGGCTTATGACTCCGCCCAAGACAGCTACTGTTAAAGATACGCAATGCGGGTTCAAACTCTTCTCTCGGGCTGCGTTGCCTTATATCGTGCCATATATGCATTCCGAAGGCTGGATCTTCGATGTTGAAATGCTCATGCTAGCTGAATTCGCTCACATCCCCGTGGCCGAAGTGCCGGTTGGGTGGAGAGAAGTAATGGGCAGCAAATTGAATGTCATCTATGACAGTATTGGTATGGCTTGGGGCTTGGCTGTCTTACGAGCTGCTTGGTCGCTTGGCGTTTATAGACAGACGTGAACTCCGAGACATCAGGCCGTGCTGCCCAGTCTACCTGCGGCATCATGTCGCCATTGCACGTTCGTGAGTTTTTTGTGGGAGGCGTTCCGGTCTCGTTTCCAAATAGGGCTTGCTTGTCTCATTGTGTGGTTTCAGGGACAATAGGTCCTTGTTATCGTGTATACCCGCCTGATTGGGCGCCTTGGTTGCTTGTCTAAGGCACATAAGTATGTACATATCAATACCAAATGGGTATCTATTCAAAGGGATTTCTACAATCCAGTCCATATGTCACTTTTTTATCTATCTATTGACTTGGGTATCTTTTGACCCAAGAGCCGGGCTTGGCTCGGGAAATCATCGCAAAAAGTGGAACCACCAGGATCAGCCCAGATGCCGATGATCGCCTGTTCTTTTTCTTTTCCTCCGATCAAAGGAGTCTTGCCATGATCATAGAGAGTGCTTCATGGTGAGATATTCTGAGGTCATTCTCTACTACAGAGCTTCGTCAACTGCTCAATCTTCTCTGACTGGCATATTAATTGCGATGACAAAACTGTGTAACCCTAACTTGCATGCCGAGTCGTAATACCACGACATCATTTAAGTAGATAGATCATCGCTCGAGGGTTCGGGCCGCTTGCTGAATGGTTCATTATGCCGTAAACGCCCTGCAGAATACATTATTTCCCTGTGCTGATCTTCTTTACCCTGGCATGTTGAAGGTGGGTGGGATGCAAGTTTGTCCATCAATCCAAACAACCGGGTCTTTCTAACGCAATTGCTGTTCATCCATTTCGCCCCATCTACCCGATCCGGGACCGATCTTCCTTGTCAGGAGGATCCAAGCGATTTTAGTACAACGCGGTTGGTTGAAATGCCGAGAATAAATCTCCGTATGTACGCCTGCCCATTTTGGTACTGCCTCACTGCGACAAATGTACTACTAGTATGAACTCCCATTGCCGATTCCCTAAAACGCGATCACGCATGACCAAGTGCGGTGCTGTGACGAAAGGCAGTTGCCACCATGCGACTATCCTTAACCTGTGGAAGGAGGTAGCTGATCAGATGCTTTGACTACTAGACCGGTACTTCATTTGTAATTTTGTCAGTTCTGGTGTCTTGGCCCCTGGGGGGCAATGTCAGCCCACGACTTCATGGGAAGTTCCCGTTCGGCTTGCCGGAGAGATAAGTGGATCATCTACTAGTAATGCGATAGCATCGGGTTTTAAAGGATACTCTACAGTCTGTGCGAGGAGGTCGTTACAATTTTAAAAACATGGCTATCGGGATGGTCACCTCCGCAAAAGAAGAATTACCCTGTCAGGCGTCTGATACCAAACTCCAGCGGACAAAGGGGCTTAAGCTTTAAGTTAATCGACATACTTGCAGATTTTACTCCTTTTGGATCTGCATTACACATATCCGGGAACATCGACAAGGTTCTTATAAATAGCAACTACTTTGCCTTGCTCGATTCTTTCTGGCTATATCTAACTAGCTCCCAAACCTCTCTTGGCGCTCTTTCCAGCTAGCTCTGGAAATTACATTATTACGAGCTGAAAATCCTCCAACTTGAATACTTTGGCATCGAGGTGTTCGCTTTTGCAACAGCAAGGTCTACTATTCATCGCAGTCGAAAATGGAACAGAAACGGACCAGAAATTTCTCTTTGGGAACATCGTTCTTAAATCTACCCCCAGAGCTCCGTTTAAAAATCTACGAAGAAGCACTCGTTTCTCCAAATGATTACACCGACAAACCAATGATCATCATTCAAAATCGCGGCAATACCTTCACAACACGGGGAAGATATAGAGCAATGTCAATATGCCCAAGCTGGGAAGGAAACGACGGCACAGCGCGCAAACTCCTAGGCCTAAATCACCAAATCCACGACGAGGCCGAAGACTTCCTCTACTCAAAGCACACTCTATTCTTCCGCAACTCGTTCGACCTCGATCGGATAGGGCAGTTCCTCGACACACTAAGCCCCACGGCACGGGACCAAGTGCGCAGCGTCGGATTCGAAGTCTTCTTCTTCGTGCACGCCGAAGCAGACGTCCCCAAGCGTACAATGACGGAATACGAACGTGCCGGCAAACTTCTCGCGGAGAAACTCCCTCGCTGGGAGAGTGTGCTGTTTTACCTTGATCCGCGATTCTATTACCCCTCCACGTTGGCCGGAGGCACCAAAGCCGCTAGTACTCGGGGTGTCCTCGATCTCGCGACTCGATTCGCGACTTTATGCAAGGATGTTACTTTCTCCCCACTTCCGGATGAAGACCATCATCTTCTCATAGAGGCGCAACAGATTGTTTGGCGGAGTAGCTCGCCGAAACGGCGTGAGTTGGGAGATAGTCGGCAATCGGTGAAGTATTCTTCTTCTTCTTCACGGGATGCAGAGTGGCATGGACTTGCAGAGTATGACTCTTCGGCACTTATAAGTGCATAATGAGCATCGATCGATTGCGTCTTTGAGTTGGTGGGAGGGTTGTGATTGGTGGGAGGGTCTCCTGCAGCCTGCAAGTGTGTTTTGATCATCGCGGAGAAAGAGCACGAGGGTGGGTGGGATCGTGGGATCGGTTGTTGAGTTTTGAAAGTTGGGTGGACTTGCATTATATAGGGGTCTTTGCATCTGCAGTGTGACATCTGAGCGTTGGTTCCTCACACTAGAGTTCTCCTTGCTGGGCTCCGTTTGATGGATTCCAATGTTTGTGCAAATTCTTGAAGCAGGGCTTGGTGAACCCAGATGGGTGAGCCGAGGATACATGACTGCAGATATCTAAGCGACATGCTTTGTTAAGACTTAAAGGAAGCGATGCATGAATTTTATTCAAATCGAATTATAAAGAATAGCATATACAGCGTTGACTCGCACTGGCATCTACTCATCCTGCAGGAGTGTAGTAATACTAATGTATGCTACCAGTAGGCTCTTAGTATCCCTTCAATGGAATAGCCATAAAATACTAACCAGTACCTACAGTCATTGCAAACTTGAAGCCAAATAATCACCAACTTGCAGATAAAAGTGCAATTCAATTCCTCAACTCAAATGTATAGATCCAACCAATCAAAGACTTCCCTGGCCCCAGGTGACCGCCCATGACATCATTCGGCATCCAATGCACCGACAGCTTCCCCAGTTCGACTCTCCAACTCCTTTCTTGTCCATAGTACTCCCTTCTTTCGATATTATACAAGTCCCCAGTACTACCATCTCAATTCAAGCCGACTGCACAGTATCATATCACACACAAAATGGCATTCCCACTCTTCACACCTTCAATTCTCCGCCTCGGGCTAGGCGTAGGCCTCGGCATCTCCGCCGCAACCCTGCACCCACTCTCACCCTTCCGCGTCGCCCCAATGCAGTGCCAATATAACGCGCCCTTCTCGCAGAGCAATGCCGACACACCATGGACAGTCAAGCCAGAAGAAACTCTCCTGCAGAAACAGGGCCGGTCAACTGGTCTGACCCAGGCGCGTGAGGGGTTCCTGACGAAGGAGAATATGCGCCAGGTTAGTCTGGGTAGTGTGTTGGGGCTTGTTGCTGGGGTGGGATTGAGGGCGTTTTCTAAGGCTTTGGTTGTTCTTTTGGGTATGGGAGTTGTTTTTGTCGAGGTATGTTATTCTCCCTCTCTCTCTCACACACACACACACACACACACACATGCTAATCGATTGAAACAGTTCGCTGCGTCCAAGGGCTATAACCTTCTTCCTCTCGATCGGTTGCAGAAGTATGTGAAGAACGTTGATCTGCGTCGTGCTATGTCCGAGCACCGTCCGTTCAAGATGAGTTTCGGCGCAACGATGGCGCTGGCGGCTTTTGCGCACTTCTGAGGGGTTTGGGAAAAAAGTCTACTAGGATATTATTTGTACATAGAATACTAGAAGAACACAGGCCAAATAAGCTCTCTTTCCAAACGGGCCAGCGGGCACGGGACTAGCAGACGAGCTCAATGGAGAAAGAAAGCCATTTCAAGTTGTCCGTGTAGATCGCCTACTACTACTAGTGAAGGGAATCGCTCAATGGCATTTGAATATCAGTCAATGAGACTGGGAGACTCCTTTAATCGGTGCCAATGCACTGTCAATGCAAATTGGTTGATAGTATTTCATACAGGGGTATCATGAGTTCTGTTTCACACCGAGTCTCGCTAGAGATAGAAGTAGTCCAGTATAGTATTATATTATCCCAACACCAGATCCTCCAGCACGCCCTCCATTTCATCGCGGGATAGAGGCACGCCGAGGATTTCCATACCGCTGGGATCCATGCGCGAGGTGATCATTTGATGATCGTGGAATTCCTTCAGCAGGGTGCGGAACATCATCTCGGACGATGCGATGAATTCCTCCGTGGCTTTTTGGTACAATAGGCGGAACTCAATGCCGTTGTTCTCGCTAGTCTTGTCGCTAGCACCACCTTCGGCGGCTTCGTCGTCGGATTGGTGGCCGTCGTCCATCACGGTTATCAGTTCTGTTAACAAGAGACGGTACAGGTTCCGCGCATTCTCGGGAAGACTCTTCAGCACGAAGCCTACACCTTCCTTGCCGCCGACACGACGACCCTTGCGGCCGAGAAGTTCATGCACTTCTTCCACGATATCCGACTCGACGGCAAAGGGGAAGAATGTCGTGCTATCGTGGAATACCAGATTGAATTGATCTCGTAGACTGATATCCCACATCACAGGGAAGTTAGGGGTATCAGCTGTGAGGAGAAGGCGAATGCGCGGTGTCGCAGCGAGTCGACCGAGAAGTGCTTGGTTAGCAGCACGGCGGAGAGACGGGGCATCGACAGAGTTAATCAGAACAGTAATAGGGTCGTGTTCCGGGCGAGACTTCAGCGCTGATTGTAAAAGTTCGAGCACTTCGGTTGGTTGTGAACCTAGTTTTGAGGGCAACTCGTCACCAAGGATTGCTGAGGCAATGGTCGCAAAGATCGAACGGATGGTGATACCGGGTGCATAACCATTGACGATGATGATAGCTGGGGGGGTTCATGGAGTCGGACCGAGCGTAAATCCAATCTGCAAACTGTTGTACAAGTCTTCGCTTCGATCCATATCCAAACAAGCAGATATTGAACCCTTCCTCGAATTCGAAAAACCACTGCGGGAACGATCTGTGATGTAATGAAAGCAGATACTCCTTTTCATCCTTGCAAGGATCGACATATTGGCCCAGTTTCTCAAAGTACTCTTCGTGTGTCAACAACGAGACCTTGCTCAAATTCTTGTTCGAAGTCTTGGCTGTTCCAGCACGGTTCTGGAAGAAATAGCGTTCATGGGCGGGTAACTCGCCCTCTGGTGTAGGTGAACGTTTGTTCGCAGCGCCCTTTGGCCTACCAGCGCGACGCTTCGCTGGCTTTGCGTCTTTCCCAGCGGGCTTTGTAGCCTCGCCCTCCTCCACGGTCTCCATCACCGTGTCACCAGCCTTGTCGACTTGAGGCTCATCGTCTTGGAGGATCTCTGCAGCCAACTGTTCCGATCCATCCCATTCGCGATCTTCGTCCTGTTCAAACAAGACACGCGCACTCTTCTTCTTCGCCGATCGATCTGCATTCTTTATACGGGACGGGGTCGCAGCGGTCGCGGACTTGGGCTTCGTCGGGGTCGCGAACAGGTTGCGTGCTTTCGATCTATGCGTCGGGGTCTTCAATCCAGATTCCTTCAATGGGGTCGCGGCAACTCCATTGGCCTTTTTGGGAGTCGATTGGCCATTTGGGACGGAAGGAAGTTCGTAGGTGGCATCGGCATCGGCATCGGTGGGTGGAGGTGGATGGTTCGGCGCGTGGCCGTTGGCATGGCCATTTAGGACGCTTTTGGGTTTGGCTTGCACGCGTGGTCTCTTCGGGGTTGAAACGGCCGGGTGCTCATTTTCCAGGCCGGAATCTGACAGCTTGCGCTTCATGGCGGGCAATGTTAGAGAAGGTCTTGGAGGGTCGAAATCGCAGAGGCAAAAGGGGAAGGGAATCAACTTACTAGTACCATCAGATCCGAGGAATGTATACAGGGACGCGACGCAAGGGGGGGGTGGCCTTGACAGGAAAGAGAGGTTGTTCGAGGGGCTGTTTCAGAGTGTCATGCAGAAGATAGTATAGGTATATGCCAGCCAATGGATCAGCGACTCGGAGTGGGAATGTGAATGTAAATGCGAGAGATGGGAAATGGAGAGAGAAACGAAGATTGCGGGTGGATCTTTTTGGGCTCCATCAGTTCGGTTCAACCCTGGAAGTTCGGGAAGCGCGCGTTTACGAGGCATTTGGTCCTCCTATAGTTGGCAGATGCGCTATTTATATTTACTAGTAGACCTATAGGTACCTAGGTATTTATGTAGAATATAGTATAGTATAGTATAGTATATATTATATATACCAGTAGGTATCCTGGTTACAATCTAATTCCCTGTCATACTGTACCTTAACAGTGGGCTCACCCTCCGCCTATCAATCCCGAGATCGGTGAGCTTTTTCTTATCGGAACTTTGAACTTGGACTTCCCAATTGACTCACCATTTGGAGCTACAGCACTTCTCCCCTACCTCTCAGTGCCAGTGCTAGGTCTTTCAGGTCTTTCACAGCCTTGGTCTACCTCCCATGGTTTCCAACTCGCCATCCGCCATGGCGGTTAGTTCCTTTGCCCGCATGCTCAAGGGCCAGGTCCGATCCTACTCCGCACCGCTGGACATGGCCATTCCCGCCTCCAAGCAGCGCTACATCCCCACCTCCGGCTCTTACCCCAAGGGTTTCTTGGTCTCTGGCACTCATGTCGGCGTCAAGGCCTCCAACACTCGATTCCCCGACCTGGCCCTCATCGCCTCCGAGACTCCCTGCTCCGCTGCCGCCGTTTTCACAACGAACAAGTTCCAGGCCGCTCCAGTCCAGGTGAGCAGGGAAACCTTGCGTACTCGCAAAGGCCAAGGCATTCGTTCCGTTGTGATCAACTCGGGCTGCGCCAATGCCGTGACTGGAAAAGGTGGTCTAGAGGATGCGGTCCAGATGGGCCGTACCGTCGACCAGTGCAATGGGGTTGAGAAGGATAGCTCTCTGGTGATGAGCACCGGTGTCATTGGACAGCGGTAAGCCTTACTCTACAAAGATACAAGCATCGCCAATATACTTATGAAGTCTTCCAACAGCCTGCCTATCAGCAAAATCCTCGACCGCATCCCCACCGCGCATAACAACCTTGCCTCTTCGCATGAGGCATGGCTCACCACCGCTCGCGCCATTTGCACAACCGATACCTTCCCCAAGCTCCTCTCTCGCGAATTCACACTGCCCTCGTCTCCTGGCCAGACCTACCGTCTTGTCGGTATGACCAAGGGCGCCGGTATGATCCACCCTAACATGGCCACTCTCCTGGGCGTTCTGTGCACCGATGCCGCTGTCGAACCCGCCGCTCTGCAATCCATCCTCAAGCACGCCGTCTCCCGCTCCTTCAACTCCATCTCTATTGACGGTGACACCAGCACCAACGACACCATCGCCGTGCTAGCCAACGGTGCCGCCGGTGGTAACGTCGTTCCTGCTTCCGAGGCCAGCGAGGACTACCAAGCTCTGCAAACCGTCCTGACCGACTTTGCGCAGGAGCTCTCGCAGCTTGTTGTTCGCGACGGTGAGGGCGCCACTAAGTTTGTGACTGTCCGCGTGCGCAACTCCTCTGACTATGAGTCCGGCCGTCTGATCGCTTCCACTATTGCCCGCTCTCCTTTGGTTAAGACTGCTCTCTACGGTCGCGATGCTAACTGGGGCCGCATTCTGTGCGCCGTTGGCTACACCCAGGGTGTCCGGGATGGTGTTGTCGTTCCTGAGCGTACATCTGTTAGCTTCCGTCCTGTTGATGGCAGCCCGATCCTGAAGCTGCTGGTGAATGGCGAGCCTGAGACTGTCGATGAGGAGCGCGCTAGTGCTATCCTGCAGAACGAGGATCTGGAGATCGAGATCGACCTTGGTGGTGGTGAGAAGGGTGAGGCTGGAAGTGGAGGTGAGGATGCGGTGTACTGGTTCTGTGATTTCAGCCACGAGTATGTGACTATCAACGGTGACTACCGCACTTAGTGGATGATGCCTAGGTGTGTATATTGTTCGATTATGTCCGTGACTAGGTGAATAAAAGAGTACTAGTACTGGTATATTACTTTGGGAGTTTCAAGGTTTCGATACTAGCACTAGTATTATCGTGGTAGTAGTAGATATATTGGGGTAGATATCTAGCTGTATTCAATTTAACCTATTTCGGGTCAACTACCTAGCTAAATCTTGAATTTTGCCAGCTTAGAACTTAGTAATCTAAATCCTGAATAGTATTTAAGTTCCCTCCATTTCTCATTCCCCATTCCCCCCATACCTTCACTACGCAGCACTTAATGCAAGCGGGGGAATCCGGGGTCACATCCACTCCCCCTTGACGTCATCTGCCACATGAAACCGTTTCTCCCTGTGAACTTGAACCAGTCAACTTCTGTTCCATTCATAACCCTCTGAACATTGGTTCCAACATTCCGATATACTAGTACCATGTTACTGTCTACTACTACTAATACCTAGTTGAACTCCACTCCACACTCTTTGAGCAACTTGAACAGGCCGAACTTGAACCTGAAGCTGCCCAACCTCCGACACTGTCCCACCAACCCCAGCCAGTTGGCCACGAACGCGTGGTTTGCCAACGGTGCACATACACACCGCGGACCCTGGAGCCCCTCTTGGATACCGTTCTCACTGAACACTCATTCAGGAACCCGCACGTAACCGAACTAGTGCCCTGGGTGGATGGGCAAGACGGCCCTTCTCCGTTCTCCACGCACTCCTCCGCCATTGACCGCCTCCCATTCGTATCCACTGCAGCTTTACCGAGCTGCCATGAGCATTTGATCGTCCCTGACCTCGATTCAGACCTGCGTTACGCAGATAAATCATCCGAGCTCGCCAAAGAAACACCTGCTAGTTGAGTTGGCTCTGAGCTGGTGCTGTTGTTGGTCTACTACTAGTCTTATTCGACTCCAATCCCTCCCGAGGGCCCACAATTATAATCACTGTCCTCAACCCCCTCTGCAATATCGCAATATCCCACCTGTTGGGAATTTGAGAGACAGAATTTCTATACAAAGATTGTCAATTGAGGATAACATATTCCTTGTCTCCTCACCATGGCTTATTACGCAAAAGACCTACCCGATGGGCATGGGAGCGTCTATAAGGAGGTGCGCTTCTCGCCGACCGCAACACCCATACGTCGCACCAAATCAGTCTCCGGAACTGCTCCCTCTGCAAAGACCAAAAAATACCAAACCCAGAGCTCATGCGTTCCGGAAAGGACCCCAATAATCTTGGATTCATCCTATATTGATCAGTCGCGTGCTCTGCTGGACCGTCAACGAGCCCATTTTGAAGAGGAAAGGAAGCTATTTGCCGAGGAACGTCGCTTATGGCAGAAGGAAAGGACACTCTTGAGAACAAAGATTACAGAAATCGAATCCTTGCTGAAAATGCAACAAGGCCAACCACTTTTGTCAGACTCTGCAAAACCCGCGTTTGCATCGCCATCATATCTAGGATCCAATGAATCCTCCGTACACTCCGCGCAAGTATGGGAGGGTTCAAGTCCAGGTAGCCGACCGACAAGGGTCTTCCGTGATGAGGATACTACAGACCCTGCTCGAATGTCGCCAATCAGTGAAAGTAGCAGCAGTGTCCCTCCGTCCCTGGACGCGGCACTTTCACCCCAAGCGGGGGCGGCAGACGCTGGCAGCGTGGCCGTCAGTGTACCAGTCCCGATCGAGAAGCTTGATAGCAGACTCGATGGGATTATACTCAAATCTACCGGATTGCCACCCGGGGTCGTTGCTCGAGTGATCACCCCGCCCTCCCCGTCACCCCTGGAGACCTCCTCGGCAGCCCCTTCAGCCGCTGCAAGGTCGGACCAGGAACACCGAAACAGTCTTAAGCTGAAGCTGTCAGAACTGGGCCCACCTAATGAAAGGCTGGTCCGGAATGCGGGCCACACTCCAATGGCAATCATCGAGGCCGACGTGAGCCAACGGTCTACCAAGGAGCCTTCTCCCATCGAGAAGACAGAGGAGCCCCCGTGCGACGAAGAGGCCCCTCTCGCCCCCGTGGTAACGACCATGCAGCAACCCACCGAGAACGGGATTTCCTATTTCCCCGATCTACCTGAAGATCCGGCCCTGAAGGGGCCACTGGGTCTCATCAACGACGAAGAGCACGACAATAGTTTCCTAAGTGAATTAGACCAGAAGCTCCTAGATCAGGCCAGGCGGATCCTGTCTCCTTCATCGGACTCTGGGAAAATCGATGAAGACGAAGGCGATGCTGAGCTACCTACGAAGGGGGAGCAAGAACCGGAAATCAAATTCAAAAAGTCAACGAATTTCGGCACTGCCTTTGGAATATCGAGCTACGGCAACTTCTAAGTGGACAGACACAGACATTTCTCTATTGAGAGTTGAATTCTGTGATCAGTCGACATTTCTGTGAATATGCCTTTGCTGGCTACTTTTCAAATTCCCCTTTTTATTCCACTTCCATTTGGCATACATCTTTCACCATTTATGTACCGCAGCGAAGATACTTCATGATTTGACGATTTATGCTCAAGATTATGCAATACACACTTTCTATTCTCATTCTGTACATGTCGTCCGTTTTCTCCCTTTGATCTAATTTCCTACTTTCCATCAAAAGAAACCCTGTGTGGGTTTCCTCGGCCCAGTGAACCAGACCCCGAAAAACTCGTTTGATGTTTCCTGCGCGTGTTGATATTGATGTTCCTTGCATATGATGTGTCGATATTAGCCAGTCGCTGACAGGCTCCGTATCTGCCCTATCGTCGACTCCTGCGGAGGGGATCCCAGCTCTGAGACACCCTGTGCTGAACTCCTTGCATGAAATCAGGAACCTTTGACCCCGGCCCCACGTGTGGTTCTTAGTTTCCCATGTTACTCGCATCGCAGTGAAGATCCGAACCATTGTACCCCAGTGCAGCTCGCAGTATTTTGGATGGTTCGAGCGTTCGACTCGTGCATAAACTTTGGATTTGAATGTGGCTCGCTTGAAGCTATACCTACTTCGATTCTTGGTTATACTAGATTCCCACAAATCGGAAAGGCCCTTAACATTGGGCAAGACTTGGTCTCTCATCTCGCTTGTCTCTGCTTCATTAATAACTGTCATACCCCTGGTACCTTGCCGATCGTCGTCCTTGTGGCGGTCTTCAAGGAAAAGCCACCAGGGGCTAGCCCATAGCCTTGCAGCGTCTTGCTTCCTGTTTGGCCCTTGGCTCTCCCCACGATGCCCCTCGGATGTGGCAGACTCGGAGGCTCTTCAGAACCTACATAAAAGCCACTGACTTCGGTCTCAATCATTCTTTTCATCATCCACTCAACAGCACAGTTTCAAATAGTCATTCTTTCTCTCCCATTCTTTCTCACTCTCGTTCCCGGAGCCAGCTCCCCAATCCTTCGTTTCACCTTCCAACGAACACTCTTTCATACTCCCAATTACTTCCAGCTCTCAGCTTTCACTTCACGATAACAACAACAATGCCTTCCACTACTTTCTCTCTCTCCTCGGCCCTGTGCCTCATTCTGGCCGTTGGCCCCGCCTCTGTCTTCTCCGCGCCTCAGTTGGTAAGTCGCTGAACCACATGGATCACACCATAAAAGCGAAGATCATTAACTAACAAAATTTAAACAGCCCGGTCTTCCCATTCTCGGTGGTGACCATGATGACACTGGCCACAGTGAGCACGATGTCGGAGCTGGATACACCGTCGGTATTCCCGATGGACCTGCCGTCAAATTCGGTGCCGGCGTCCACAGCGAGCACACCGGTCCTTGTGGCCCTGGCGCGAGCAGCGTGCATGATGCAGGCGCTGGCTACGAGGTCGGGCAACCTGATGGCCCTTCCGTCAAGTTCGGTGCTGGCGTCCACAGCCAGCACGACGCTTATCCTTGCCCTGAGATCATCGAGGCAGTCCCTCCTCCGGCTACCGTTGTGGTTCCTCCTACCGCTCAGGCTCCTCCCCCTGCTGTTGAGGCTCCCCCTACTGTTGAGGCTCCCCCTGCTGTCCAGGCTCCCCCTGCTGTTCAGGCTCCTCCTCCTGCGGCTGAGGCCCCTCCTGCCACCGAGACCTATATGCCTACTTTCATCCCTCCCACTTACACTACACCTATCAACGTTCCTACCATTACCACCCCGGCCACATACGCTATTCCTACCCCGATCTCCGTCACCTCGACCCCTCTGATGAACTACCCGGTGCCTTCATCTACTCCTCCTTCGCAGCCCATGTTCAACTCCGCGTCCTCTCTGGTACCAAGCTCCGCCTTTGCCGTCGCTCTCTCCATAATGCTATGTGTCTTTGCCTAAGCACCGCAAGCATGCAGTGATCATTGATAAACGAGTTGATTGACCATGATTGAGATCCTAGTGATCCTCCACTGCACATTGTTTATTGCTGTTGTTGCACCATTCAAGTTTTTTTTCCTGTAAGATTCCACCATCTCGGAGGTCTCTATCATCATCTGTACTTTTGTCTATTTCTTCTTCCGTGTCATCTTTTCTTTCTGCTTATTTACCATTTTTAATGGGCACTTCCACCGCCTGTCTACCTGCCAGTCGTGGGAGACGCCGCATTTACACAAACACAAACACAACCAACAGATATCTACCTGTATCTCGGGCTGACATATGAGGGCCATGTTTACTACTGAACGTCATACTTTTCTTTTGTTTGGGGAGGAATTGGATGGGATTGGGATGGAATGGGAGTCTGGGCGTGCTTTGCACACATTGTTACAATCTAGTGTTGTTTTTTTATTTTAGTACTACTACGTCCGGAATTGAATACACTGCATCTTGCATTTACATTGAAAAATGGCCTTACTCTAACCTTCACGGTTGTTTTCCAAATACTAACTAGTAATTATGCCTCTGGTAGGACCCACCACCCGTCGCTGTAAGTCAATTTCAACTCCACATCCTCTCAATCTAAAGAAAACCTTGGAAGCAAAATCAAATTTTGAAGACCTCTGTACCTAGGTATTCATTATAGCCCCGCCTTCTACTCAACCTGTACCAGGTGCCAGTACTACTCCACAACCAGTTATCAGAAGTGTACTTCCGGTCATATGTGTTCCTATACTAGTATCATCTAGTGACTCAGAACTGAAGGTTGTCGGCAAGTTCGGCCTGCACAACAAGCGCGGGGGCATGGCGTGTCTAGTTTCGCATCTCTAAGATCCATCCTGGTCCTTTCAGGATAATGATTCTCTTATTAAAATGTATGTGCAACAATTCCATGTTAAAAAATACAGAGGCCCAGGTCCAGGTCCAGAGATAGGTCAACTTCCGTACTTGATAGTTTTGTAATGTACTCTTCTCGATTCAGGGGAAAGGCGACGAGCCTCGCTAGCCCAGGTTTTTGAATACTGCGGAGAAAGGACACTAGCGATTACTGGCGTTGGAGAAAAGAGTTCAACCCGGTAGATTTAATTCCTCACTGCTGCTAGCAAATTCTTATATTAACGCCACCAAACACGTTGAAGGATGCCCAGGTGTATACTAGTTTGGTACGATGTAATGTGGGAGTTACGCGGAAGTGATTCACACTTAGAAGGGAAAAGAGTAAGCCAAGAAAGAAAAGAAAAGGCCAGAATAGATTGAGTGGCAGCAAATCAACGCCTATCATGTCATATCATGCGTTATCACGTATCCAGAAGCATCCATCATGCTCGCAGCCCAACTCTAGCCGAAACCCTGCTGTGCCTCCGCCCAAATGCTGACACATCACCTCCAGAGTATCGATGAGGCTACCAAGTGGAAAAACAAAATAAAAAAGCTCTTAGCTCTCATTAAACTCCCATCGTAAAGTCGTGCTCGATACCTGGCGTCACGCTGGCGATGAATTTGAGAAAAAACGACCAGATACTGATCTACCCTGATAGCGTTCTGCTCTTCCTCGTCGGCCTGTAGGACCTCCCACTCATCGCCTTGCTGTTGCTGGTCGCCTAGTGACAGGCCCTTTGTTTCATCGACGAGGCCTTCAAGACCGCCGCTGGCCTGGAGCACGCGATTTGCTTCTTCGTGGGATTGCGTTTGCTTGAGCTTTTCTCGGCGGAGCTTGAGGGCTGCGTCGGCACGGTCGAGGAGGGTTTTCATGACGGAGGCGTGGCGGCATGGGTGAACGGTTGCCATCTTAATGCTGCCGTCAAACCAGGGGAAGTCTTCTAGTGTTACGGTCTTGTCTTTGTAGTCGCCCACTATATCTTCCATCATGAGGTGTGGGGGGGAGGGGCTCTGATGGTGATAGATAGCCTGACAGATAGAGGCGGGGTGTGCGGTAGAAGTTGGAGTATGTGATATAGAGGGTGTAGGTGCGGAGTGGCCTAGTTTGTGAGATGATGTTAGTACTTGAAGCTACCGGTGACACAAGAGTTGAAAACAAGAAAGCTCTCTGGGTAAACATGTAGCTAAAATAAGAGGAGATACCACGTACTGTGTTGTTCCGGACTGCCCAACCGGCTCGCGGATGATAGCCTCCTCATCATCGTCGTCGTCTTCCATATCTGGAATCTCATCGTCATCTTCTTGGTCGCCCAGGTTCCCGGAATCATCGACTGTCCGCACATCCCGGATTCGTGCTTCTTGTTCGCTCTGGTTCGCTGCAGAGTCACGGCCGCCACCGGTCCTCAACCAGCCATCGTCTCCATCCACAGTTGTGGCACCCTCCCCCTCCCCTCCAGATAACATGTCCCTCACAAGCTCATCATCGGTACCCGCATCACCAGCGAAGTTATCATTCAACCGACGATGACAAGGAACGCCGCGGGTTACTAGAAACTGTTTGCCTTCTGGCAAATATGAAACTCTCTTTGCTGGGCTGGAGGCATCAGCCCAGGACCACGTGGGGAACTTGTAGACCAGATAATCGCCCGCAAGCACGAACTCCTCTGGTGTGATTTGGCCGGTATTGCGGAAGGTGGAGGTTCGAGAGACGGGGGCGAGGCGATCTCGCCAGGTTGATAGAGTAGAATGTAGGATATTCATTGTGTCTATGTGCTATTGAAGCGTGTGAAAAGAGAGGTAGATGCGAGATGGAGATGCAGTGAGATGCGCAGCGCAGTGGGGGGGGTCAACCTTGATAAGCGGTGGAGCACATGATCGGCCCCGCGTGAGCTCATCGCAACCGCCAAAATCGATTCGGCCGTCGCTTCCCTCCACCTGATTCCCAGCTGGCGCCGCTGATGCTGCTCAAACTGGCCGCTAAGATGTCGTGGCACTCGCTGCCATGCAGGTGATGCATAAGGCATCTTTCCCACTAGAAGGTCTATGGTGAGCTGCTCAACCATGGCCGATATCAGCTCGGCCTCCCGGGTTCTCCCAGGTTCCCATCCCAAGAGGCCATCGTCTGCTTTCCAGTTTACCTAGTCTATATACGGAAATTCAGTGTGTGTCTGAAAGCTCTCTGAGCTCTCATTTTGAAAGAAACCAAGCTTGAACCAGGCTCAACATTTTCCAACTCATTCACCTTCCTGCATCATTCGACTGCGTTCGATCTCCGCGTCTACTTCTTCAACCGCCAGAGGTATTGTCTTTCCAGGACTCTTCCACTTTTCCATTTCGGCACGCATAAACCCCTCCGTACTCTTCATTCCGACCACCAGGAATCCAAGTTCTTCCCGATCGACATCAAATACTTCCCACCACTCCCCATCAACCAGCTTGCAACCCTGTTCCCGCGAAGCAAGATAGATGGCTGCTACGGCCAGGGCATTCGGCTGATGTGTGATGTAAAGTAGTTGAGGAGAAAACAAAGCGGAGTTGAGATATTCAATCGTTCGGCGGGACACAGCGGCGTCTGTGACTCCCAGGGTTTGGAGGTAGGTGAGGGCGATGGTATGAGGGAGGGCAACGTGGGTGTCGAAACTGAGAGTGCGGAGAATGACGGACTCGATACGAAGTAGAACCAGACGCGCCGACTGATACCCGCCCTCTGTAATGGTGTAGCTGTCTGCGGATGGCGGCTGCTTGGGTGCTCCGCGGAGGTTCACAAACCACAGTGGGGAGGCCTCTCGCGACAGTAGCAATGTGTATACGTTGAGAACGGAGCGTGGTGAGGTGGGTTGAAAGGATAATTTGGCAGTCAGGTAGAGAGCAGCGGCTGATACATCCTAGTGAGATTGGTATTCAGATTAGAAGTGAGGTCAAAAGGACAATAGGACGAGTAAAGGCTGAGGAAAGATTGCTCACCTTGACAGAGTAAATGCGCAAGCTGCCCCCATCGGCCCCGAGCCAGAAGCGCGTAAATATAACAATTGCCTGCGCGATGATATCTTGCGACAGATGCAAGAGGACGCCCGCGGCCTGGGTTAATTGCGCACCGGCGCAGCGAATTGAAGCTTCCAGGTCGGAGGGAACACCATCGATCGATGATGAAGAAGCCGAAAGCTGCCCTGGGGTGGCAAGAGCATTGGAAAGGTGGGTGAGGCCGGGGTTGGGGTGTGCCATGACGAGGACGATGACGATGGCCGGGGATGTAAGAAGGAAGATTTGCACGGAACGTGGGATCGGGAGAACAGCTGCGGCGAATTTAGTTCCGATCTTGATACTTCCAATGCCCTGTCTTCCACTTTTTGCCGTCAAGGTGGGTTTCACAATTCCACTTCAGTCCACTGGAGAAAGGAAATGGAAAGAAGACTGGAGAGAATATTCCAATGTGGAGCTGAAGTGTTGGTTCTCAAGGGTTCCCAAAGGTTGTGGTGGAGAAGTGAAGCCACCACCAGCCACCGCTATTTCATACTTCCCAGCCTTTTCTTTTCTTTTGTTTTGTTTAGACGCGTTGCACAGAATAAAATAAAACAAACTCGAAATAGAAACTAGACTCAAAACAACCTCGAGATTGGACAAGGACCTTGAAACATCCCCGACACAGTAGCGTGATCATCTCCATTCTATCCAATCTCCCTGACTTCACCTCCTCCCTACACCTCAAACCCTTAAGGGAGTCCACTAGTCCACTCTCCCTCCACCTTTCACGTTGCACACCAACAAACGCCACAACAACCCGATTCGACGTGGCATTACAAACTCGCCCTCCTGTGCGTCTCTGCCAACACCCCCCATCATGTCCTCCCAACTCTCCTCCTCGATCTCCCTGCATTCCGATGACTCCCAGGGGCCTCACACGACCGTTGCCTCGTCGCCCCCAAAACCGTCGATCCCTTTAGCCTCCCCGGAGAACCGTTTCCACAGTCTGCCCTCCCACCGTCGTGCCAATACTGAGTACATCTCGCGACCCCCTATCTTTGAGGAAGACCTTTACGATCCAACTTCTTCGTCCGACGGCTCGTTAAAACACTCTTTGGGCCCATCGCCCCTCTCTTGGACAGATACATTTCCCAAAAAGAAACTTGAAGCAAGAGCCAGGGTCCTGTCGGATTGGTTTCAGGGCAGATCAGATCCAGTCAACTTGGGAATCGCTACACGTCCCGACGGACGTAACGACTCGGACGAAATGGATAAACCCCGTCTCACTACCCCACGCTCCTCCCACAACCGATCAAATTCGGGCTTTACATTCTTCGGTCTGCGAAAACAAGCAGAGGAGAAACCGCTCCCTCCAGCTCCCGCCGACGACGAATTCCTGAATCTCGATATCGACGCAGCCTTATCGCTACCCAACTCCGATGTCGATGATGAAGATGCACTCAACAACCTCCGAGAACAGGCCGGCACCGTCTTGCGAGAAATGCAAGAGGCCTACAAGGAAAGGACCTTTGCTATGCACCAGGCCCTAGCCTCAAAGAACCAGAAGCAAGAGGAACTCGAGGAAACTAGAGCACGAGCTAATAATTTAAGGATGCAACTCGATGGAATGGCGGCTAAGGTACTCGACCAGGAGAAAGCCATGAAGGCGATGGCCGAGGAACTGGAACAGGAAAGACACATTCGACAGCAGGAGGAGAGCCGTAGTCGCACCCGAACAATGCGTGCGATCCCTCCTGACGAGGAGATCCCATCCCTCGTCCTCCAAACTCCTCATCGCGGAGGTAAGCGTGCAAGCCACGGCACCTTGACCAGTGACTCGGGCTTTGAGTCTGGAGATGAAAGTGTGGCCGACAGCGTTTTCTCACACAAGGAGGGCATCGAGTCCCCTACGTCAACGCTTACCGCGCCATCTCCCAACCTGTCTCAGGTTGTTCTCCCCAATCCGACCGTCACTCCTACCCCAACTCCCGCCATCCAGAAGAATCTTGTCAAAGTCACTAGCACACCCACTCCGCGGGCGTCAGCTTACGACCGTGTGATTAAGGGAATTGCTTCGACGCGCCTGGGAAGCTCTTTTGTGGGCAACAACGGCAACCCTAACCAATGTGGCAACTGTCATGGTGTCCCCGCTTCCGAGGCCTGGAGTGTCATGGGCATTCTCAAGGATGAGAACCGGGGACTGAAGACCCGATTGGGCGAACTTGAATTGGTGATTGATGATTGCATTGGTCTTGTTGGTCCTTGAGCGAAGCTCGGACGAGATGTTTGGATGAAGATCTCTCGCAAAGACCTGGTGTCTCCATAGAATTGATTGCGAGGGTATCATTTTGTTTTGATCTTTTTGTTTTCACTACGAATAATTCGCATCTTCAGATAGAATAGTCCGTGAATCCCGGGCAATAATAAAGGGTTCCCGACAAAATGGTGGTGCTGAATATAGAGCTTGATAGGATAGGTAGACCCTGTGACTACCTTAAGAGGTAGTGTGGGGATAAGCTCGGGGTGTGCTACCCTGGGGTACACGCACACTTGAGGCACACACACGGGAAGAACAGCATTTAGGGGCGATCTGGGAATAAATAGCAATATCCAAAATTCAATTGAGTCATTTTCAATCTTCTAATTGTTTAGGGGTGAGTCAATGGGAATTAAAGGGGAGGAAACGGAGTACTGGATGTGCATACTAGTAACTAATCTGAGTGGTGGCCAAGTGGCCTTACTTTCAGTTAGCGCGAAGCGAAAAGTGGCCAGCGAACCTCTTTCTGTTCCTTTCCTTCCCCCCATCTCCCTCCACCCCCAATCTTCCCTTTCCTTTCCTTTTCATCTTCCCCATTCCACTCCTTTTGCTGGCTCCCAATTCCAGCTTCCTCTATTTCTTTTAAGACGGATTGGAGGGAAGACTGTCACAATGAGCGGCCGTGAGTTTCTTCCCCAATGCCCAGCACGCGATCGATCGTCGTATCCCATCTTGTGTCCACCCTCAATGCTTTCGCCCATACTGATAACCATGAATAGTTCGCTTCCTTGATTTGATCAAGCCCTTCACGCCCCTCCTTCCGGAGGTGGCCGCGCCTGAGACCAAGGTGCCCTTCAACCAGAAGCTGATGTGGACGGGTGTACGTTGCTCCAAATTCGAGAATAGACCGTGTTTCGTGTTCCGTGTTCAATGCTGACCTCAACCTCGTGTCTAGTTGACTCTGCTCATCTTCCTGGTCATGAGCCAGATGCCTCTCTATGGTATCGTCTCCTCCGACACCTCGGACCCCCTGTACTGGCTCCGTATGATGCTGGCCAGTAACCGTGGTACTCTGATGGAATTGGGTATCACCCCTATCATCTCCTCCGGCATGGTCTTCCAGGTAGGTGACATCAATTGGTTTGCGACGAGTTGATAGCTTTGAAACTGACCGTCACTTCTCCAGCTCCTTGCCGGTACCCACCTCATCGACGTCAACCTTGACCTCAAGACCGACCGCGAGCTCTACCAGACCGCCCAGAAGCTGTTCGCCATCATCCTGTCCTTCGGCCAGGCCTGTGTGTACGTTCTGACTGGTCTTTACGGCCAGCCCAGCGATCTTGGTGCCGGTATCTGTGTTCTGCTCATCGTCCAACTGGTTGTCGCTGGTCTCGTCGTCATTCTGCTCGATGAGCTCCTGCAGAAGGGTTACGGTCTGGGCAGCGGTATCTCGCTGTTCATTGCCACCAACATTTGCGAGTCTATCGTCTGGAAGGCTTTCTCCCCTACCACTATCAACACTGGCCGTGGTCCCGAGTTCGAGGGTGCCATTATCGCCCTGTTCCACCTGCTCCTCACCTGGCCCGACAAGCAGCGTGCTCTGTACGAGGCCTTCTACCGCCAGAACCTCCCCAACGTCATGAACCTTCTGGCTACCCTCCTCGTCTTCGCCGCTGTCATCTACCTGCAGGGCTTCCGCGTTGAGATCCCCGTCAAGTCCGCCCGCCAGCGTGGCATGCGCGGTTCTTACCCCGTCCGCCTGTTCTACACCTCCAACATGCCCATCATGCTCCAGTCGGCTCTGTCCTCCAACGTCTTCTTGATCTCCCAGATGCTGTACTCTCGCTTCTCTGACAACCTCCTTGTCAAGCTCCTCGGAGTCTGGGAGCCTCGTGAGGGTTCTGCCCAGCTTTTCGCTTCCTCGGGTATTGCCTACTACATGTCCCCTCCTCTGAACTTCAAGGAGGCCCTCCTCGACCCCATCCACACTGCTGTCTACATTGCTTTCATGCTCGTTGCCTGTGCTCTCTTCTCCAAGACCTGGATTGAGGTCTCCGGCTCCGCCCCCCGTGACGTTGCCAAGCAGCTGAAGGACCAGGGTCTCGTCATGTCCGGCCACCGTGAGCAGAGCATGTACAAGGAGCTCAAGCGTGTCATCCCCACCGCCGCCGCTTTCGGTGGTGCCTGCATTGGTGGTCTGTCCGTCGCGTCCGATCTTCTCGGTGCTCTTGGCAGCGGTACTGGTATCCTGCTTGCCGTGACGTAAGTTAACCTCAACACTTGATATTTTCCTTAAGTTAAAAGATAAACCATATACTAACATTTATCTTAGCATCATCTACGGATACTTTGAAATTGCCGCCCGTGAGGGTGACATCGGTGCCGGTCTCAAGGGACTGGTCCCCGGCAGCTAAATTAACGAGACTGTTCTCCAAATTTCACGAGCAGTATGACGAAGGATTCTTTTTTTTCCATTTTTGAATCTTTTGCCTTTCTCCGTTTAGTTATGTCACACTTTTCTCTTTTTTTTTAATTGCCGCTATTCTTTGATACAATTCTTGGGATATTGAATTGGTGTGCAGATGTCATGGTGTGGAAACGGGGACTAGTATTCGTGTCCCGCCGAGAAATAGTTGAAGTGCCTTTGTAGAGAGGGCCTGTAACCATATTTTACTGATGAAAAACCAAATCAATTTCTTGTGATCGATCCAAATAGACCCGGTCGTAGAGGAGAGGAGAGTAAAGTAGAGTAGAGGAGAGTAGAGAGTAGCCAAGTCCTCGTTCCGGCGGAATTGGCCTCGGTGAGTGGAATCGGCGCGGCAAAGTTTATTGGTGGCCAGGTGACTGAGAGTTACTAGCAGTACTTGAGTACTTCCAAGGTTTTCTCGTCCGAGTGCTCGAGGGTCTTTTTACTGGAGGAGGGAGTGCTAATGAGGGCTACTAACTGGTAGTGTGTGAAGGGTGTCTTGCCTCTTGTAGTTAGTATAGGAGATCATGATCAGCTACGGACTACATTCGGTATATATAACCTTACATGATTAATTCTAGAAGATGTAAATACCATATTCAGATCATACCATACCATACCATACCCAGTTTCCTCGGGTAACTCTGGTACTGGTACTCTGCGAGCTTAAATCGCGAGGGGCAGCCCCGCTGAGCCTGAGGCGACCTTCTGTAAAGAGTAGGCGGGGAACTTACTTTATCGTTTTTGACTCACTCCTACTTCTTCCTTCTTAATCCCCTCAGTCCCTCTTCTTCTCTTCTCACTTCTTTCCCTTCTATCTGAACTCCTCAATTCCACCTCTACCTTCACAATGGCTCAACAGAACGGCTCCTCTGGCAATGACTTCCTCGTCAAGGCCGGCCTTGCGCAGATGCTCAAGGGTGGCGTAATCATGGATGTGGTTAACGCTGAGCAGGTAGGTTTACAAAATCTCTTTGCCAATCGCCATCGAATGTCCTAACTAACATATCCTTCTTCCCTATAAAGGCTCGCATTGCTGAAGAGGCTGGCGCTGCCGCCGTCATGGCTCTCGAGCGTGTTCCCGCCGATATTCGTGTCGAGGGTGGCGTTGCGCGCATGTCCGACCCCGGCATGATCAAGGAGATCATGGCCGCCGTTACCATTCCTGTCATGGCCAAGGCTCGCATTGGTCACTTCGTTGAGTGCCAGGTACGTTTCCATTATAAGCAAGAAATTCAACTTAATTCCCGGGGTGGCGGATAAGACCACCACCAGCGCGGGGTATAGAGAAATCCAAAGCTAACCATCCCGCCCTTCTTCAGATCCTCGAGTCCATTGGCGTCGACTACATCGACGAGTCCGAAGTCCTGACCCCCGCCGACGACGTCTACCACGTCACCAAGACCCCCTTCAAGGTCCCCTTCGTCTGTGGCTGCCGCAACCTGGGCGAGGCCCTGCGCCGCATCTCCGAGGGCGCCGCCATGATCCGCACCAAGGGCGAAGCCGGCACCGGCGACGTCGTCGAGGCCGTCAAGCACATGCGCACCGTGAATGCGCAGATTGCCCGTGCCCGCGGTATCCTGCTGTCCAGCGCGGACCCCGAGCCCGAGCTGCGCGCCTTTGCCCGTGAGATCGAGGCCCCCCTACGAGCTTGTCCGCGAGTGTGCTGAGAAGGGCCGCCTGCCCGTTGTCAACTTCGCCGCTGGTGGCGTTGCGACCCCCGCCGATGCGGCGCTCATGATGCAGCTGGGCTGCGATGGTGTCTTTGTTGGCTCTGGTATTTTCAAGTCTGGTGACCCCAAGGCTCGTGCCAAGGCTATTGTCCAGGCTACTACCCACTACAAGGACCCCAAGGTCCTCGCGCAGGTTTCTGAGGGTCTGGGTGAGGCTATTGTTGGCATTAACGTGTCGCAGATGCCTGCTTCTGACAAGCTCGCTGGTCGTGGCTGGTAAATTTGGCATTGGGATTGTGTGTTGATAAACTGTGTTTTTCGTTTTCTCTTTTTTTTTCCTCCCTCGCCTTCGTTGTCTTCTGGAGGGCACGTTCAAAATTTCTTTTTGTACATGAGCAATGAGCCGATGTCTATGATAGTAGCTATTTGCATGACGGATACACAAAATTCTAGATTGTTTTTCTCTATCCTTGCCATATACAGCAATTGTAAGTCTACACCTGATAGTATACTTAGACAAAAGAAAGAAAAAAAGAGTACTAGTAGTTCATCAATGTAGTCCAACTAGCCAATCGCCACAATCCCCGATCTAGACCTCCCCGCCACCAAAAGAATCTCGAACCATGTCCCCAGTGTCCGTCGCCCCTTCCGAACCACATCCCAAACACCGGGAACCCAATTGCCCGCCCCAATGCCTTCCAAGTCCAAAGTCACAAGACGTGCGGAGTCCAAACTGATAAAAACTACGAGCTACGGGGAAGGTGGGAGATCACCGGCAGCCCATCCGACAGATCCCAGCCCCAAATGCGAATCTGATAGGCTCTCCGCTCCGAACCACCGATCACCGAACGCCATGGAGAGAGCAAGACGCTCCCCGGTCCCCTCTCTTTCCCTTCCAGAGCTCATTAGGTACCGGGGCCTCCATCGCTTCCGCACACTTCTTCCAGAATGTCCAATCGGGATTGAATAATCTCCGTACCGAGTCTACCCGTTGAGTAGTGGGGTTCCCCTCAGGCCTCTGTTTTTCCGTCTTAGGAAGGTGTACTGTATTTACCGATACATCTGTGGTAATTTTTTGTCTTGGGGCCACGAGTGCAGGGAGGTTATTGACTCACATGCGAGTAAGGTGCAGAGAATTCTACAGGTATCTTGGCACTGGATTGCCGCCAATGAGAATGGATCTTTTAGAACCTATTGAAATACTGCTTGGCTCTCGCAGGAGAGTGACATTCATGAATATTGACAGCAAGTTCATAAACTGCTGACCCTCTCCAGTGCTCAATATACCACCTACCCCGGTGCCCCGGTGTATCCAGGTGCATCGGCATTATTACTTGTGTTCTTAATCAGTTCAATGTTTGTTACATGTCTTGGAAATTGCTCGTAGGCCCCCTTGGCCTCACTGCCTCACCGATGATCCATGGGTGTCTATTGAGAGACCATGCGTGCTCGGAAAAGTCCAGTCTAGGATAAGATACCCCAGGAACTCCAAATCCAAAGAGTATAGGGCATATCGGACGTTTAAATGTGTCTCCGGAATTATAACTCCGAGATCTCCCTGCAGGAAGAGTGACGTTATTCCAAGTCGGAGATGCGGCTCATTGTATGACGCCTTGTGAGTTTCTCACCTTAGAAGCTATGTTGTTCAAGTTGTATTTCCCTAGTATACTAATCAAAATATAAAGTCTATTGAGAGAGTAGGGTACATACTATACGTAATACTATTTATCTGTTAAAATCCATTTACTCTAGTGGAAAAAAGTAGTACTGATGATAGCTTGAACGAGATTACCCACTTTATAAGGAAATACTGGAAAAAGATACTAGTTATCTTATTCAAGTATTGAGAAAATAGTACTAATAAGTCTACGCTTAAAGGATTTAGTAAAAAGGCTCCCGAGTCGTTTTTTGGTAAAATAAAACAGTAAAATACCGGAACTGTCACGCCCTACCAGTGACAACATTGGTGGGGACCACATCGTACCTAGGTAGTTTAGAAAAGCCAGTGTCTATACCATCCCAAGGTGCTAGTACTAGTCAGTAGTTACTATACTCAGTGTGTAACTAGGTAGTCAAGAGATATTTGCTTGATATTTGGAATCAGGTTGATTGTAATGTTTGTCTCATGGGTTCTTTTCAAAATCGCCAATAGTAGGGCAGCCGATACCTACTAGCATCAGCAGACAAAAGTAAACTGGAAGAGGAAAATGATGAAGAGCTGTATGAATCACTTGAGCCATGCGAGACCGGGGTGAACATCGGGAACATGGAAATCACAACTGGAAAGATATTTACACCCACCCTGTCTCTTCACACGGGTATTGTATTTGAAGAATTGAGAATTCCAACACACCTTGATACGGCCTGGAGCCCTTCAACAAGGACAAGTTGATATTGTTGTTACCTAGGTTTACTACTCGTTTCTGGGATACTGTCTTATATGCGGGGCAGCCATCTCAGAAAAGATATCCCTGTTATCGGAATTAATTCCGGAACGTTTTCGGAATTTCCAAGATCTGCGGGGATTCTCTGCTCTATTCTCTCGTTTACTCGGCGACTGACTTGTCGTATTATCTACTGAATAAATAAATAAAATTATTATCACTTTACATTTGATTTGGTGGAGGGTAAGTCGCTGGTACTCTATGCGCTCGGGCCACTCCAGCCACTTCCCCAAACCAATCAAGGGATACTTAAACACTAATCACCCCCATCCTCGAATCAGCAGAAACCTATTCTTCATCTTGGCCACTTACTGGCCGAAATTTTTCAACCGCAGGAATTATGGCCAAGCAAATCTCGACACAAGAAATCACGAAGCATGCCCAAGAGAACGATATCTGGATCGTGGTAAATGGAAAAGTTTACGACGTGACCGAATTTGCCCCGAATCATCCTGGCGGTGCTGCAAGTACTATGAAGATTCCAGATCCCTGCATTCTTAGAACCTCCCGGGCTGACTGACCGTCCAAGTCATTTATCAATTTGCTGGTCGCGATGCATCTCAGATATACAACAGCACGCACTCGCCTTCTTTGATCAAAGATATTGACGACAGTATCATCGGAGACCTAGATACGACAACCATCACCGAAGAATGGCGTGCACAGAACGAAACGCCCAAGTCTTCAACAGGGACAACTCCCGAATCTCAGGTCTATCAGAAACCAACACTCGACGACATCATTAATCTAGATGATTTCGAGTCCGTGGCTAAGAATACTTTCAGTCCAAAATCATGGGCGTATCATAGCGGCGCGGCCAATGACTGCTTCACACGAGACGAGAATCGCGATTTCTTTCGGCGCATCTGGCTACGGCCGGCGATCATGCGAGATGTCTCCAGGGTAAACACCCAGTCAACTCTCTTCGGGTGCAAGCTTGACATTCCAGTCTTCGTTGCACCGGTTGGTGCAGCCAAGATGAGCCACGAAGAAGGCGAAATGCCTCTCGCGAGAGGAGCTGCCTCCTCGGGAATCATTCACTGCATTTCGACAATGTCTTCTTATCCTCTTACGGAGATTCTGGACCAAACCCCTTCGCAGGCTTTCTATCAACTCTATATTAATAGGGATCGATCCAAGACCGAAGCTCTGATTCGTCTAGCTGAGAAAACGGGTAAAGTCAAAGCTCTATTTGTGACCGCCGATTTGCCGGTTATGTCGAAGCGCGAGGCGGACGAGCGAATTAAGCTTGACGAAGGTACACAGTGGATTAATGTAGCCAAGGACAACAAACCAACAGGGGAGAAGAAGAAGAGTGCAGGTCTGGCGAAAGCTAATAGTTCCTTCATCGATTCGACTCTAAATTGGGATGATCTGCGCTGGTTACGGAATATCTCGAAGCTACCTATAGTACTCAAGGGCGTCCAGCGGGCTGAGGATGCTCGTTTAGCAATGAGAGCTGGGTTTGATGGCATTGTCATTAGCAACCATGGAGGGAGAGCCGCGGACACCACACCACCGACAATCCTAGTTCTGCTGGAAATCCACCGATACTGCCCCGAAGTATTCGGCAAAATGAAGGTTCTTGTGGATGGAGGGTTCCGTCGCGGTTCGGATATTGTCAAGGCAATTTGCCTTGGCGCATCTGCCGTGGGGCTGGGTAGACCGTTTGCATTTGCTCTCAGCTATGGACAGGATGGTGTTGAGCATGCTGTGAGCTGTGAGTATCACATGGCTTAGGGGATTTGGCTGGGTGCTAATTTTTGAAATAGTGATCAAAGAGGAAATCGAGACGGCTTCTCAGCTGGTGGGTATGACAGATTTGTTCCGCGATGCGAACCCATCTTACATCAATACGGCTGGGCTAGATCATCTATTGCCTCCAAATTATGATACTGCTTCCCGGGACTCACTGAGCCGGTTAAACAAGCTTTAGATAGTATGCCGTCGAGGAGGGCTGGGTTGCTGTACGAAGCAGACTGTATACAAACCCAGGCTCTACGCGAGTTACTACTTAGGTAGGTACCTAGGTAGTAGGTATATCCAGGCATCTAGAAAATCTAAAACCTTGGAACTTGGTAACTCAGTGTGCAATGGAATATCTTAATGAATAATATGATTAGATTTGATAAGAATAGACACTGAGGTTAGATAGGATTTCGGAAATATTCTTTCACGCGAGGCAGAAGCTGAGGCTCATTGAAATCATTCTGCTGTCGACCTTTCCACTCCTCACTGGGGACCTTTCTAGTGGGACAGCTTTCAAATGGGCCGTCCTAGCCAAACCTGACTACTGCAAAGAGTTCCGCCCTTCATGCTGTTCTCCTCGCTCTTCATCCGCAAGTTGAAAAGCATCATTACCGCACGACTGTGCCCATCATTCCCCATTTTCATCTTCGCCTGGTAATCCTCCAGCTCATCCGGTGTCAAAACCTTTCCACCTTTCTGCTCGCGGGTCCTTGCCACAGCCAATCGGTCTCGCAACTGTACACTAGCATCTCTCTCCATGATGGCCTTTCCATACTTCAGTCGCGTCTCGATTATCCAGCGGTCTGCCTCGCTTTCAGTCATTCCCGGAGGGAGGTAGAGTTGGAAAGCGTCAACCTGTTTTCTCAGGTCACTCGAGAAATCGAGCAGTTCGATTTCGAGCTTGCGCATCGAATTGCCATGAGCTTCTTCCTGTTGAATTCCCAGTGCTTGTAGCCTTTTGTCCTCCGCTTCGTGCTTTCGGGCCCGAATCCAGACCCCGTACTCGTATTTCTGAAACTTCTTAATCCCCTCCCAAAGAAGAAGCGATAGGCCCAGAAGCTCGGCGAAGGCATACCGGTAGGGCTCGGTGCCCTCGATGCTGTTGTTGATCAAGTTCCAGAGCACGGTTGCCCGGTCAAGATACATTTTGATTTCTTGCTGGCCGAGGTGTGGGAATCGAGGGATTTGATCGAGTCGGACGAGATCAGAGAGGGATGGGAATGGCTTGTATGGGCAGAAGTCTGGCGAGATTGGCCATGGGGTGATTCCATTGAATTCACTGGGAGTTTCGTCTGACATTTTGACGGCCTTACTCTTGCTTTGTTGTCGGATGTTGTCGGGGAACTAGTAGATCGTATCAGCGGTGACTGGAATAGAGTATAAGGAAGGCTTCTTTGCACAGTGATCGATACCTGGAATATTGAATAGAAAGGCTTCTTGAAGAGAGAGGGACGAGAGAGGAGTGGTAGGTAGTTGGCGCAGAATTGTGACAGTTGAAGGGAAAGAAAGAGTGGAAGTGAGTGAGGCCTGGAAGGAACCCACCTCACACTTCTCAACCAAAACAGTCCCCACTAGTACTTCTACGTCTAAAATAACGAGCAGATCGAGGAGCTTCTCAAATTCTATCACTCAGTTGCGTATCGCTAATTGACATTTATTTCATCGATTCTCCCCATGAAATCCAACGCCGAATACATTCATCTACCTTTCGCAATGCATCCTTCTGTGCTTCAACCTCAAACCACTCGCGGTGCTCCTTACCACACTCCGTGCACTGCCCAAGATCACGAACTCGAAGATTTGCCAATTCAAGATGAATAAGCCTTTCCACGCGATGGACATGCGGGACCTTTCCTCCGGGCACCAAAGCGGCCGCGGGAGTCCGAGATGGCGGTACTCTAGCTGGCGAAGAGCTCGTAGACGAAGACGGGGTATATGGGTAGTAGCGGATGAGCGTCAAATCGTGGGAGCATTGGCGTGTCCACTCCACCAGTCTTCGGTGGACGTTATTCGCCCTGCCAATTTTCAGTCGCAGTGTGCCAGGTGAGGTGGATGTCGGGTTTTTGGTTAATGCATTGAGATCTCGTGCTGCGCGGATTGCATCACTAACACTGCGTGGCTGTGCTGGGGGTCGGAGAGTATCGTCCTTGTGGTGGGATTGGGGCAGTAGCGACGATGCGATATCCCTTGGAACAGGAGGCTGTGCTGGTCCGCTTGGATCGCTTCCTCGTGGAGTACTTTTCGGAGGGGTGACCCAAAACATGTAGATGTAGCCTTCCTCGTCGGCATCGGAGATAGGTTTAGCTAGCTCTGTGAGAAGAATCGAGGTCGTTTGAGGGTCCAAATTGGAAGGAATCCATGATGAGGGAGATCCGGCCTGCGAAGACTTTCTAGGAGTTGGTGCAGAAGGCCGAGATGGTTTTTGCTGACCAGATGATGGAATTTGCCCATGCTGAGGACGCCCTTGGTGAGAATTTTGAGGCGGGCGAGATAAGGTGGGTTTCTGTACTGGGATTGATGGTTTGGAATCCTCGTCGCTTTCTTCATCCACGATCTCAAAGCAGCAGATGGACCTTTTTTTCTTCTTGGGGCGAGGCCGAGGCTTTTCACCGAGGCCGGCTTGGTTCGTATGCCGCCTATTCGGAGGCTTTTGTGTTCCATCATTGATGTCAAGGACGCCAAGTCGATCCATGAGGGTATCAATGCTAGATCTTGGCTTCAAAGGGTCTTCATGGATTGTGGGTTGAATAGCCGAAGCCGAAGAAGAAGCCTGATCTTTATGTTGCCAGCAATATAAAGAATCTGGATCTAGTATTGGTTCATGCCGAGGGCCCTTCTTTCGAGGGGTCGATGCCGGGGATGGAGTTTGGGATGGTGTTATGCCGCGCCGACAAGGCCGGCCTTGGGTTGTGATACCTCTACATGTGTTTGCAGGATTCCGAGAATCCGAGCGTGGCAGTAAAGATTCCGGAGTATTGGATATGTGAGGCATTGAGCATTCCTAGATGAGGCTCAAAAAATAGAGAACTTGAGATCGGTATGGCGTCGAGAAGAGGGTCTCTGAAGAATCGAGAAGTTAAGGCTGAATCCTAGGCGCCTGCAATGCGGTGAGACCGGCCCAAGCACGAGCACTGGCATGCCTGCGAATGACTCCACTTAAACACGTCGGGCGCGAAGGGATGTTGAAGCATTTTTATTTTTGTCAACGGTGAACTGCCTGTTATGGTTAGTGTTTGTCCACTTTCGGACTAGCCTCTATCCAAGTACTCCGCCACATCGTGGCTGAGACTGACATAAACACCTGGCATCGTCCTCTCTACGCCGTGCTTTTGAATGGCAACTGAGTCCTTGATTCGCGAATATAGGATGCGGATTCAGCTCGCATTCTGAATAGGGCTGGAATAATTGCAAAAGTACACAACATAATGTATTGAACTATAGAGTTCAATACATTAACTATTGGCCAATCTTATGCCTGAACCTCTCCATATCTTAACCTGAAAGTTTGCAGCCAGATGATGATCCCAGTAAATACAGTCAGCCGGAACTACCGGATGATGGACTTAATAGTCTATAATTTGAAGCCCTCATTGTGTTATATTAACTCTTGCTGATTGCAGAAACTCACTAGTCTGCTAAAAGAATAATGATGCGCAGCGAATAAGAAATGTGAGATGTGAATTGATTGGTTACGACCCAGTGGTTTACTTTCACAGTTCATATAAAATTTTCCATTTTTATGCATCAGCTTAGAAAGCAATGTTCTATGGCTTTAGCCTCTACTCCGTACTAATATGCATAATCACCATTGCGAAGTAGGAACTGTTGCGGTATTGATTAGCGTAATTTAGATGGATGCTCTTCCTTTTTGGTCTCTTCGTATTATAATGGCTTCTCTGTATTTCATGATAATATGTGGAAAACGGAGCCCAGGAGCCCCTGGAGAGTATAATTATTATTATTGTATCACTAGCAGCCCCCATGGTTCCGGATACACCATGATGATCCATTATATTCGAATTAAAAACGGCCCAGGTGGCAAAGATCCGGAAGTTATCGGAATTTCATGGTGATGCACAAGTTATATCCTTAAACCCTGTCACATATCTATTTAGCCACGCAACAAGCAAATCCAGCAAGTATATAAGATCAGGATAGTTCCCATGAATAGAAAGAGGACAATTAGCTATCTCGAAAAGCAACTGCTCTTCTCTACTCTTTCAGCTTCCACCAAATATTGCTTTACTTTCATACAAGTTTTACAGGATCCCCTGTGTTCCCAGAAATCATGAGAGTATATGTTACAGTTCTGTTACTCGCCTCGTGCTTTCAAGGAGTCCTTGCAGAATTTGAAGAAGTACTGCCACAGAATCCAATTGCCCATTCGACTCAAAGCCCCCTCCAGGGTGGTTTCGGGCAAGAGCTCCGCTTAGATGGGTCCTGTCAAGGTCTTGGCAGTATCTAGTAGGCCTACTCAGTTCAATTTTGATCCCATACTAGAAGAATACTAAGCTGATACGCCTAGCTCTCGAAATGTTGGATCAATCTATATTCCTTGCGAAGCGCCCACGGGCAAGAAAAACATGTGTATACTCTACAGGTATGTAATGTAGCCGAATTTCCATACTATAACCTGGCAGTAGTATACTAATTTCAGAAACCAGTGGAGACAACTGTCGGGACGAGCTCATTCGATTTGATCACACTCATACAAACATGTTCGCGGGATACAATGAGAAAGGAGAGAAGAAATATGTTGGTGGACTTGTAAGAGCTATCAGGTGTCAAGTTGTTGATCAATCGGAGTCTGTTGCCAATACGAACGGACATGCTTCAACAAAGACCCAGATTAGCTGTCCTGGCGAGAGCTGCTCCGATGGTTCTGATTGTGAGAGCTATTTTGTTAGAGCGGAGTGTACCTCGCGGAAATGTAAACGAACTGGGATTAGACCACAACCAAATTTGTCAGGTAATGTTGACATTGCATGATGGAAAGTTCGACAATCTTGAGGGTGATATGAATTCCCATTTCCAGGAGTACCTTACTGACAGAACCTTGGAATGTGGAAGGATTCGGAGTCGAATACTGATCTCACCGTCGCCTCTAAGTGGTTTTCATGGATATTACAACTATATACTCTTAACGCGAGGGAATTCATGAATGTACTAAGCAAATCGCAGCCCTCTTGACAATGGTCATATATCAAATTAAGTTTACCGCTGGTCTAAATAGGCTCCAGGGCCATCAACTTTACTCTTGGTCTTCCTGCAGAGGATAATCTACCTCAACTAGTATTTTTCTGGACCAATTAAACTTCATGTTTATCTTGAATTTGGATCCGTCTCCCGTCAACTTGAAATCCCACTACTAGTACTGGTAAAAATGCCTTTTTTAGTAAAATAGCACCGTCGACCGAGATTTGATCAACTCGTGGTGCCTAAGTATATTTCCAACCTGAATGACTAGACTAATTAGTGATGTCTTCGGTGGCGAGTTCCCGCTTTTCGGGTTGGATGAACGCGTCGTGAGAAAGAAAGCAAATTTCCCAATCCAAGCTGATAGCAGCATTGCTAGACAGTTCTTAGATCTGGAAGACCCAGATCCTGTAGAATCTTCGAGGCGTGAAATAGAGATATACTATATGCCTTCGATCCGAGTCAATAACCAGGAGTGCAGCGGCCGAGCATCAGAATATCAAGAAGTAAACCATTGCGGTCAATCCAGCACCATATGATGAAGATATCTTTCCTCGTTGAACATTTTGACCGCGGGCGATACTCTTATTTCTTTGGCGAGACGTGCACAATGACTTTTCCTACGCTAGAGCCTTCTTTAAGATGCTTCAAAGCCTCAATAACCTGCTCGAATTCAAATGTTGAATCAATGGTCGTTGTGATTGTCCCATCAGCAAGCCAACTTGCTAGCTGCTCATAGTCCTCGCGTACACTCTTGGTAAAGTACGGCACGAATTTGCGTGGCGTGCCACCCAGGAAGCTCGGCCAAAGCAGACCTTTGGTCATATTCTGAACCGTTTGGAGCGATGGGGAGCCTCCAACGGCAATAAAATGACCCTCAGGCCTCAGAAAGCCAGGTGTTGTGGCGAAAAAGTCCTTTGGCGAGTTACCAACGTTGTCCACTACCAGGTCGTAGACTTGGCCTTCGGCTTTCAGTTCAGTAACGATATTCTCGACGCGGTAGTCGATGACGGCGTCAGCACCTAGCTTCTTTGCTAGTTCGACTTTGGCGGTTGAACAGGATGTCGTAACGTGGCACCCGAGGGCTTTTCCAATTTGAATACCGAACGATCCCGTTCCCCCCGAGCCACCATTGATGAAAATGCGATCGCCCGCTTTGACGTAGGGCTTGATGCTTTGGTAGGCTGTCATTCCAGCGGTGGGTACGCCAGCGGCATGGTCAAGATCCACTGATTTGGGGATCACGGCGTATTCCTCTCGTGACAAGACTAGGTACTGGGATAGAGAGCCGTGGGGCTTCATTGGCTCGACGCGACCAAGGATGTTATCGCCGATTTTGACGTCTGTCGAGCCCTCGGCCACCGCCGTGACGGTGCCGCTGAGATCCATACCTATGACCTTGGGGAATCTGACGGTTGCACGAGCGAGAAATCCCATTTCCATGATCTTATAGTCTGCTGGGTTGAGGCAAGCACTAACGACGCGGACGAGGATCTCGCCCTTTTTGAGAGCCGCATTGGGACGTGGGACGTCGTCGACCAGCTTGAGGTTTTCCTCAACGGGTCCGGGGGAGACTTGCTGCCATGCCTTCATGTTTTCTTCCATGGTGAATCGATCAATTGGCACTATAGGGTGCCCAGATGCGATATTGTTGACCCGAGATGTGGGATCGGCAAAACCGATCTGAGAAATAGAGCACGATGACGTCAATATCAGTGTTAGTCAGCAAGTATATGAAGATTAAATTATTGGAGATTCGAGATAGATTCTGTTCTGCAATCGTGCAGCGAAAGTAGTGGGAAAATAAAAAAGGTTTGCGGGGGTGACGGAGTCGAGGATCGAGATATTAATCACAACCAGGAGGTTATTCAGGGTAGGTCGTACAAAGCAAGGAGCTGAGAGCGGGGTATGGTAAAAATAAGCTAAGGAAGGATAAAGGCCGCAACATGGTACTGATTATACTTGGCATCCCTTGAATTGAATCTCCATCCTCCAAGTCTTTTTCTGATGAAGTGGTTACGTTTTGATTTCGTCATTCTTCTTTTGCGATATAAATTCTTAGCTTTAAGTCCAATTATATCAGCAAGCTCGCGTAGCTCAGTTGGTAGAGCGCGGCACTAGTAATGCCGAGGTCTTCAGTTCAAATCTGGACGTGAGCATTTATTTTTTGGCCATTTTCATGCTTGTATGGTCTTTTTTTTTGACCATGTTCAACGTGTCTAATGGCCGCATTGGGCATAATATGATGCATTGTAACCGAGTTTTAACTTGACGCCGAGTGAAGGAAGCTTGAAGAGCAGCTTTAGTGGCAAGATAGATAGATACTTGATACAAAGTTGGCTAATCCAAGTACTTACACTACTTTCGCCTGTTTCACCTTGAGCAGTATTTAACAATCACACTGGTATTTCAATTTCTTGGTCTTTGGCTCTTTATCCTCTTCCTCCCTTAACCTGTCTCTCTAATCTTGTCACGAAGTCTTCAAGTTCAAGCTTCGAGAGAGCCTGAGGTGAACCTCATCTGACTGGTTTGCGAGCCGTTCTTGCATGGCAGCCCTGGAGTGTTGTGATTTTCCATGTGGGATCTTTTCTTCTCATCGGTCCTCTTTCTTCTTAGAGCCTTTCACGGTGTTGGGCTGTCCTTTTTTATTGTATTTTCCGCTTGCAAACCACCAAAGTGTAGTATTCCTGTATATCACAGGGTATGACAAATAAGTATGATTCTCGTAGCAGATAATAGCAAGCTTCACAGATAGCTACATATTATTAGAGACCTTGTAAGTTCATGTTCAAGTTTCTATCTTAAAAGTCAATTAGTATCTACATTCAAGGCTACTATCATACCTGGATTAAAGGACTTCGATTCCACTTCAAAAATGAATTTCTAGCTTGTATTATGAGAAGATCTAGACCTGACCAGAACTATGGTGTTTTTTGACCACCAGCCTCCTCCACATACATTGTCTATGAACAAATATGACCCAAGACTGAAAAGTTTTCATAAAAAACAAAAATAATGTGACCAGACCCGGGCTCGATCCGAGGACCTCATCGGTGTTAACGATGCGTCATAACCAACTAGACTATCCGGCCGCTTGTTATGTTAGCGCTTTAGTATATGGCATAATAGGAAACAGAATGATATGAGTAAAGAGTAGTGATGTGACAAGATGCTATCTAATCCAAGCAAAAATGCTACCGAGGGCCATTCAAAGGGACATCCGATATATATTCCATAGCACAAAAAGGCAGCCAGAATAGGCGAAGTGTTAGATGGTTTGGATCAGTCTAATCCCGATTGTAATTCCTCTGCCGACAGCTACTCGCATATCGGGGCCTGACCAATAGGCAAATCTAACCAAATAGAGTATTTCACAAGACATTTTACATCTTAATAGATCTTTCAATGGTGCCATTTATCGATAGCGGTAGAGCAGGGTCAATACGGCCTACCAAATTCCGGTCTTCGTTGCAGTGCCAGTCTGCTCCCGCGAATGGATATCTAAGAAAATGTTCAATCACCTAAAACTCCCTATCCTCATCGTCGTCGCATCTTGATAGATTACGAAATCATCTATTGTGTATAATCGAAACTCATGTTGCGGCACTTGAGCCAGAAGTTTCTGACAAGCTCCAGAGTTTGTGACCTCGCGCCTCTGGCAACCATGAGAGTTTCTAGGAACCGAGATTTGTCCTGTGGAGAGAAGACCGGCACTTGGTTCCCATTTGCGTCTGCCATCTGGACATTGAGCGTTTCAAGTGCAGCTGCAAGGCTTGGGCGCGACTGTCTCATTTTGTTGAAAATGGTCCGTCGGAGCGCGTCGCTGAGGGATGGAAGATCCGACCTTGAACAACGGCCGGCGAATTGTTTGACCAGGGTTTGGCACAATGGTGGGATGAATTGATCTAGGACCTGGTCCAGTGCTGCTGTTTCTTCCGCATTACCGCCACGCAGCTCTATCATTGTAATCCAGAAACTAGAGCCCGAGCGGATTGTTAGCGGCTCTGGTCTGCTCAGTGCATGGAGTGTAAAGTTGAGGAGAACAGCAAACACAGGCGGATGCTGTGACGAAGGATTTCCTGTTGAAGACGGAAGCGGTTCGGTTAGTGAGAATAGTATGTGGTAGTATTTCGGTAGAAGGCGTGCGAGGAAGTCTATTCCAGCATTGGCGGTTTCCGGGTCATATACATCGGGTTTCTCAAGCATCGACGAGAATAGTTCAGCGACGTGAACTATCAAGGCCACTGCTTCATTGCGAATAGAAGTTGCATGGGAGGCGTGAGAGGCAAGGAAGGAAGAGGCGGTGGCCATAATGACATCTGTTCCGGATATTCCCAGCGGGAAGCTCTTGATGAAGTCTACCGTCAGTGACGGAGGGAAGACAAAAAGACCGGATGACTCTGTATATCCAGCCTTAAGGATATCACACGCAGAATCTATGATGCCGCTGTCCACTGGGAAGTCCACAATGAGGATACGCATCGCTTCCATGATAAGTCGCTGTGCTCGAGAGCCCGGGCCGGCATTCCAGAAAGATGGTGGATATGGATTCTGTTCTTCTGCGTCATCGAGATTGATAACCTCTTCCGAGTCAGCGCGAAGCCCCCTTCCGATGCTGGCGATACAGCCCAGCACAAGATGGCCGTGAGACCGAGCCACATCATATGAAGTCCTGGCTTCTTCTCGTGCCTTCTTCGCCTCCTGAACGAAAAAATCAAGAATCCTCTCAAGCGTTACAACCTTTTCCTGGTCGGTTGGTAGCTTTTGAATGATCGTCGCAATACCCTCCAAGACCTTTGGCATAGTTGATACGGTTGCCGTTGGTTTGTTGCGGAACTGGTCAAATTGATCTAGGAAAATAGGGAGCTCCGGAGTCAAAACACGAGCACATGACTTCGATAGGGTCAGGATGGATCGTGAAGCCGCCTGTGCGCAGGGCTCGAAGCTGAGTGACTCGAAAAGAATGTTCAAAACACCCGCAAGCAGAGAGTTGTGACGCTCGAAATAAGATTCGTATTTCCCAAATGTGTCCACCAGAGTTTGACGTGCTTTGAGAGGAATCTGTGCCTCACTGCCTGTGCAAAGTTGAGCAAAGGCATTGCTACCGAAAATCGCATCCAGACACTGATCTGCATGGCCGTTTTCATCAACCGCCTCAGAGAGTTGTGCAATGCAAAACATAGCGGCCTCGAACCCTCGCCAATCATGATTTTCGAGATGGGATGTTGCGCTCTTTTGGAATACGCTCACCAACTCCACCCCCAAGATCGGATAGGCTGATAAAAGATAGTCACAGGCTTCATATCGGAAAGTGTTGAATTCCCACCTTTGATCATCGCCCCAGTCTTCCATGTCCTCGGCTGTTGGATAAAGAACTTTGTTGAACAATCGTAGAACCACCTCGGCTAGTTGGCCTTTGACCAACTGATACCGGGGATCATCGGAATTCAGCTCATCAGGAACACATTCAGCAATTTCACTCCAGTACTCTAAGACACGAGGCGTTGCCGGGTCATCGAGAGGGGCTATTCCCGGCGTTTTGAAAATGTCATGGACAATGGACAAAATTCTGACGTTTTGGGGCTTCATCGGATCGGTGAACAGATCCAAATGAAGATACGAGAGATATGCCACCAAGAGTTCGACGTATGCCATGCTCTCATTTTCTTCAAGTTCATCGCCATTTGTAAAATCAACGATGCGCATCGTTATAATGGAATCCGATAGGATTTCCGATAAAACCCATATGGAATTTTCGTCAAAGGCCCAACGACGATTATCAAAAGCCTGTGTCAATACGGCTGCGGCACTTTCACTAAGCGTGGGAAATCGGAGCATCTTGATAATATCCTGTCCACATTGAACAGCGATGCCCTGAAGGCTTTCTCCGCTCGATGTATAACGGCTTGCGTAAACACCTAGCCAAGCCTTTCAGATGAAAATCACGTCAGCGATCCACATAATCAAGTTAAATGGGAGTTTTGGCCAACTCACTTTCCAAGAACTCATAGCCTCATTGCCTAGTGTGACTTCCACGGACTCTTCCTTGAGTGCAGCCTCGGAAATTGAAATCTGCTGCATGATGTATCGAACCAACAGAAAACCATCCTCGATATTCGCTTGGCACCTCTCTAGAATCGGCTTGGCATCCTGGGGCTCAACTTCTAGCCGCAATCCATCTTCAGCCAGCGCCACCGAGAAAAAGGACAACGCCAGCGCTTGCTTTGTGCTTAGTGCAGGTAAAACCCCATTTAGGAAATCCACCGTCTGGGATTCCTGTTCAGAGACGTATCCACCATGAGCAAGGCTGGCAGCCAGCTGCCAGATAGCTCGTTTCCATGGTGACTTTGGGTGCCGGAAGATGGTTGTTAAGCTGGATGCAAGTTTCCTTATTACCATCGCTTGTTCGCCCTCGTTGACAATAGCGACGAAATGGTTGACGAGCTGTGCTAAAATCTCCACAGTCATGGACTCTTCAATATCACCACTGAATTCCAATTATTAGCAACAAGTTTTCAAATAGTCAACCTTTGTTGCCGGGATAAACAAACTATACCACCCACCTTGATACGTTGATTTTGACCGTGAATGTAAGTGCACCCATG